CTGTAAGCATGCCAGAGGATTTGGAGACCTTTGCGTCACATTCATATTCTGCTTCATCATCAAACACTGATTTGTGGATGATGAGGATATGTTGGCGACCTTTGGCGATTATTTCATATTTCTTTCCCTTTCTGATTTCACTGCTGTCCTTCAACCAACGGACCTGTTTACAGAAACAGCCATAAAACAAAGACATTACAATGACAGTACAATAATATTAAGATGTACCGATCAAGCCTATGAAGGAAACAATTAAGGGAGCAAAATGTAACAGCAGCGCACAAGTATGAAAAATGGTGTAAGACAGGAAAAACAACCAACTCTCAGTCTAAATATTATATTTTGTATCTCCACATGCAACTATATTATATTGTTATACGAAGGTGTGTTTGTATGTGCATTTGAAGACAAGAGGTGTGTGTGTGCGCGCATGTGTTGTGTTGGGATGGGGAGCGTGGTAGGGTCGGGGAGGTAGGGGGTGAAGGTTCAGGAATCATTACCTTGACATTTTCGCGAGATACTTCACATTCAAATCTGGCAGAGTCCTTTTCTTTGACCTCAACATCATGGAGTGGCTTAGAGAACTCAACATGTGGAGCTGTAAGGACACGGTCATAGTATTAATATACCAGTATGCCAAATACACCAACGTGTAGTCTTAACAAACAAACAATATCAAAGGTTTTTCATTTATACTTTAACAAACAAACAAACAAACAAACAATAAAAAAGGTTTTTAATCTATACTTTACTTACGTTCAACGTTAAGGAAGCAAGAGGTTTTGAATTCTGAGGCGTCGCAGGTATATGTTTTTGAATCATCAAGAGTGCAGCCATGAATGATTAGTCTTCTCTTGCGGCCATCGGCAACAATGTCATATTTCTTAGTTTTGCGGATCTCCTGTCCGTCCTGGAACCACCTGACCTCAGCATTTTCTCTGGAGACTTCACACTCCAAAGTAGCAGTAGCCTCTTCCTCAACTGTCTGGTCCTCCAGAGGCTTGCTGAACTCAACTGGTGGCTCTGTGAGGTCACACATGAATTACACATGACGACTTGTGCTTTACATATCATAAAAGCTTAGGAAGCCAACAAACTAATTTGACCAAATTCTATCATTGCCACCAACTATTATTATTGTTATGGCCCCTCTTTAGATTAAGTGGCCTAAAACCCAAAAATGTTTTGACATGGTAGTTACAAAGGCAGGTACAGTTACAGTGTAAGCTGCACATTACGTTACGTCATTCCTTCAACCTGTTTGTTGTTTCTGCAATTACTGTACCTATTGATACTTTTAATACATTTGTATACAAACTTAACATTGTGGGTCACCTCTCCTCACCCTTAAATCATTGTTTTATATTACACAGTTATATTGTGATATTGCAAGGCATATCGCTATACCGTCATTATGCAAGGAATACATTGTTTTATATGTCTTCAATTCCTCAACCTACACTGTTATAAAAGCATACACGACTGTCTCACAGGCTCTCATCTCATACTTAACACATACTTATTTTCTAATGGGACGTGGATGGGCTTCTCATTTCATTCAGACTGGTTGGGTACATTATGCTCCCACAACATTCACACCTGGCCCACTTACATTGCTGTCTGTGCTTTGCATCAAGGAGACAAACATTGTCTAAAGAAATCTGAATCTATGTCACAATGTGTACTCACACAGTACTTATACTCTGCCTACCTATGTAAATGCAGGGTAAATACACACAATTTTGGGAATCATTACGTTACTATGAACCTGGTTTATATAGCACCATATTTATCTGTCCAGTATGCTTTATAGAGTAAATATTGCAACTATATTGTTATTTAACCTTATCAAATTAACAAAAAAACAGGTCTCCATGTTGGTTAAGAGAGCAGTTGGGGGCAAAAATCTCCATTACAACCACAACTAAATACCACAAAGCGCAACCTACCATTCACATGTAGTCTGGCCTCAATCTGGAAATCCTTTGCAGTGAGTTTAACTTCCCCATCCTCTGAAATCTTGACATCTCTGAGAGTTAGAGTGTGAGTTTTGCCTTCTGCTCGGGTGACCACCTGTGCAAATCAAACAGTTTGATTAATCAGGGGGACAGTGACAGCTATGGGTGGTCAAGCTATTTACTTCTTCCCCTGAATGAACATCAGCAGCTGGTGACAAGGGACTGAAGGGGCCCTAGGCTCCATTTTAACTCCTGTTGCCACCTGACTGCTCCACTTTCCCAAAGCTTGGGTGAGGTGGTTAACTAAGACAAAACATTTTTACATTTTACATTTTAGTCATTTAGCAGACGCTCTTATCCAAAGCGACTTACAGGAGCAATTAGGGTTAAGTGCCTTGCTCAAGGGCACATCGACAGATTTTTCACCTAGTCGGCTCAGGGATTAGAACCAGCGACCTTTCGGTTACTGGCACAACGCTCTTAACCACTAAGCTACAAAACTTCCCCAGTCCTTTATAGTAGGTGTTCCATAAAGTCAACACTTTCCTCTTAAATGTAAACAATATAGGACTACCGCTTATGGTACAGTGGTACAGCAATCACAGTCATAGGTTCTATTGTTTTTTCCCCATTACAAATAGTCATGGCATGCCAATTGACATAACCATATGTGAAAACATGAAGATCATAGCAGTTATTTAGCTGTATCTATTGCAAGGTAGACTGTATATTCTTTTTCATAAGAGATTTCAAATAACTTTAAACAGCCACTTTAAAACAACATCTTCAGACTGTTATATCATAATTATAACAGTACAAATGACATCAGATTTTTCAAACAACCCCTGACAGCATAAATCATAATGTTTTGAGCTATTCAGACGTGGCCACTTTAAAATAATAGCCTACATATTCCAGAATATATTATTGTACATGTAAGACTTTTAGTGGAACAAAAGTCATCACAGTTACCCTCAAAGTAATACAATTTCGTGAATATTGTGTATGGCAACACATCAATGTATCAAGGCTGTGAATGATCATTAAAATTGGTCACGGGAAACAAGGCAACACAACATCTTAATCAACCTATCTTATAACGTTTCACACTTCAAACCCACAGGAATTAATTAAATAATTAGACAATACATAGATATGCACAGGACTAACGGATCACTCAAAGCAAATCAAAGCAAATTTGTACATTAAATTACAACTCATTTCAGATTTTGAAATTATAATTATGAAATAGCTCTTCAAACCACCTGCCATTGGACGTACACATTTGAAGCGGTTAAAAATAGCCAGAAGAACGGTTGAAGGGCAGAAAATCCCTCCTGCGTTATCTCAAAACCCAGATCAAATCCTCAACTGGAATCCTGATCCTCACAGGTCGTTATATGCAGAAAGCATGTAGGTTGCACATGCAAGAACATTTTAACAAAATGTAGAAACGTAAATAATGCAACAGGAAAATCTAAGATCCATTTAAATTAAAAAAACAGTTGGAATAAAATTAAGAGTTAAAACATTTGGGATATGATAATAGCTGATAATCCAGGTAGTAAATTCCATGACAACATGTATTTGTCAGCCATATTGAAAAACGGTTGTTTATAATTACAGTTCTAAGTCTTGGCATGTTTCCATATCAATTACTTGAAGGAGTGTCAGTGTTGTGATAACATAAATATTGAAGATGGTATAAACACTTACTCTGTCACTTGGCTCCAACTTTGTGCCCCCTAGGAACCATTCCACAGCAATTCCTTCATATGACAGTTCACAGTCGAAAGTGGCGGTTTCCCCGGCAGTAACAGTAACATCCTTGAGCGGCCGCAGCAGGCCAATCACCCGCGCTTTAGATTGAGGAGAAGACATCGTTAGTCACTCCAAAATCTCAAGCGAAACAGGTAAATCCTTAACTGATAATCCTCATTTTGCGGATCCCCTGACGGCCGGCCACTGCTCTAGAGTCCTGTAATCCACCAGGACAACTGGACTAACCTAGAGGGCCTTTCTCATTTGCATACTCAGTTTCCTTGAGATGTATAAAGTCAGCAGAAAACTTTGAAGGAAGGCATGTTGTACCTCTGCCAATCACTAACCGCCCACTCTAGATAAGGCATGTGGCTTCTAAAATAGCCACAACACCTGATTGGCCATTAGCCCACGCCCTGCCAAACCATCGGCTAGGCAATCTGTCCCTGTCAATCAACCTGTCGGAATTCTCCAGGAAAAGGAGAATGTCGGGGTGGGCTTTTACCAAACTTTAAAAAAGAATCTGCATCATGGCTAAGAGTTGTATTGCATAACCAGGCCCTGGGTGTTTTGTAAGCAAGTATATATTTAGATATATAAAACGTGTGCCAGAATTGACATCCAAACCTCAACACTTTTTATGACACATTTATGGCTTTAGTCCTCCCTTGTAAAACAAACTTTTGACACCTACTTACATGGGGCTGTACTTACAGTGGGGGGAAAAAAGTATTTAGTCAGCCACCAATTGTGCAAGTTCTCCCACTTAAAAAGATGAGTGAGGCCTGTAATTTTCATCATAGGTACACGTCAACTATGACAGACAAAATGAGAAAAAAAAATCCAGAAAATCACATTGTAGGATTTTTTATGAATTTATTTGCAAATTATGGTGGAAAATAAGTATTTGGTCACCTACAAACAAGCAAGATTTCTGGCTCTCACAGACCTGTAACTTCTTCTTTAAGAGGCTCCTCTGTCCTCCACTCGTTACCTGTATTAATGGCACCTGTTTGAACTTGTTATCAGTATAAAAGACACCTGTCCACAACCTCAAACAGTCACACTCCAAACTCCACTATGGCCAAGACCAAAGAGCTGTCAAAGGACACCAGAAACACAATTGTAGACCTGCACCAGGCTGGGAAGACTGAATCTGCAATAGGTAAGCAGCTTGGTTTGAAGAAATCAACTGTGGGAGCAATTATTAGGAAATGGAAGACATACAAGACCACTGATAATCTCCCTCGATCTGGGGCTCCACGCAAGATCTCACCCCGTGGGGTCAAAATGATCACAAGAACGGTGAGCAAAAATCCCAGAACCACACGGGGGGACCTAGTGAATGACCTGCAGAGAGCTGGGACCAAAGTAACAAAGCCTACCATCAGTAACACACTACGCCGCCAGGGACTCAAATCCTGCAGTGCCGGACGTGTCCCCCTGCTTAAGCCAGTACATGTCCAGGCCCGTCTGAAGTTTGCTAGAGTGCATTTGGATGATCCAGAAGAGGATTGGGAGAATGTCATATGGTCAGATGAAACCAAAATAGAACTTTTTGGTAAAAACTCAACTCGTCGTGTTTGGAGGACAAAGAATGCTGAGTTGCATCCAAAGAACACCATACCTACTGTGAAGCATGGGGGTGGAAACATCATGCTTTGGGGCTGTTTTTCTGCAAAGGGACCAGGACAACTGATCCGTGTAAAGGAAAGAATGAATGGGGCCATGTATCGTGAGATTTTGAGTGAAAACCTCCTTCCATCAGCAAGGGCATTGAAGATGAAACGTGGCTGGGTCTTTCAGCATGACAATGATCCCAAACACACCGCCCGGGCAACGAATGAGTGGCTTCGTAAGAAGCATTTCAAGGTCCTGGAGTGGCCTAGCCAGTCTCCAGATCTCAACCCCATAGAAAATCTTTGGAGGGAGTTGAAAGTCCGTGTTGCCCAGCGACAGCCCCAAAATATCACTGCTCTAGAGGAGATCTGCATGGAGGAATGGGCCAAAATACCAGCAACAGTGTGTGAAAACCTTGTGAAGACTTACAGAAAACGTTTGACCTGTGTCATTGCCAACAAAGGGTATATAACAAAGTATTGAGAAACTTTTGTTATTGACCAAATACTTATTTTCCACCCTAATTTGCAAATAAATTCATAAAAAATCCTACAATGTGATTTTCTGGAGAAAAAAATTCTCATTTTGTCTGTCATAGTTGACGTGTACCTATGATGAAAATTACAGGCCTCTCTCATCTTTTTAAGTGGGAGAACTTGCACAATTGGTGGCTGACTAAATACTTTTTTCCCCCACTGTATTCAACCAACAGTTGGGACAATGTATCATTCAAACCCACCATAAACACATTTTTACTGATCAAATGTACTCCTAAGGATAATTTAACCCTCCCGTTGTCCTAGGGTCAAAATGACCCGCCACTGTGTTGAACCAACTTTATTTAATTTTTATATTTTTTGGATCATTTGTGAGAAGGAGGCAGTGATACTTTCTTTAAAGTCTCACTGCCTCCTTCTCACAAACGATCCCAAAAATATAAAAATTAAATAAAGTTGGTTCAACACAGTGGCGGGTCATTTTGACCCTAGGACAACGGGAGGGTTAAACAAACGTTATTGGATTCTTAAATGTTTTTGTTGGTGGCCCACTTGATGGTATGCATATCTTACAGAGTGTGGCTTTAACAAATCAGTGCTTATCTAATTGTCAGATAAATGTGTGAGTGTGTTAAATAATTCTCACCTTTAACTCTAAGCTGAGCATTGGATTTAGCATTGGCAGCCTGGAAGTCAACTTCTCCGGCCTGATCCATGCGAACGTTGTACAGGATCAGCACATGCCTTGTACCCTCCTCCTTAATCTCACAGTCCTTGAAAGAGAATACACAAACAGTTACTAAGTGATCATCATCAAGTGATATATATATATATGTTTTTGTTCTCTGTCTCTTTCTCAGCCGCTATGAAACGTAGTAAGGAACGTCCAATTATGTAGTAATAATAATATGGATATTTTCTTACAGCAGACTGATGAAGGGCCTCTCCTTTGAGTTTCCAGTGACCATGTACTTCCTCCTCAGAGATCTCAGTCTCAAACTTGGCAATTTCAGTTTCTGTGACTTCCACGCTGTACAGGGGCCTGACAAACTTAATGTCACGCTCTGTAGAAGAAACACAAAGACAAGTGTTTGTATGAATGAAACAAAATACATACTGCAACCCTCAAATGCTGAGATAAAAACACTAAAGGCTACCTTCAATGTTGAGTTTGGCCGTGGTTTTGTCCGAATCACAATCACAGGTGTATTCTCCAATGTCGGCTTTCTCTGTCTTCTTAATGATCAGCATACGCCTCTTTCCATCGGCTTTGATGGCCACGTTCTTGGAGGGAGTGATTTGCTGGCCACCTTTGAACCATTTCACCTCTGCATTGGGCTTGCTCAGTTCACAAACCATTGTCAGTTCATCCTTCTCAGTGACTGAGTAGTCGTGCAGTTTTGTCGTGAAGTAAGGCTTTCCCTCTGTTGATGAAAAAGAAACCATGATGAGTTGTGTGTGTGATATTTCACTTTCGACAACGGTAACTCACCTGTTTCGCCAACAGCTTATTTCCATCTATAGATTCTATAGATTTGTTGTGATTGAACGTTTCAAGAATTTTAACGGTATACTAACCGAGGACTGTGAGCATGGCCTCTGAGCTTTTGCCCATGGCTTCTACTTTGATCATGGATGTGTCATCAATGGACACCTCCTTGAAGGTCAATTTGTGCATCTTGCCATCGTCTGACATGTGCACAACTTTGCTGGGATGCAAACGCACACCGTTCTTGTACCATGTGACCTGGATGTTGTCATGTGAGAATTCAATACTGAACTCTGCCGTCTCACGCTCCTTGACAGTGACATCCTTAATGGGCTTGACAAACTCAAGGCGAATTCCTGATAAGACATTCAATTCATAAGAAATTAAATCATCGTCATCGTGAGAAGATCAATTTCAGTCACTTGTAATGAATTGAATCAGGATTTAAACAGGAAGCACAGAACAATATCTTCAGATTACCTTGGATAACTAGTTTGCCAGTGGTTCTCTTGTCCTCTGCCTCAAATATGTACTTAGCTTCATCCTCATATGCGGCAGATTTGACCACCAGAGTGTGTCTCTTTCCCTCATGGATAATATCAAACTTATCATCAGCTGTCAACTCATGAGATCCCTTGAACCAACGGAAGCTCTTGGGTTCTCTTGACACCTCGCACTCAAATCTGGCCTCATCCTTTTCATACACTTGCACATCACTCAAAGGTGTGACAAATGTAATTGGACTCTCTGTAATTCAGAAGGAAACAGAGATAATGTGGCATCGTGGCAATGCGTAGAATACCACCACTGAAAGTATTTACATTTACATCATCAGATAAGATCACCAACCAAATGTTTCTTTTTTAATCTCACCTTTCACTTTCAGATTAGCAACACATTTAGCATTGGCAGCTGTAAATCCAATCTCCCCTGACAAGGGGGCCTTGAGGTTGTACAATATCAACGTGTGCTTTGCACCGTCCTCTATGATTTCAATGTCCTGTAAATGGTGGTAAAATGTATGTAGAAAATAGTCCAGATTAGATGAAGACGAAGAGGAAAGGGAGGAAGGAGGAGGAGAACGCTATAGGCTGTTTCAGTGTAATATTTAAAGATAACGTAATGGATGTGAATGGATGATCATGTAATGGATATGAATGGTATAATGGTAAAACAACAGTGAGAATTATTTGGTCTATGTAACATACAGGTGATTGAGTAAGGATTTCTCCGTTCAGTTTCCACTGGCCATGGACATCATCTTCTGAGATTTCCACCTCAAAGCGAGCGGTCTCACCATCAAAGAGCTCAACACCATACATTGGCCGAGTTATCTTTATATCTCGAGCTGCAATTCAGGATTGAGAACATTACAATTACAAGAACAAACGCAAGAACGTTCTCAAAATAAATGTTTGTTGCATGACAAACATTTGTAATTGCTTACCCTCAATGTTAATATTTGCCATGGTTTTGTCCGTTCCACAATCACATACGTATTGACCCTTATCTCTGTCATCCAGTTTCTTAATGGACAACACTCTTCGATTCGCTTCAGCCCTTATGGTTACCATCTTAGAGGCCTTAATTTCAGTCTCATTATGGTACCACATGACTGGGACATCTTTGCTGAGTTCACAGTCCAGAGTTATTTCGTCTTTCTCGACTGCAGTATAATCCTGCAACTTCACTACGAAGTATGCATCACCCTCTGGAACATGGAAAAGTCATCAGGAGGATAAGTGTTTTGCATTCTGCATTTATCTACTGTAGCATGGTGCAAATCCTTAAATGATTTCAAGGATTTCAATCACAACAAAGAAACAAACAATTTGAATAAAGGAACAAAGCAGGGGTTACCTATCACCGTCAGGTTTGCCATTGAGGGAATTCCTTTAGCCTCTGCCTTAATCTGGCAGATATCATCTAGAGTCAACTCCTTGATTTCTAGTGTATGTTTCTTTCCACGACTATAGATGAGCACGGTTCTGCTCACATGGAGTTTGGTTTCATTTTTGTACCATGTCACAGGTACATTCTCATGAGAGAGCTCAAGCTCAAACCGAGCAGTGTTACCTTCCTTCTCAGTTTGGTCCTGAAGTGGCAATTCAAATTTGAGCCTCATACCTATATTATGTTAGGTGAGTGCATATTGGACTTAGTTAAAATAAAATGATTCCAACTAGGAAAATAATTAATGAATCACAGGGAACAACTTTTGATGATATCAAACGAAAACCACTCAAAGGATGTCAAATATAATAACAATGGTTCCACACTTACCCTCCACAGTGAGTTTAGCGGTTGAATTTTTGCCCAAGGCCTCAATACTGTAATTTCCCTCATCATCAAACTCACATTTGTTTATGACCAACATGTGTTTTTTTCCATCATCGATTATTTCATATTTTTTGTCTGATGTACCAATGGTGTCAGAACCCTTAAACCACATGACTTTAGGCACATCCTTTGTGATAGTACACTCAAACATAGCCTGTTTCTTTTCAGGTACTGACACGTCCTTTAAGGGGACTGTGAAGTCCATTTCCAGTTCTGGGAGATACAAATAATGATCTCTTTGTCAATACATGCATAACATCATCGATACATAAATACATACTTTACTCTTGAAACAATTGCTTACCCTTAACTGTGAGCACAGCACTAGTGACAGCATTCAGAGCTGTATAAGACACTTCACCAGACGCGTCCAGCGGAACACTTTTCAGAGTGAGGAAACGTTTCTTGCCCTCCATTTTGATCTCACATGTCTGAAAATGCACAAAAAAACTAGTTAAACAGATATCAAAGACTGTTCAACATTGAAAACAGTTTTTCTGAAAGTTTAGGTTACGGGTCCGGGGAAATATTTCAGTCAATTCATAAGACAAGTCTTACCGGTGATCTTGTTAAGACCTGCCCTTTATGTTTCCATTCTCCAGGCACATCCTCTTCAGATATCTCAGTTTCAAACGTAACATCCTCTTTCTCGACCACCTCACAACTGGAGAGTGGTTTCAAGATCTCAGCTTCACGTTCTGTAAAAATATCAAAAGTATATAATAAGCATTCACTTCATGTAGGTAGCCTTACTTGATTGAACAACATACAAGATATGTGTGATTGTGCAACCAACCTCCAAGAGTCAGTTTAGCTGTGTATCTGTGGCCTTCAACTTCCATGGCATATTCTGCAATATCATCGGGCTGTGCATTCTTTATTGTGAGAGTCAAGACTTTTCCTTCTTTCTTGACCTCAGTCTTGTCAGTAGGATCATTAGTAATCTCATCGTTGCCTTTGAAAAACTTCCAGTTGGGGGTTTCTTTGAAGAGCTCACACTTGAAAATGGCAGTGGCCTTGGGTTTCACATGCTGATCTCTCAATGGTTTCACCAACCAGTCTCTGACAATTTCTGTAAAAATTAAGATGTAATCAGTTTACATATGTGGACGAACAGATTGAGTAAATTGATATAGTTGATAAGTGTCAACAGTTTATTTAGGGAATTATCTACAAACCAATGATTTTGACAGTTGTTTTAGTCCTGATGAGTTCACACTCGCATGCGTAGATTCCAGCGTCGTCATCGCCCGTGTTCTGGATCGTAACGGCATGTTGCATTCCAATGACGTTGATGGCCACCTTTCCAGGGATTACTTTGAGGACATTACCACTCTTCATCCAGGTCACTTCTCTCTCCTTGTTCAATTCACAGGTCAGGTACATAGGCTGCCCCTTCAGGACCGACGTCTCCTCATCCAGCTCCTTCACCCACTTCACGGGCAGTTCTGAATGCATAAGTATTGGGTTAGTATTAGTCCGATATTTACATACACATTTGCATATAAGTTATTTGCATCAAAATGTAAAGGTAAAATGCATCAACCCATATCAATAATGCATACATGTAATAATCAGCGCAACTTAAATGTGACATAGAAGCTACATAGATTAAGGAATACTTGATCAAAAAGGGAGTACTCTCCATAGAATTGTGTAGTTATACAGTATACATTTTCATACAACAATATAAAACAAGACATTAAGTAAACAATCGTTATTTAAGCTACATCACCTGTAAATGAATTGCGATCAGCTTTTCAACATGATGTTGTTAAAAAATATGATTCTTATAAATACATAATTAATTAATTGTAAATCATTATTATATAATATAAATAATTCACATTATTTCAATTAAGAAAATTATCTGAAATACCTTCAACAATGAGTTTGGCGGTTGTTGTCTTTTCCTTGTTGCCAAGCTTGGCCACACAAGTATATTCTCCAGTGTCAATAAGTTGGACGTCAATAATGGCTAGTCTGCGATCTTTGCCATCAGAGGTGAATTTGTGTTTTGGACTCTCTCTTAGGTTGCTGTCATCTTTCATCCATGTAGTTACTGCAGTAGAAGGTGAAACCTCACACTCAAACGTAGCAGAAGCACCAACAGCATCACCTTCTTGTAACACTATGTCTTTGAGCGGTTTCGTGAACTTCAGTGGAACTGCTTTAAGCTGGAATCCAAAAGGATTAGCATCGGGTGGCTTGTCTCCTCCACCACCGGGTTTCAGTCCTCTACCCCTGCCTTCACCAGGGGATGGGGTTTTGCCTGCTACAATTCAGACACAATTACACAGATTAGATGTTTAGCCTGTTTACATCAGTTAAAGTGGCAATATGTAACGTTTTGGGTGAACTGACCAAATTCACATAGAAATGTGAGTTATAGATCTATCATTCTACTTGAAAGCAAGTCTAAGAATCCGTAAATCTGTTCTTTGTGAACTATTTCTATGCTTCCCGTTCTTAAGTTTTGTTTTTTTACTTTTGGTTTTGTACACCAGCTTCAAACAGCTCTACATGGTTCTACATGGAACTCAAAAGGGTTCTACCTGGAACCAAAAAGGGTTATTTAAAGGGTTCTCCTATGGGGACAGCCAAAGAACCTTTTAAGTTCTAGATAGCACCTTTACTAAGAGTGTAGCAACCAAATAAATAAGTTTATGTGGTTACTAAAATAGCTGTATCGCTAGATTGGTAGAATACATTTCCATTCTATTATTTGAAAAGCAGAGAAAGAGACAAAGATTTCATACACTCTTTGTCTAACTTGTTGGGAAAGTGGTCAAAATTTCAGATTTTAAAAGTTAAGAGAAAAAGTAGATGACAAGGTTAGTAAAACAGCTGTATCTCTGGATTGGTAGTAGATATATCTAAGCAGAGAAAGAGACAAATACATCATAAACTAGGTTTCCATCCAATTGGCGACAGATTTTTATGCAAATGTTCTCAAATCTGCATAAAAGCAATATGCACATTTTACCACCAGAGATGTGTTTCCATCAAATTGACTGATAAAAGGCTGTGTGTGATGAAATAGTGCACATTACTTTTGCGGTTAAATTCCCATGTACCGAATAAAGAGTAAGTTCAATGATTTCCATCGCATTTGCAAGACTACTGATGGTTTTGTCACAAAATAATGTTATGTTATATAGGGAATGTGCCCACTGTTTTATCCAACATGTATTTTACTCGCATAAAAAGGTTGGATGGAAACCTGGTTATAGACTACGTTTTGTCTAACTTGTTAGGAAAGTGGTCAAAGTAGCTGATTTGTGTCAAAAGCAAGTGTTGACAGTGGATAGAATGTTGGATGTCATTGCTGAATTATGGGAAGTTTAGAATGTTGAAGACATCCCATTGAAGTGGATGGAGGCTTTGGGGAGGACAAAAAGCTTAATAGTTTAAAAAGTATAAATTATATTAAAAAGCTGTTGACAAGCAATTTAAGTTGAGTCAGTCTGCTCGTTTTAAAGTTTGAACAGTGATTATATTGAGAGTAGAGTGTGCTGACGCTGCACTCTAAAGAAGTTATTATTTTCACATGGATGCAACCAACAGGATCGGACAGTCTTACCTTTGAGGCCTCTACCTCTACCTCTACCTCTGCCTGCACCAGCTTCTTCTGCTGGCTTTCCATCTGTTTAAGATATTTAAAATGACTATACCGTAAAGACAGGTCACATTCAAATCCCTTATAAATATTTTTACTCAGAATTGTACATACAATATGGAGAGATAAATAAAGACGAAGGGTGATGATGGAAACAAATGAACAATGGACGATGGGAGATGGGTATATACTACACAATGTCAAATACCATTTGGAAAAACAACATGCCAAATGTGCTTTTTACATGGATTGACAGACAATTAACAGAAACATGGAGAATGACATGGAGAAACAACACAAAATGATGACAAACAACACATAGAACATGAAAACATTAAGACGGAAATGGATGAAGATTATTTGGGATGAAATACTTTTTCTGGTGAAAATGATCGACATGAAGAAACAATACGAAATTATGACAAACATTAACATGTAGAACATGAAAACATTCAGATGGAAATGGGTGGAGATTATTTTGGGTTAAGGACTTTTTCTTCAATGGTGATTCGCTCCAGCCTTCATCTCACCTCGTCTTGGCATTCCAAGTGCATCACCTTCCTCTCCCAAGTCTTCTGTGGATCCAGGACTATCATGAGGGGCAAGTTCCCATCCCCAACCTTCACTGTCAGATTCCTCCTCAACATCTGGCTCCTCCTCAAATACTTCCTCCTCCAGCTGAGTCGAGATCTTTCGTAACTGTACAGCTTTAGGGGAAAGCTCTTTCATTGCTGGCACCTTCTTCAGTGGTGCTCCATCAGTTTCCTCTTGTGGTGATTTCTTTGGAACTTTTTTGAGGGTAACACCTTCAAATGAATCTTTTGGTGAAACTTCTTTGGGCAGCTTTTTGGTCCTTTCTGCACTAGGCTTCCTCTCCATAGTAATTTTTTCTATTTCTTTTGGCTTTGGTTTTTCAACCTTAGGTGAAGGAGTCTTTTTCAGTTCCACCATTTTCTTAAGTGTCTCTTCATGCTTTGAGGGTTTGTCTTTTTCTTTGTCCTCTGGTTCTTTTGGCACCTGCTCAACCTTTTTTAACTGTACTGGCTCTTCCTCTTGAGGACTCTTTTCCATTTTCTTTATGGGTGCTGTCTTTGGAGGACTTGGCTTTTGTTTAAGGGTTTTTTGAGCCTCTTTCTTCTTCTCAGGCTCCTTCTCTGGCTTCACAGCTTCAGTATCAGCTTTAGGTGACTTTGAAAATGGCTTCAATTTAACATCTTCCTTCTCTTGCTCCTGTGTTGGGATCCTTTTCACCTTTGTCAGTGGTTTGTCCGAATCCTGGACTTGTTCATCTTCAGGATCTTTGGTCACTGGTTTTAATTTGACTGCCTGTGGCTCTTCTTTAGCACTAGGAACTCTATCAGCTTTCTTACGATCAACAGGTTCTTTGATGTCTTCATCTCTTGGTGGTCTCTCACCTCTTTTGAAAGCCCCAGATTCCTTATCTTTGTCCTTGTCCTTCTCTGGCTCAACAGTCCCTGCTTTAGGAGATTTTTGGAACGGTTTTAACTTCACAGTTTCTTCTCCTTTTTCATCTGATGGCAATCTGGACACTTTCTTTAAGGCTAAACTGGGGTCTGTTGCTGCCTCTTCTTTCATACCCTTGGGAGTTTTCTTCAAAGTAATTTTGTCCTCTTCTTTTTCATCTCTGGGAATGGTCTTCCGAGACCATTTGTCCTCAATTGAGTCTTTTGGTTCAACCTCTTTAGGTGTCTTTCCTTTAGCTCCATCAGGTATCTGGCTGATTTTATCTGTCTTGCTGATTTGCTCTGCCTCATACCTTTCATATATTGTTACTTCAGTTTCTTCATACACTCTCTCTTCAAAGTCATGGATTGTATGCTTCGTAATTTTCGGAGGAGGTTTCTTTGGTGGTGCTGGCAGATCTTCAAAGGGGACTGAAGGCACTTTCTTCAGTGATATAATCTCCTGTTCTTGCTCCACGTCTTTGGATCTCCTGCTTGTTTTCTTCAAGGTTGGCAGTACAAGTGTTTCTTCTTCTTCAACATGAATTTTTGCTTTTTGTCGGAGAACTGCAGTAAAGGTTTCATATTACACATAACAGCTCACTTAACAAGATAACAACATTGAAAACATCACATCAAACACTGAGACTTTGCTCTACAAGACAACACACAAAAAACTCAACCAACGAACAAACAAACAAAATTCTACAAACAAACAAAACAACAATGATAAAGTAAGAAATTCGACTGTATATTTAAAATATTGAGCTGGATATTTTTTTATATGCAAGGAATAGTGAAATGTAAAGTATAAAACAAAGTATTCATCATACCTTTCTTAGCTGCTCCAGGTGCCTGCTTGCCTTCACCTAGTAGGGAAATGATGTAAAAGTAAACACTGTTTTAGTACAAAGATTCACATTCATTTGAAGATATATGGGATACAAGCCTCAATGTATCAAGTACGGTTAGGACATTGAGATGTGATTGAGGGAAGTTGTATAACCAGCCCAATCACTTAAGGAGAATGATTCACTTTTCTCTTTGAATGGTATTGTACATTACCTTGAGGAACCAATCGGGAATTCCAAGGGAATTTCCTCCCATAACCAATCAAAGATGAGGACAAATGAAGTAATATTATCAAGTGAAGATATAAGAGGGAAACTATGACATGCTAAAATTCACTAATGAATTTCAGGATGAGAACTTAGTAAGACATTCAACATGATATGACATTACATACAAAACCACAGCATTGCTGTGAATTTGGTTAGTGGTGGCACCTACCTGATTTAAATAGTATAACATGCACATAAAACATTAGAACGAGACTGGACAAAGAACAGGAATGTTTTTGTGGATCGAAGAGGCAACAATCTTTGTTGAATGAGATTAATGCAAAAAACATTTTGGTGACTTGAAAATACGTTAGCCTCAACCCTCTATGACTATAATGAGGCTTAAGATAGATCGCTTAGTAGTATTTGGATGGTTTTCAAGATATTAGTTTGTCATTTTATGTCTAGATGTTTGTGAACATTATTAGCTGAATACCTGTCTCCGTATCATCTTGGTCTTGCACTTGGAAGGCCGGCTTTGTTTCCTCTGTAGTCTTTTTCTTATCTTGAGGAGCTTCAAAATAATGTTTAAGATTTAGATTTGTCCAAGAAACATTCATTCACGAATGTATTTAAAGAACATACATGATGCAACATTAAACAGACATGTACCTTCAAGAGGACTGACTTTCTTTGCAAGTGGCTCAGTGGGCTTTGGAGATGTTTCGTTCTCCTTTATTGGTACTTAAAATAAAATTGTACGATGGTCAAAATCAAGACACTGCATGTTGGGGTAAGCATTAAACCACTGAGAAGAAACATGTCATCAACACACTAAGACACAACAGATAATACGTAATATCCTAAATACATAACACACACCAACATAACAGACAGGATAGCAAGATTTTTAAGAGTGTGTTTCAAGGATTGTCCTTGTTATACCTTTTTGGGCAGCAACATCTTCACTTGACAGAGTCACCACTTCAGCAACAGCCTTCTTCTCTGGCTTAGACTCTGGCTTAGACACTTTCTTTACAAGTGGCTCTGCTGGCTTTGGAGGCTCAGCAACAGCCTTCCTCTCTGGCTTAGGCTCAGACTTAGGCTCTGGCTTAGACTCTGGCAAAGACACTTTCTTAAGAAGTGGCTCAGCAGGCTTTCGAGGTGACTCCACCTCTTCAGCAATAGCCGTTTTCTCTGGTGTAGGCACTTTCTTTGCAAGAGGCTCAGCAGGCTTTGGAGGTGATTCCTTTGCTGGAACTTGAAATAAAATTATACTATGGTCAAAATCCATATTTATTTATTTGATTGAACCTTTATTTAACCAGGTAAGTCATTGAGAACACATTCTCTTTTACAATAATGACCTGACAAATCAAGATATTACAGATTGCGGTAAGCATTGGACCACTGACAAAGCTTCAGAGAAAGATGTTATGAAATATAAACATAGCACACACAAAGACAGAGAAAAACATCAAAAACACATAACATAAACAAACATAACACACAAAATATAAAGATTTTAAGAGTGAGGGAAGATTAAAGATTTGTATTTCAAGATTTCTTTTTTATACCTTTTTTGGGAACAACATCTTCTTCAGTAATAGCTGTCTTCTCTGGCTTACTCTCCGGCTTAGCCACTATCTTTGCAAGTGGCTCAGTAGGCTTTGGTGGTGATTCCACCTCAGCAATAACCATAGTCTCTGGCTTAGGCACTTTTTTAGGAAGTGGCTCAGTGGGCTTTGGAGGTGATTCCTTCACCTTCTCAGCAATAGCTGTTTTCTTTGCCACCTTCTCTGGCTTGGTCTCTGGCTTAGACTCTGGTTTAGATACTTTCTTGGCCAGTGGCTCTGCCGGCTTAGGAGGTGATTCTTTCACCTCTTCAGCAATAGTTTTCTCTGGTTTAGGCACTTCCTTTGCAAGAGGCTCAGCAGGCTTTGGAGGTGATTCCTTCTCCTTTGCAGGTACTTGAAATAAAGTTATACTATGGTCAAGAACAACATCCTACAGATTTGTGTAAGAAGTGAACCACCAAGAAAATACCAAGGTAATATGTGATCAAACAGAAAACACAGAAGGAGAAACAAATAAGGAAGTATCCCAAACACAAATACACAAAACGTACAGACAAACAATATACAAACAAACAACAAAAGAAAACACAATTTTAAGAGTGACGCAAGAGTGAAGATTTCAAGGATTGCCCTTGTTATACCTTTTCGAGTTGCAACATCTTCTTTACTTGAAAGAAACACATCTTCAGTAATAGCCTTCTTCTCTGGTTTCGACTCTGGTTTAGCCACTTTCCTTACAAGTGGCTTTGGAGGTGATTCTTCCTCCTCCTCAGCAACTACAGTCTTCTCTGGTGTAGTCACTTTCTTTACAAGTAGCTCAGCGGGCTGTGGAGGTGAGTCTTTCACCCTTACAGTAACAACAGTCTTCTCTGGCTTAGCCTCTGGTTTAGGTTCAAGCTTAGCCTCTGGTTTAGGCTTAGCTTCTGGTTTAGGCTTAGGCTCTGGCATAACCTCTGGTTTAGGCTCTGGCTTAGGCTCTATTTTAGCCTCTAGTTTAGCCTCTGATTTAGTTTTAGTCTCTATTTTAGCCTCTGGCTCAGCCTCTCGTTTAGGCTCTGGCTTAGCCTCTAGTTTAGGTTTAGGCTCTGTCTTCAACACCTTCTTTACAAGTGGCTCAGCGGGCTGTGGAGGTGATTCTTTCACCCCTACATCAGTAACAGCCTTCTTCTCTGGCTTAGCCTCTAGCTTAACCTCTGATTTAGGCTCTGATTTAGGCTCTGGTTTAGGCTTAGGCTCTGGTGTATCCTCTGGTTTAGGTTTAGGCTCTGTCTTAGCCTCTGGCTTAGGTTCTGGCGTAGACACTTTCTTTGCAAATGGCTCAGATTCTGTTACCCCTTCAACAACAAGAGTTTTCTCTAGCTGAGACACTTTCTTTGTAAGTGGTTCAACAGGATGTGGAGGTGATTCCTTCTTCTTTGCTGGTACTTGAAATGAAATTACACTATGGTAAAAATCAAGATACTACAGTTTGGGGTAAGCAGTGGAGCACCAATACAATACCAAATAAAGATGTGATCAAATAGAAAACACAACACAAAAGAGACACAAAACATACACACAAACAACAGAGAGAATCGCAAGACTTACGCAAGAGTGACACAAGAGTTGTGGATTTTGACCACATAAGAGGATATGTTGATTAGCAAACACTAGAATGAAGCGACTTGATGAACAATACTGGGCAAAAAAGTTTGATTTCAAACTAAGCATGAAATGGAATTGATGGATGATTTCGCTGACAAGATGATGAGATGAAACATGTTAGATTTACTTAGTATACCTCTTGAAGGCGAGGCTTTTGAAGAGATCTTTTCCTCCTTCGATGAGTCAAGAGTTTCCTCTTCAGAAGGAATTACTTCAACAGGTTTGCCTTTTTCAATGACCTGTTTCTTAGTTTGGTTGTCCTCAACTGTAAGAGGGATCTCTTCGATGGGTTCCTCTCTCGTAGTAAGTGTCTTATCAGCACTTTCCTTGGATTCAATTACTTTGGCAGGTTTGCCTTTCTCAACTACCTGTTTCTTAGTTTGGATGGCCTCAACTCTAAAATGAATCTCTTCAGTGGTTTCCTCTCCCGTAGTAAGAGTCTTCTCAAAAGTTTCCTGCTTGGATTGAATTACTTTGGAGGGTTTGCCTTTCTCAACTACCTGTTTCTTTGATTGGAAGTCCTCAACCGTACAAGGTATCTCTTCAGTACCAACTAATCCATGTCCTTTCTCTTTGGGCAAGGCCACTTTTTTTGGAGAGATACCTTCTGACAAATGTATTTTGTCCTTTCCTGTATTAACTTGAATATTTGATATTTCTTCCCTTACTGATTCTACTCTGATAGAAGATTCTACTGGTTCTTTGCATTCTACCGATTGAGCAATACTTTCTCGGTTAGATCGACTGTCAGTATATTTTCTTGCTGTTGGTTCGGGGAGAATAATATCTGTGGCTTCATTTCTATTCTCTGAAACATCCATAACAGATGCCTCTTGTTTTGAAACATATTCCTCATGTTCCTGGGGAGATAATTTTCTTGGAGAACTATAATCTGTCCTAACATGAATCTCCTGTCTTCCACCTGACATTTCCTTCTTGTCTGATACCCTGGTGGTAATTTCCTTATTCTTTACAATGTCTGTTTTCTTTCTTTTCACTTTTTTATCTATGTCTATAGCCTTGCTTTCACCCTTAACTACCTGCTGTAAATCAGGATACTTTTTCATAGATATTTCTTCACTCATACTAGCACTCCCTTGTTTCATGACGGTAACTTCTTCATATTTTTGTAGTCCAGTGTCCGCTTTTTCATCATATAATACTTCCAAAGATACTGTATCCTTTTTTATAGGTACACTGTCTTTTGTAGTAACTTTGTCAACTTTCTGGACAAATTGTTCTTCTATAGATTGAACTACTTGATAGATAGGTATATCTTCAATAGTAGCCTGTTCTGTCTTTAACTCAATTACATCAACAAAACGAGTTCCCTTAGTTTTGATGCCTGTCTCCTCTTCCTCTCTAGACACTAAACTTGCAGGGTAAACACTTTTCCTTAGAAGTGTTTCTTCTCCTTTTGTAGACGATTCATGAGACTCCCTCCGAAGAGATCTATCCTGTTTGGTTGGTAAATCTGCCTCTAGATCAGACCTAATTTCAACAGCACTTCTTTCCTTTGGTTTCGGTGTAGTAAAAACCTTAGTAGCTCTATCTTTCCTCTTGGAAACCTCACTAAGAGATGGTTCATGTTTCATATCTGACTTTTTATATTTTTGGACAGATACTTTTTCTGGAAGGGTATCTTTTGTCGTCACTGAAATCTTCGGTTGGAATGTCGATGTAGTGCTCTTGTCCAATATGTCACCTTTGTTCTCATATGACACCTCTTCATATTCATGCCCCACTTCTTCATGCTGAAAGACTTCTTCTATTGGAGGAGCTCTCTCCATCATGTCGGAAAACTCCCGCAACTTGTGAATTTTCGAAGATCTCCTTTTCTCAGCCATCTGAAGACTAGAAGTCACTTGAAGTTCCAAATATGTTTTTAAGAGTTCCCACCAAATGGTGGTTGCAAGAGATTAACGACAAAACACAACATAAAGACAAACATTGGGTTAAAAAAACACAGATATAAGAAAGTAGTACTAGCATACCATTATGCACCTGATATCTACATTTGGAGGTGAAATAAGATTGTAAAAAATTTAACACACAAACGTACAGAACATTTAGAATACCTGTGTCTGGCGGAGTTCCTTTTCTTTGTGGCATAACTTCTATTTCTGAAGTTGGAACTTTCTTTTCTTCTTCCATCTCCTTTTTAGGTTTAGCAACAGGTACCTTTTCAGTAGGTTTTTTCTCAGGTACTCTCTCAACAGGTACAGGTTTTTGTTTGGGCTCCAATACTTGAAGCACACACAAGACATGCATTAGACATTGGTAACACAGAAGAGTGACAGAAGGGTTGTTGCACAACACATCAAATATGACAAACAGAACGTCACGTGGCAACACATGTAACACTTTACCTCAACCATATTGTCAACATGGTCACAAACATAACATGACCCATGTCTAAAACAGTCAATAGTCATCATTTATCATAAGTCTTAACAACTTATGATAAACTATAAGTCTAATATTATGTCATATTGTAACACCATTAAGTCAGCTTCATGATGATAGCTCAAGTGTTACCCTTGTGTCTAGATTGTCAAACAGACACAAAACTGAGGAAAAAGGAGAGCCAGAAGACGGTAAACTTAAGAAAAAGAGTTCAAGAAGACTCTTAAGACGTCACAGTAAACAGTACGTACGGTACAGTACATAAGTCAGTGCATAAATCCCTACCTTTTTGCAGTGTATCCTCCTTTGGAATCACAATAACGGATTCAGGTTCTGGTTTTCTTTCTTCCACGTGAACTTAAAAGACCATTTAAGTGTGTTAAAAACATGCATATACAATGAAGATATTCAAGAAAGTAGTTTCAAAACACAGACATTGCACAAATCACACTCTATCGAGTGGTAAGACCGTATGACGATGATTATGACGAGACAAAATTAAGCAACCGGTGAAAATACTTTTCAGTTCTGCGCAAACTCTGTGACGTAGAAGTTAGACGACACCAAACGTGAACATAGACACAAACAAGACATAGATGTTCAAAGCTGGGGTTGTTTAGAAGAAAGCCATTAAACATTAACGGGAGAAGCATTGACAACCTATATTGTGTATACCTTGTTCTGGCACAGGTTGTATTTGAGGCTCTATGTCCTCTCTGTCCACTTTTTGAGGGATGGTAGCTGGTTGCTGCAGAGTTACCTCCTGTCTTTTTTGTGCTTCTGGCACTTCAAAATAATATGCAAATTATCAGTAATATACCATGTGCTGTGATGAAAGCATAACAAACAGACATATAATTGACAAAGAAAACAACAAATACGGATTCCAAATACGTGACATTACATAGTCTTAAACTTTGTAATGCCACAGACAGACAAAGACAGACAAAGATGGACTGACAAACAGAAGACTATAAAGAGCATACAAGTTGTTAAAAGACTCAGAAAGCTGCCTCTCTTTTGAGAGATACTGATACCTTGTGGTGATGGGACCTTCTTTGCAGCAGGAGTAGGCTCTGGCTCCTTTGGAGAAGGAGTAGATGCGGTCTCTGGCTTTTTAACTGCCGCTAGCTTTCCTGGTTCTGGTTTTGAAGCCTCTGGTTTCTTAGCTTTCTCAGGAACTTAAAGTAACATACACTTTGATTTAGAGTTCACATACCAAGGTAATAATTACACTATATAAAGATATGACACAAAATAAAGATTCACTTCTATCTTAGAAGCTATATAAACATAATATTACATACAGGAACACGTACGATTACACAAACAAAGGAGAGGTGACATTAGAGAGGAGAATAAATACTCCACAAAACAAGACATGACAGGAAATACCTTTGGATGGTGGACTCTCTGGTTTCTTTATAGGTGCACCCTTCAGTTCAGGTTCAACCTTAGCCACAGGTGAAACCTTAGGCTCTGGTTTTGACTCAGCTTCTGGCTCCGCAACATGGGGTGCAGCTTGAGGGACATCTTCAGGTAATACAGACATCAACATTAGAAACAATATAAGCTATGGGCTATCAAGAAAAACCGGTTACAAGAGTGAAAGCCATAAACGCATGGGACAAGAGTATGATTGAGACAACTTCTCTAAACTCAATGCACAAAGTGACAGACGTGGACAAACTTAGTCACACAGGCTTATTCACACAGAATCCTTTGGGATAATAACACGCAGTGTTAGAAATTGCAGCATAGATTATTTAGAAACTGTGAAGTAGACAGACAAGAGACTGACAAGAAGATATGGTATTAAGAGACAGACAGCTGAAAATATTCAGGACAGAGACTCAACATAATAAGAGCTCCAACAGCAGCAGTAGGAGCATTTCTGAAGCACATGGAAAAACGCAGTATACCTTTCTTTAAGGGAACCTGTTCAGGTTTCTCAGCTGGCTTATGGAAAAGCTTCTTTGCTTCTTCATGCTCTTCTAAGATATTGAAAGTGAGCAATTACATACACCAACAAAAAAAAAGAGTACAATATTGGTTATAGAAGTCATGCAAATAAATACAAAATAATTACGGACACTTAAAGGAAATAAATAAGTTAACGAAAACAAGGTTTACGTACAACAACCACAATCAACTAAAACAAACAAATTCACTGATTTAGTTAAAAGAAAAGTAAGAATACATGACAAACATGGCAAGATGGTTAGACAAGCACATCATTTCTGATGTAAGACTATACCTTTTGGAGAGGGATGTTTCTCTGGGACAACCTCTGCAGTTATCTTCTCCTCCACTGGCTTTTTGGCTTCAGGTACTTGAAAATATCATCACAGTAAGTACAAGTTATCACTGAGTTAATGTGTTGGGACAAATATAATTAATCTAATAATTTAATTTACAGTAGTGGACATTGGTTGCTTTACACAGACAACCAGTAATGCAAAAGTTGAATATTTACAGCAAAAGCCCTTCTTTTCAAATTTAGTTTTTTTTAACAGGAGAGACACACTTGGGTAAGTTATCAACATGTACACACATCAACCAGATCAACACAAAATACAATTTAGAAATGCAGATATTTAGATACCTTTATGTGGTTCTGCTGCCTCAGCTGGTTTAGCCTTGTCCTCGGGTTTCTTGTGAGCTTCAGAAACTTTAAAGATACTCATTGTGTTAGCCCTATATAGCAAAGCTCTATCTACTGTGTACATTCATGCATTCACATGTAAAGTACTTGCCAAAGAAGCACATATATTATGGAAGACAATACAGACAAACACATAAGCCACTATGCCTGATCAATTTAAGAGCAAAGAATAAAATATCATAAATACTGAAAGTACAAACCAAGGTTAAACTAAGTAAGACATGGAATGAAATTGAGCATGACATGGCAGGGAAAAACTTTGACGCGGTTAAAAGAAAATCAAGCTGTAAACAGAGTTTAATAAATGACACATTGACAAAGATCATGAACTTCTATTGCCAACTTTGCCATAACATTGCTGTAAGCCAAGACAGACAAAAGTTGTTCTTTCAATACCTTTTTGTGGCATTTCCTCCCTCATTCCAACCTTCTTACTCTGGACGGACTCTTCCTCAACAGGTACTCTCGGGGCTGATAAGACAATGAGAATATATTAGTATATTTGTTCAACACGGCACATCAGCTAAGGAAAGAGGTTTAGGGTTATAACACACAAATATAGACACAGAAATGAAATAACTCCTGTGGGACAACAAAGGAGAGAGAAAGACGTGATTTGTGAACGAGTTCTGCACACACAAACACACGCTAGTGCACTATGGCACGATCACACATACAAAGAGTAGGAGCCCATACATTCTGTTTCAAGATATTTTCAAAGAGTGGCTCAAACATACAAAGACAGACAAGGATGATTTTAAGCACCACACATATTACTACCAATGTGGCTCAAGGTGGAACGTTAAAGATGAACTGTTTGGTCCCTTGAGTTAGCTGCTAGCAGACATAAACTGCAATGGTCACATCTATTCTAAGGGATACCTGTGGTTGTAGAGATTTTCTGCACTACTGTCTCTTCTGTCCAGCTTTCATACTCTAATAAAGGGTAAGAATGAGAACAAATATTTTGTTGTTTAGATGAGCGTGAGGAGCATGGGGAAATGCTGGAATATTGGTTAGGTCGTGATACAATACTGAATCATCTTTTTAGAAGGTGTACAAACCTGTATAAACATGTTCAAATTAAATTGGTTAAATTGATGGTGGTGATTATTGACAGAAATGTTAGGTCATGTTACTAAGTTGAAGATTCTTTTTTGGTGATGTACAAACACATACAGACGTAGGATCTTAATTTGAGCCAGTTTACTACAGCAGGAAAATAATCCTGCATCAACAGGAAATTTGAATTATTATGTGGATTATAATTCATGGACAATTTTGTAGGGGTTGATACACTTTTCGTAAGGGAAAATCAAGTCTGAAATTACAAAGTGGAAATTACAAACTTCAGAATCCTTTTTAAATCTCAAATACACTTCAAGTTTTACATTTCCTGGGTAATCATAAGCATGAATAAACGTGAATAAACGTGAAAACATGGCATTAGTTCAATTGATGATGGTGATGGTTACTATTAATATGATGGAAATCTTGCACAATAATCGAACGTTAGTGAATTATTTTATGATGATTATAAGGGGTTTGATGGTGATGGAAAGACGCTTAATATAAAAGTATGCAAGGCCATATACCTCTCATTTCCATCTCTTCTTCATAATAGTATTCAGAAGATTCTTTAAAAAAACATATAGATGTTGAGTTCTCATATTCATTAGGTTAGTTTAGATTTATTTAATTAATGCCAATCTTATGTCCCATTCTTACCTTTGAGAGTAACTGAAGATGGCATATCAGGGATTCGTATTGATGAATCAGGGACATCTAAAGGATGTTGAATTTGGTTTAAATATCAAAGATACAGTATATATAAAATAACTTATATATTTAAGATAAGTTTACTAGGATTTTGATCAATAATTGTGATACATTTGAGACGTAGTGTGGCTAGAAATCAAATACTTACCATAGGGTACCCTTGCTAATTCAATTTCTGTGAAAAAGGAAGATTAAATATTAAAACCTGAATTAAGGCCACTATGAGATTCAGACAGCTGGAAAACAAAAACAAATGCTAACAACTATACCGACCTTTGCCTGAAAGATAAAGCTCAGCTGTGCTTTTAGCTTCCCCTCTGGGTTCCAACCTCACAATGACCGAGTAAACGCCTAAAGGATTAGTAATGAAGATTATTTAATAATCCATTTTGATGTATTCATCTGGGTAACGAGAATAAAAAAATCCATAAACTGCTTGTTTGACGCAACAGGTACTACACACCTTCATCTTCATTGGTTACATTGCGGATGATCATAAAGTGTCTTCTGCCTTCGCTTCTGAAGTTATACTTTGGGCACTCTCTGAGTTCCCAAGTGTCTTTGTACCATGTAACGATGGCATTGTCGAAAGACACCTCGCATTCGAAGGTGGCTGCTTGGCGTTCGCCCACCACAATGTTCTGGATACGTTTGGTGAAGTGAATTTGTTCAGCTAGAACAGATAACATGTGGTGATGAATTTAGTTCAGTTTGAATATTTCTGGTTATTCTCATAATTCAAACTCAAATGTGCAAATTCAAGTCAAATTGGACAATGGAGAATAGATATGCGGTTAGAAGTGTTCAACAGATCATGATGGATGATTCAATGGGATGAAAGTAAAGACAAAAAGTCAAAAGACAAGAAAGAAAGACAAAGAAATGTTGGTTTGGGGCAAAGTTCCAAGACCAACAAGTGTAAGAAAATAGAAAAAATATTATCAGAGTTTCAGGAAGAAAAATAATATGTCAAATCAAAAGTGCAAAAAATAGAAAATGAGTGAACAAACAACATTTAAAGATTAGTGACAAAATGAGTAATAAAGAAAAAAAGAGGTTAGTTTGGGATGATCTTCTCCACTCTACAACATGATGGGAGATGCAACAGCAACCAATTATTCTATGTTTTAATCTATACAAACCTTCAACCCATAGATCTGCAGTTGATTCAAGGTTGTCATATCTGCAGGTATAACGTCCGTGGTCTTCTGGTCGGAGGTCTTTAATCGAGAGCCTCTGAATCTTGTTGACCACCTCATATGAGTATCTGCCCTTAATTTCTAAAAGCTTTCCATTCTTAAACCACTGTGTTTTGACATTAGGGATAGAAAACTGGCAAGACAGTGTACATGTTTGCCCCTCCTTACCAGCAACTTCCTCCAGATGTTTCTCAACCTCAGGCTCTGTAAAGACACAAAGAACAAATATGCATGTCGGTTAGTATTTACAGATACAGTATAAAGACATAAATCAATAACATTAATGTAAGTACAGAATAAACAAATGCAGAACCATATATACCCACCGATAACAGTCAATTTGGCACTGGAGATATGTGGGCCACATACAACACGGTAGTTGCCCTGGTCTTTAGTTTGACACTGCTTGATCTTCAGAATGTGACGGTCACCAACAATGTTGATTTCGTATTTTTCATTGTTGTCAAGCTTCTGAGTTCCCTTGTACCAGGACAGGGTGATCTCTGGAAAGTTGATCTTGATGTCACACTCAAAGGTGGCGACCTTGTTGGTGACTGTAGATTGATCTGTTATGTCCTTATTCACGGTGACAGGCTGCAAACAAATAAAGAAGACATACAGTATATGCATATAATACATGATAATTACTGCTGTTGTCATTTTCAGACATTTCATTGTGGTAGCTAATGAGGAACCTACCTCAGTACGTTCCATTCTCTTTTGCAAATCAGCCACAAGAGCGGCCAAATCCTCGTCCGATTCTCTCTCTCTCTCCGGTTCCTAAATCACACAAAACACATAGCAGAACTAGTTAGTGTGGCCATTATGCCTTTAAAAAAGCAACAAAATTCTGTATTGTATGACTAATATTACGTTTTAAAAAACGTATGTTCTAAAAAAAAGACAAAGCCATTCAATTCAATTGAATACAACTTTATGTTAAATTAATTTACCGGTCTTCCACTTTCTTCTGCTTTCTCCCGCTTCAGCTGCTCAATGGCCTGAAGAAGTCCACGGTAGTCAGTAATTCCATACATGCGGGCGTATTTCTCATACTCCTTAGGGTCCACATTTCTGAGCAACTCTACAATGTCAATGTCTTTCTCTTCCTGAGGACTCTTCTGCTTAGATGGAGTCCTGTGGAGGATGAAAAAGCGAAGAGATACGCATGGAAAATATTATTTGTAGTTTCTTGTGGAATGTGAAAGGTAGAGACACAATTGTCAAAGAGAGATTCACTTACTTCTTCAGTTTTGCTCTGAAGTCTCCCTCAACTCCGGTGACTTCTTTCTTTTCCTCAACATGCATGTCGGTGTTGCATTCTATTTCTCCATTTTTGTTAGATGCAACGCATCTGTACTGTCCGGAGTCAGACTTTGTTATTTCTCTGATCTCCAACTTGGCATCTGGGCCTTTCTGCTCAATAGTGATGCGACCACCATGAGTGATCTGCCTCCACTTCCCCTTCATCCATTTCACGTTAGGAATGGGATCCCCTCCAACTTTGGCGATGAACGTTGCAATGCCCTCTGTAAATGAACACAACATATTGAAGACATCACTTGCTATGGAAATGTTAGATATCCAATGATTAAACAATGTGGGGTGTTAATTGAATAATAATGAAATGCTTCTAAATCTCTTTTCATGACACTTACTCTCGGCTACATGGCAAGGCTTGGGCTCCTCGATGAAGAACAAATTGTCCAGTTTCTTTACTGGTACTGCTGTTGATTCCTCATCAGCGGGTTTAGGTACTGCTTTGGATTTCTCTACAATAAAGCATAATTCAAGAAGTCTGTTATAAAACCATAATCATTCATTCATGACAGCTGATTCCACAAGTTATTGGATATGACTTGAATGAAAATATGGTCCAGAAGATGTACCTTTGATAGTCACTTTGGCCTTGCAGAATTCACTACCAGCTTCATTGGTTGCCTTGCAGAGATAGTCCCCTGCATCATTCTTTGATACGCGCATGACCTCCAAAGAGGCAACGTCATCGGCGAAAATGATTTTAGTGCTGGAAGTGTTTTTCAAGTCTTTTCTGTCCTTCATCCACTGAATCTTCATAGGAGGGGATCCATGGACATGACAGCTAAGATGCAGGTTCTCTCCCTCGGTCAGCGTGACAGGTTTGAGAGCTGGGTCAAATGTAGGGGGTTTCTTGTGTTCTGGATCAATAGTGAAGAGTCATGGAAAAACATACATGGGACATAGAAATGCATTCACACGTTATGTACATCTAATTTTCTATGGAGAAACACAACAAAATAGACAAGTAATTATATGGACCTACCAGTTATGGTAACTGTCACTTCGCAAGAGGCAGTGCCAGCTTCATTGGTGGCTTTGCAGGTATATCTGCCAGAGTCTGAGACTTTGGAGCTCTTGATACACAACACAGCCACATTGCTCTTGAAGGACATGTCATAGTGATCAGAGCTGTGACTCTCACTGTCATCTTTGTACCAATTGATGGTCATGGGCTGAGAACCAGACAAACGTGCCTCAATTTTCACCATCTTGCCCTCTGTATCCTCAAGGGTCTCTGTGGGCTTTTTCGTGAATGTAGGTGGGATTTTGCGCTCTGAAAAGAAATATAAAAGCATGAATGGTTTACGAAACAAGATTGCAATGTTCACGTTAGGTGTCACGTAAGGTGACAAAGAAGGCTAATGCAAACAAAGTACTATACCAAAAATGTCTCTCAAGAAACACGAGGGACTAAAATTGGGTGCCAGTGGGCCAAATACCTTTGACAGTAATTTCAGTGGAACAAGAGTCCTTTCCAATGTCATTAGTGGCATGGCAAAAGTAGCGGCCAGAGTCTGCTTTAGCTGCTTTCAATATAGTAAGGTGTGGGGTGTTATCCACGCAGGACATCTTGTAATTTCCCCCTGATCGAATATCTTTGTGATCCTTTGACCAAGTTACTTTTATTGGCAAAGATCCAGTCATGTGGCATTCCAATTCCACACTATCACCCACTGAAATATCCACCACGGGTGACAGCGTTTTATCAAAGACAGGGGGATATCTTGGCTCTAAAAGTTAAATGATGGGAAAGAGTTGGAACATACAGCATACTTTGAAATGAAAGCATTGACACTGTACAATATGATATTGTACTAATACAGAACGTGCACTGTCTCTCAGTCAGCAAGCAAAAAACTACTTCTTTGAAGAAAAACCGACCGACCTTGAAGAGTGAGTTTGGCTCTGCAGGATGCAGTCCCAACACTGTTGGTAGCAACACAAGTGTATTCCCCAGAGTGCCTCATTTCACCTCTGGCTATTTTTAGGGCAGCAGTGTTATCATCATAACTCATGGTATAGTCGTTGGATTTCACAGTTTCACCGTCTTTAAGCCAAGAGACCTCAATGGGTGAGGAGCCTGCCACACGGCACTCAAATTTCACTTCCATTCCTTCAGTCTGTTGAAGACTGGTTATTTTCTTGGGGAAGGTAGGTGGCGTTTTTGCCTCTGAAAATAGGATAGTTCAACAAACAATATAATGACATTAGCTGCAAAAAACTTCATACTAGTTGTTAATTTCATAAACAATGATGCAGAGTCAAAACTGAATATTTCCAGATTAAAAAGAGAACATTCCTAAATAAAAGATGACTGGGCATCACCTTGGACAGAGAGACGGCAGGTGGATGAGGCTGATCCTATGTTGTTTTCTGCTTTGCATGTGTATTCACCAATATCAGCCTTGGCTGCTTTGCTCAGTTTTAAGCAAGCAATTCCTTTGGAATATTCTATTTTGCAAGTAGGGGTGGACCTCACTTTTCCGTCGGCCTTAAACCAAGCCACCTTTATTTCTGGGGTTCCGCCGACATGGCATTTCAAACAAACTGCATCACCAGCAGTCACTTCCATTGGCTCCAAATTCTCAATGAAATAAGGTGGTTCTAAAGTGACAGATATAAACCGTTCAGAAACATGCATATGTACATCAGATATATACAGTATAGGACAATCCCAATACATTACCAGGTCAACTTAGGTAAACTAACCTAAGATGGACACTTGTGCTTTGCAGGTATCCTTTCCAGCATCATTGGAAACTTCACAAGAGTATTCCCCACTTGCTTCCTTATCATCACTGTTTAAACACTCCAGGATGCAGGAGGTCTCAGTTGTAGTGACATTGTGCTTATAAGAGGCATATAGCTGTTTGCCGTCCTTATACCAGGTGACAAATATCTTTGGGGTTCCAGTGTATGTGCACTCAAGTATCAATGATTTCCCCTTTTCCACAGAATGGTCCTTCAGCTTCTTAACAAAGCGCGCAGGTTCTGAGTTAAATCATACAGAAGTTTGTTAGTCCACATTCTGATTAATTTTGTCATTTTGTTTTAATTCTGTTAATAAAAATATGTAATACAAATATTTTTTGTTCAATTATTGACCAACCTTTCACAAACAGGTTTACCGGGCAACTTTCCTTCCCAGCATCATTAATAATCTGGCATGTATATTCTCCAGCGTGGGATTTGTCAATTTTAAATAGCTCCATAGTAGCTGTATTGTCCCGCAGAGCAATTTCATAGCCTTTTCCAGACAAAATTTGCTTGGCGCCTCTGAACCATTTCAGTTTCAGTGGGGCACTTCCTTTGACAATTGCTGAGAACAAAACATTTGTGCCAGGCATGGCTTCCAATGGCTGAGGTGGCATCACGAAAGAAGGAGGTTCTAAATACAAAAATTACATACTTTTAGCTTGCCGACATCTGACATTAAATCAGTTACTTCACAAAGCAATAGTCATTACGAAGCCCAAACGAGTTCTGTAGATTCAAACCTCATATTTACTGACCTTTCACAATGAAAGAGGCACTGGTCTCATTGGTTCCTGCCTTGTTTACGGCTTTGCATTTATACACTCCGGAGTCTGACAACTTAAGAGTGGGCACTTTGAGCGTGCAGTTGTTGTCACTGAATGCAATCTCATAGTTTGGTCCAGTTTTGATCTCCTCTCCATCATGGTACCAGGTAATGGTGAAAGGTGCGGAACCAGAGACTTTGCAGTCCATTTCACCAGCTTTTCCAACAATAGCTTGATAATCCTTCAATTTCCGTGTAAATGTTGGAGGTATGGTTTTATCTGTTATAGAAGGACATGGTTAGTAACCAGTGCATTAGGCAAAACACTAGGCAATTAGGCAAATATCATATTACACTGTGTTTAGGAAGTGGCCACCAACCTAGTACAGTGAGGTTTAATTTGGTGAGATCACTGCCAACCTCATTTTTGACCTCAAATGTATATTCTCCTGTATCAATTCTTTCAGCAGACAAAACTTTCAAGCTGGAGATCATCTTTGAGAATGAGATTTTGTACTTCTGGCCAGAGGAGAGCTCGACTCCATCCTTAAACCATTTTGGTTTCAGCTCTGGTGTCCCCGACACTTTGACTTCTAAAGCTGCAATATCACCTGCAGTCACACTGAAAGACTCTGGTCTATCCACAACTTTAGCTGGTTCTGAAAATAAAGAACATGAAAAGAGGTGTGCTTACAGAAACTGAATGAAAAAAAAGCAATGACTGGGGGGAAAACTAAGCGAATTAGAAAATGGAATTAAGAGAGAAAATTGAAATGTACAAACCTAATACAGTCAAGTTAGCAAAACATTCCACAACTCCGGCATCATTTCTGAGTTGGCAGGTGTATTTGCCCATTGCAAGTAAATCTGCTTTAAAGACTTTAAGAGTGACCTGGTTGTTGTCAAAGGTAATTTTCCGGTTGTCACCATCTCTGAGAATGTGATCCTTATCCTGTACCCAAGACGCAGTCATTGGCTGAGAGCCTTTGACAGTGGCTGTCAGGGTGACTTCTTCACCCAATATGCATGTTGTATTTGACAATTTCTTCACAAACGTAGGTGGTTCTGAGAGAGGACAAACACGGACAGGAGAAAAAAAACATAATGAGGGAGTAGTTCATGGTTAAAAGCTGGAACATCAATTATCGAAATAAAATAACAAAAAATACCCACCGACGACGCAATTCTACTAACCTCTGAGTTTAACTGTAGTATGGCATGTTTCATATCCTACACTGTTTGATGCCTTGCACTCATATTCTCCAACATCTGAGGCTTCCAATCCAATGATATGAAGAGTGGCAGAGGTACCCTCATTCACCATCTTATATTTCCTACTTTCTTTTAGTGCTGTTTTGTCTTTGGACCAGGTAATCTCAAAGGGTGCTGTGCCAATTATCTCACAGTGTAGGCTAGCATCCTTTCCTTTCATTCCTTCAATTGGCTGAGGTACTTTGAGGAAAGATGGTGGGTCTACAAAACATTGACAAACGTTAAGAAGCAGCTCTCTTTGTTATATGCAGCAAAGCTTCAAATTCATACTGATGTAATACCACCAACAGACAGTATACTAACACTGGATTATTATGGAATATATCATGTCATTGATCACTGGCTAACCTTTGACTGTAAGAGTTGTGCTGCAGCTTATGCTTCCAGCTTCATTGGTTGCTTCACAAGTGTAGACTCCATTGTCTTCTAATCTTGTGGTGTGCAGCTCAAGGAATGCCATTGAGTCAACGAATGAAGTTCTATAGTTGTCACCATCTGTGATCTTAGTGTCATTTTTGTACCATTGCATTCGCAGAGAGGGCGCACCCGTAACTTTGCATTCAAGACGGAGTGGCTCACACGTCTTCACAAACTTTGTGACTGGCAATTTCAGCACAAATTCAGGAGGTTCTGCAAAGCCAAAATATAGCAAAATTAGGTTATTGAGGCACATGCAACTTGACAAAGTGAAAGAATATGAAGCTTGGAATGAACTGCAAAAAGAGGTGATTTGATGACTTGATGGATCTGTTAAGGAGTAAAGGCAAGATGAATGTGAAAAGGGAAATGGGAAGCATGACACATGGTGGACAAACAGTTGTTGATGTGATGGTGGAGTTGGTGAAGGTGCTATGAACTGGTGAAGGAGCTGTGAAAATGCAAAGCAATTGAGCACAGATAAAAGCATTCGAGGACAGACGGAACGATGGAAGCCAATCGAGGAAAGATGGGAAGATGGAAGCCAATGCAAGAGTTTAAATAAGAGCATGTTCCAACCTTTTACTGTTAAATCGGCACTACATCTTTCAGTGCCGGCATCATTGCTAACTTGACAAGAGTAAACTCCACTCTGCAAAACTCCAACTGAGTAAAGATCTAAGAAGCAAGATAATCCTTCCAGTCCGGTAAAACATGATGGTCCAGTGATCAATTCAGTGTCATCCTTGAACCATTTCACTGTGAAAGGAGGTGTTCCTTTAAACGTGCTCTTAAATCGCACATTGGAGTTAGGAAGAGCTGCCTGGGACTCAGGCAACAGCACAAAGCTTGGTGGCTCTAAAGATACATTTGAAAAGAAACAATAGCAACCAAGTTAATCAGCTGGCCTGACCCTATCACAAGAGAGGAAAATATAAATTTGATATGAATGTTATCAATTCTGACCTTTCACCCTAAGTGCCCCACTGCATTCAACACTTCCTGCTTTATTTGTCAGTTTGCAAGAGTAAGTGGCGGCATCAGCTCTCTCTAACTGTTCGATTTCCAAAGACACAGAATTATCTTGACGAACAAGTTTATATTTTCCACCAACGGAAATATTGTTTCCATCTTTCTGCCATTCCACAGTAATGGGAAGGGATCCAGATATTTTGCAGTCAATTTGAACAAATGTTCCCAATATTTCCTGTATTTCACTCATTGGTTTGGTGAAGCTTGGGGGAATAGTTTGTTCTGTTTTCACAAGAGCAACAACAAAACAGTCAAAACCATATGCATTGCATATCATGTAATAACCAGTATACTATCACACTCATTTGTTACAATACAAGATTTTGCACTGACCTAGTACAATCAACTTGACTTTGCAACTGCAGGTATCAATGTGGTTTGAGACCTCAAATTGATAGTTGCCTGCATCCTCCTTTTGTGTAGTCTGAATTTTAAGGCTACTAAGGTTGTTCTCAAAGCTAAGTTTGTGCTGTGGACTTGACTTGAGCTCTTTGCCATCTTTGGTCCACTTCAGTTTGAGCTCAGGACTGCCTGCCACTTTGCACTCTAAACTGACTGGATCCCCAATAGTTACTTTCATCACTTCTGGTTTCTCTGTAATCTGAGGTGGTTCTAAAATGCATAGAAATATAAATTTTCTGTTAAAATCCATACATTTCAAAGATAGACCTGACCAACATTTTTTAAAATATCGAGTTAGCATACTAAATGAAAAGACAAACCTTGCACCATGAGGGTTGCATAACACTTGTCCTGTCCAGCATCATTTGCAACCTGGCAGGTATATTTCCCGCTGTGACGGGCCTCACAGACCGGAATCCTTAGAGTTGCCACATTATTCTCAAATGTCCGTTCAATTTTAGGATCTTCCAAGATCCAGTTCTCGTCTCTTTGCCATTGTACAGACAGAGATGGTGACCCAGTGACAACACACTGAAATTCAGCCGATTTGCCCAAAACAGTGGCTACATGTTCAATTTTCTTCACAAATGATGGTGGTTCTAACATCAAACCAAGAGACAATTATTGGCAGTGATCAGTAAGTAAGAATATGTTGTCATCATGGAAGTTATGTAATCTATCACAATAGTACATGTTTTAAGTAACTAACCTTTTATACGAAGTGTAGTTCTACAAGAACAACTTCCAACCTCATTTGAGACAGTACACTGGTATTCACCAACATCTACACCATCACATTTCTGTATTTCAAGATTCAGAATTTCCTGTACTTGTGAGAAACTGTGCTTTGTGCTGGATTTAATTTCCTTTAAATCCTTGTGCCACATGACCTCAAACGGACCTGTGCCAATGACTTGACACTCGAAAGACGCATTTGAGCCCTTCACAATATCAGCAGTTGATAACTGTTTAACAAAGGATGGTGGCTCTGAGGTAGAGAAAACAGACAATTCAATGAAGTCTGAATCATATAAAGGTTTGAAAATATAAAATGATTCCTAAAAAGACAATTAAACTAAACCAACCTTTCACTTTCAATTCCATATTGCAGCTTTCACTGCCGGCTTCATTACGGGCCTCACAATAGTATATTCCACTGTCCTTAGTATCAGCACCACATATCTCTAGGGTTACTATGTTGTTAACAAAGGACATCTTGTATTTGTCACTAGGACTTATCTCGTTCCCATCTCTGAACCAGTAAATATCAATCTCTGGAGTTCCAGTCACCTGGCATTCAAATGTTTTACTTTGCCCAGGTTTTACCACTGACACACAGTCAGGTTTTCGTGTGAACTTTGGAGGCTCTGTAAAATGAAGTAAACATAATAAGTATAGCAGAGGTCCAATTCCAAAACAAATGTCAAGAAGGTAAAGAATAACGGACAATAAGAACCTTTGACAAAGAGCGTTGCTTGGCAAGCATCAGAGCCGACGTCATTATTAATTTCGCAGATATAGTCTCCAGAGTCTAACGCTTTGGCAAAGAAAAGCTCCAGTGACGTAGAGGTGTTGTCTTTAGTCACAGAGCAATCAGAGCCGGATAAGATCTCCTTCTTGTCTTTAAACCATTTAATGGTCAAGGGTGGCGTGCCAGACAAAAGGACATTAAATTGAACCTTTGATCCAGGCAAAACATCCATTGATTCAGGCCTTTCTAGAACTGATGGTGGTTCTGTTGATAAAAGGGGGAACGCATGTTTCAAGTTAAAAGTCTAAAAAGTTCTGAAGCCAAAGATATAGAAATATAGAAGACAAAAAAATTGTTATCCAAACCTTTTACAAGTAAGGCCCCAGAACACTGGTCTTTGCCTGCCTTATTAGTAGCAATGCAGGTATAGCTACCACTGTCTGCACTGTCAAGACGACTTATTTCCAGAAAAGCTGTGTTTTCAAAGAATGTGCATTTGTGCTTATCATCAGTCTTGATCTCTTTCTCATCTTTGTACCAGAGTACAGATATGGGCAGAGAACCAGACAAAAGACACTCCAAGTGGGCAAATGATCCTTTGATACTCTCCGTTTCCTTCAGTTTCCTTGTGAAAGATGGTTTCATAATTTGATCTAGCATAAATAAAAAAGAAAGTAATGAGAATGCTGTCAAAACAGGTATACCTGTACAAAAAGCTCAAACAATGATTAAAATATGTATAAATTAGCTGACCTAGAACAGAAACTGTAGCTTCACAAGTACTGCTTCCAACGTCATTGGAAACTTCAAATGTGTAATCTCCACTATCACTTTTTTCTGTACTGAGAATATTTAGTACAGAGCTCTTATCTGTGCTGTGTACTTTGTATCTTTGACCTGATGTCAGCTCTCTTCCATCCTTCAGCCATTTCACTTTGAGCACCTTGGTTCCTGAGAACCTGCACTGGAGTGTAGCAGGATCCCCCATTGTAACACTGACAGATTTTGCCTGTTCAGTGATATTTGCTGGTTCTGTGATAAACATAATATTCAACAATGAGTTTTTAACATCAGAGTATAAAATCCAAACAACAACAGCAATTTGAAAAATGTCCTCATAAACATCAACCAACCTTTGACTACCAATAACGCAGAGCATTTCTGGCTGCCAGCTTCATTTTTGGCCTGACAAGTATATTTCCCAGCATGTTTGGTTTGAATATTTAAAATACGCAGCAGTGCTGTCCTGTCTTCAAAGGACATCTGCGCATGTTCACCATCTTTGACCTCATGGTCATCCTTCAGCCATGATACAGTCATTGGTAGTGATCCTTTCAGAGTACACTGCATAGAAATCTCACTGCCAACTAGGGAATTCATATTCTCTATCTTTTGCACAAACGATGGCGGTTCTAAAGGTGGAAAAGCATACAACATTTTAACTGAAAGTCTACAGAAATAAATAGATACATACACTACCAGTCAAAAGTTTGGACACACCTACTCATTCAAGTGTTTTTCTTTATTTTTTACACTTTTTTACATTGTAGAATAATAGTGAAGACATCAAAACTATGAAATAACACATATGGAATCAGGTAGTAACCAAAAAAGTGTTAAACAAATCAAAATATATTTTATATTTGAGATTCTTCAAATAGTCACCCTTTGCCTTGATGACAGCTTTGCACACTCTTGGCATTCTCTTAACCAACTTCATGAGGTAGTCACCTGGAATGCAATTCAATTAACAGGTGTGCCTTCTTAAAAGTTAAGTTGTGGAATTTGTTTCCTTCTTAATGCATTTGAGCCAATCAGTTGTGTTGTGACAAGGTGGGGGGGGGGGGGGGAATGGAAAACCCAGAGGATAAGTTCATTAGAGTTACCAGCCTCAGAAATTGCAGCCCAAATAAATGCATCAGATGACCTGGCCTCCACAATCAACAGACCTCAACCCAATTGAGATGATTTGGGATGAGTCGGACGGCAGAGTGAAGGAAAAGCAGCCAACAAGTGCTCAGCATATGTGGGAACTCCTTCAAGAACGTGGGAAAAGCATTCCAGGTGAAGCTGGTTGAGAGAATGCCAAGAGTGTGCAAAGCTGTCATCAAGGCAAATGGCGGCTATTTGAAGAAACTCTAATATAAACACTTTTTTGGTTACTACATGATTCCATATGTGTTATTTAATAGTTGTGATGTCTTCACTATTATTCTACAATGTAGAAAATAGTAAAAAATAAAGAAAAACCCTTGAATGAGTAGGTGTGTCCAAACTTTTGACTGGTACTGTATATTTAAATTGAAGGTTTTCACACCAACCTTTCAGTGTCATCTCACAATCACAAGATGACTTCCCAACTTCATTTTCTACTGTACACTGATATTTTCCAGCATCTCTCACTTCAATTGCCAGAATCTGGAGGGTAACTATGTCATCCTTTAAGACTATCTTGTGTCTTTTATCATTTCTGATCGCCTTTGTGTTTTTGTAAAAAGATACGTTGAATGGAGCAGAGCCTGCAAGCTTTCCTTCCAACATAATATCAGATCCTTTGATAACTTCTTTGGATTCAAAGGTCCTTGTAAATATTGGAGGTTCTAAAAGAAGATGGCAATCAAGTCAGAATACAATCTAAAAATATAAATTGATTAATCTAAAAAAAACTCAGAAAGCTGAATACTCAACACACCTTTAACTGTAACTGTGCTGCTGCTGTGGTCACTACCAGCGTCACTTGATGCCACACAAACATAATTTCCACTATCATCAACAGAGCAGTTGACAATCTCCAATGAGGCAACTGAATTGATGACAACCATTTTGTATTTCTCATTTTGTGTTATCTCGATCTCATTCTTGAACCACTTAAAACTGATCTCAGGGGTGCCAGTTGCTTTACACTCTAGCTTTACAGCACTTCCTTTCACTACTAGTTTCGTAGACTCAAGCTTCATCACAAACACTGGAGGTTCTAAAAAAAGAGTTTGATACTGATTATCAGACAAGTAAACAAACATTGATGCAAGAACAGAAGAACAACAAATGCATATTGAGCAGGGTATATATAAGAAGAAAGGGCACCTTTCACAAACAAGACAGCAGTGCATGCCACCTTTCCAGCGTCATTGGCCACTTGGCAATGGTAGTTAGCTGAGTCAGTGGGCTTTACTGAGTGAAGTTCCAAAAAACTTGAGGAGGTCTCCTTCTTGATAAAAAATGTGCCTCCACTTGATATCTCCTTGTCCTCTCTGAACCACTTGATCATAAGAGGAGCTGTTCCAGTGAAAGCACACTTCAAGACAACGGTAGATCCTGGTATGACATCTTGGTTGTCAGGTTTCAATGTGAAGATTGGAGGTTCTAAAATTCATTAAAAGGAGAAAATATTAATTTTTCAGCATCATATTATCCCAAGAAAATGCCATAGGCCTACTTCAATTGGACGTGTGACATAGGGCTAAAGAATTACTTAAACGTTATAAACCTTTGACATATAAGGTTCCACTGCTTTCTTTAGATCCAGCAGAATTTGTTGCCCGGCATGTGTACACTCCAGCATCAACCTTTTCCAATTGAGTAATTTTCAGTGCAGCTGAGTTGTCTTTGAGTTCAGGTAAATATCTATCTCCAGACTTAATTTCTTTATCATCTTTGAACCAAGACAGAGTCATAGGCTGGGATCCTGATACTTTGCAATCCATTGAAATATCATTACCCATAATTCCATCAAGTCTTTTCAGAGACCTTGTGAAAGAGGGTGGTATGATACGATCTGTTTTGGAAAGAAAAATTGACATCATACTGTACATTGCAAGTTAAAATAAATGTCATGAAATCAAACTTTTAAAAGTAGCAAAGAAGAAAAGCTAACCCAGCACAGTAATAGAGCATGAGCACTGGTCCTTTCCAACACGGTTGGACACTTCCATCGTGTATTCGGAAGAGTCTACTTTTTCAGACGCAAGAATCTTTAAGATGGCAATATTATCTTTCAGAGTTATTTTATATTTTCGACTCCCTTTCATCTCCTTTCCATCCTGGAACCATTTCACTTTAAGTTCTGGGCTTCCAGCGATTTTGCATTCCAAGGTTGCAGATTCCCCTGAAGTCACGTTGATGGATTCTGCTTTCTCTAAGATTCTAGCAGGTTCTATAATAAAGTAAAATGAATTAGATTGAGGTGTCACAAGAGTATAATGTGTTTATATGTAATACATAAATATATATGTACATGTTTTATTTAAATGTTTAAATAGTTATCTAACCTTGAACTGTAAGAGTGGCTTCACATTTGTTTTGTCCAGCCTCATTCTCTGCTTGGCAAGTGTACTTGCCACCATGGCTAATGGCAACAGTTGTTATTGACAGAATAGCAATGTTGTTCTCAAATGTCATTTTGATATTTGGATCATCATCTCTCAACATTTCAGTGTCCCTCATCCATTTGACAGGAAATGGGGGGTGAGCCTTTCAATGTGCCCTGCAGTTTCACAGAATCTCCCAATGTTGCTGTAATGGTTTCAATCTTCTTTGCAAATGTTGGTGGTTCTATACAAAACATATTATCAAATCAATGAATCATGTTTTTTAGAAAACATACTGTATTTAGATAAATCAATGTGAGTTTTTTTAATTTATCAACAATACTAACCTTTTAGTTTGGCCAGTGCATTAGTGGTGATTTTACCAACATCATTAGCTATGCAGCACTGGTAATCCCCAATGTCTGCACTTTCAAATGAGCAGAACTCCAAACGAGCAATGGACTCATGAGAGACGATCTTATATCTTTTATCTGTGGCGACGACTGGTTTCTTATTCTTCAACCAGGTGATTTCAAATGGAGCTGTTCCTTTAATTTCACATTCAAGTATGGCAGGAGTTCCCTTCACTGTCTCTACCATTTGCAATTCTTTTCGAAGGGAAGGGGGCTCTAAGAGTAGAGATCAGATTAAATTATACAACTATCTGTTAGATTTTGTAAATAATTGTAAGTAAAGAAAATATGTAATGGTGGCAAACCTTTTACAGATAACTCAGTGCTGCAGCTCTCACTACCAGCTTCGTTTGACACCTCGCAAGTGTAGTTTCCGCTGTCTAACACGTTTACATTGATTATTTCCAAAGTTGCAAGACCAGCCTTAAAAGTGATTTTATATTTATCTCCATCACTGAGCTCCTTGTCATTCAGAAACCAGGTAGCTTTGAGTTCAGCTGATCCTTTGACTGTGCACTGCATCCGAGCAGCTATGCCTTGCTTCCACATTAGTTTTGGTTCCATTTTCTTAACAAAGGTAGGGGGCTCTGAAATAAGTTTTAGTTTGCAAAACAGCAAAAGTGTTGTCAAACAAGAATCAATACATAACCACCAAAAGAGAAGAGTTCAAGAAAGATAAAATAAAAATACATACAGTAGCTGCATAGCGTTAGTGGCTGTTTCAAAGAGGACTCAACAGCTGTTTTTTTTTACAATTAGTTCCTAGTAAGCAGATCTGTAAGTGCACACACACTACGTTAATACAGAAAATCTACTTAAAGACCTTACCTTGTACCGTCAACGTGGTAGGACAAGTTGTACTCCCAGCATCATTTGAAGCTGTACATACATATTTCCCTGAATCTTTCAGTGTTGCCTTTGTAATTTCAAGAACGACAACCTTGTCTTCAAAGGATTGTTTACAATCCATTGTTTGATGAAGCTTTTTGCCATCTTTCATCCAGGTGATGGACACTCCAGTGTCCTCATCCACTTGACCTTCGAGCCGCAGTGTATTACCAACGGCTGAAGACACTGAGGCCTCAAAGGTCTTTATGAAACTGGGTTTGTTGATAACCCTCAACTCTGAACTGCATATAGCAGTACCAACACTGTTTGATGCTTTGCAAAGGTAAGTGCCCTGATCGTTCAGCTGAAGATTTTTGATTTGTAGGGAATATTTGGTCTTGTCAGATGATATTTGATAGCTTCCCCCCGGAGAGATAGCAATGTTGTCTTTGTGCCAGACAATAGTCATCGGTGAAGAACCAGTAACTACACACTGGAATGATGCTTGTTTGCCCACGTATAAAGTCATGGGATCAGGCTTTGTACTAAATACTGGCGGGTACATCTCTATAAAAAAGTAATTAAAGATGGAAAAAAGCAATAGGATATGAATACCTAAACTGGTACAATATACAAATGTTGAGACAACAAGTGCACATTACAATTTTTTGTACTGTTTTCAACCTTTAAAAAAAACATAAATATACATACAGTTGCATAAATAATGTTAAAGGAAACAGAGGACTCACCAGTCACTGTCAGTTTGGCGGCACAGGTGTCACTGCCATGCTGGTTTGTAGCCTTGCAGGTGTATTCACCACTGTCGGCTTTGGTTGGGCTCAGAAGCTCCAATGAAGATGTCAGTTGCCGAGTGAGGATGTGACAATTTGCACTCTCTTTGATTGAAGTGCCAGACTTGAACCATTTGAAGGTCACATTTGGTGCCTCTTCAATTTCACATTCAAACTTGGCTCTGCTGCCAACATTGATCTCCAGGGGAACAATTTTGTACCTGAAAACAGGTGGCACTATAATGTGCACAAAAAGAAAAGTAAATTAGTACCCAAGTAGATAATGATGCAAAAAAATGACAAGTAGACAAATGGTGCACAGAGCTGGAACAGGGATGGTGGAATGCAACGGTATGGTGGGATGCATTCCAGGAGTGACTGTGAAGAAATGGTGGAATGGTTAGAGGAGGAAGGAGGAAAGTGACTTCATGATAGAGGAAGGAGGAAAGTGACATCATGAAGAATGAAACCATGACAAATTTGCCCCTGAAAGCATGCAAAAATATTTCAGTGCTCAGTGGAGAATGACCAAGAATGAAATGTTATAGTTCATGGGTGACGAAAATACCTGGGAATGATATAGAAGAAATAAACATGTGGAGAATGATATAGAGAAATACTAAGGTGAATTAGTAGTGGATTGAAAGTATGGTAAATTCATGCTGAAAATTATATTAATAAAAATATCGATTTTGCATTAATTTGATCTAAAAATAAATATGTATGAAATAAAGTATGAGTTTGCTGCCAAGATTAAAATAAAATGTTATATTACATTAGAAAAATGTAATGAATGAAAGTTAGTTTATATGTATGGTGACGAGTAACAATAAAACTATCCCCATTATCCAACCTTTCGAGACAACTGTGAGTCTTGATGATGTTGTAGTCTTTCCAGCTTCATTCACAGCCTCAAAGACATATTCTCCTTCGTGCTTCTCCTTGATAATTTTCATGATTGTAAGTGTGTATGTGTCAAGTTCTTTGGAACACTTGAACTCTTTGCCAGATTTAATTAGTTGTCCATTGAAAAGCCAATTAGCTTTTGTAACATACTTTACTGTCACAGTGTATGTAACCTTACAATGCTCCTCTGTGGCAATGTCCTCTAGGAAAGTTTCAATAATGGGATAATATTTTACGTTTTCTTGAGGTTTGGATTTTTTGACCTCTTCTGAAATAAATTCCTCCCTGTGTTCTTTTTGGATGAGTACATCTAAAGACTGTTCAGTTGGAATGGATGTCATGGGCATATCGGTGGTGATATCAACCATACCTACATCTCTTTCATAACCTTTTACAGTCATAGTTCTAACCTCCTTTCTGGTCACCTGTACTGACTGTTCAAACTCAGCATGTGATTCTGTAGTAACGTCTATTACTTGAGCACCCAAGTTGGATTGAGTTACTTTGGACTCTTGCACCACAATACGTTCCTCAGCTGTTGCCGTTTCATGTGTAGCCCGTGATTCGGTCTTTCGTTTAGCAGCCTGAGATTTAGGTGTTGTGAAATCAACTACACTTTCTGCTACTTTTACGGTCTCCACTACCGATGACAGTATTTCTTTGGAGGATGCACTGCTAACCTGTAGTCTTTGGGGCTTGTCGATTTGCATTGTGCCAGGTTGCTCAGATGTAAGAACATGCTGCTCGTGATAGACAATTGAGTAGAAAGCTGCCTGGAGTTCAGTCCTTAGATCTGCAGTCTTGGGGTACTGACCTTCAAAAGCAAGTGTTATTTCCATAGGGGCACTTGGTGTTGTGATAAGATAAGTGAACATTGCACGCCTAGGTTCCTTGAGTACCTTCACTTCCTGTACCTCAGTAGCCTCTAAACTTCCAACAACGTCTGCTAGTATAAGTGGCTGATCAAGAGCCACAGCAGACTGAAGTGCAGCTTTCAACTGACGTCTGATGTCCAAACTTGTTGGTTTTGGAATCTGAATAACAAATGTGAGCTCCTTTGGAAGAGTTCGACTTTCTCCAGACTCTGAAACGAAAACAGCCATTTTGTGCTGAGTTTTAAGGCTAACTTTTGTTGACTCTGATTTGGTCATTTGCTGAGACATTTCACCAATCAATATACGCTTTTCATCCATCATTATTGACTGTCTAACAGACTGTCCTTCCTGTATCTGGATGGCAAAATCTTGCTCTGTTGCTTCTAGAAGTGCACTACTCTCAGTTGCGATCGCCTTCTCCTCTATTTGTATGGGCTCAGTAGGTACTTTAGGCTCTATTTTTGTTTTGCATGTAAATTTGTCAACAGTTGTCAAACTCTCAGTATGTCCCTCCTCTAACGCTTGACTATCTGCCACACTTGTAACTTGCATGATGTTCCAACGATCTTCCTTTTGGATTAATGCACGCTGCTGTTTGACATCACTAGTAAATGGTGTTTCTTTGGATATCTGCATGGGCTTCGATGTGACCTGAAGAATATTCTGCGGTCTGGGTTCTGTTCTAAGCTCTGACTGAACTCCTGTCACGGACCCATCAAGATCTTTGGAATAATCTGCGCTAAGCTCCCTTTTTTCCTCTGAGGATGCTACATGTTTTCTGGCTTTCTCCTGCTTCTGTGTTGCTGTCTGTTGGTCTGGCTTTTCAATGGTAATAATTCCCTCTTTGGTTAAGGCACCTACTGGATGAACTGACTGAAGATGTAATGGGGTAGGGGCTTGTTTTTGGGGCTGAATGGTCATTGTGTCTCTCTTGGCCTCAAACAAAATCGTATCCTCGCAAGTGACAGATCTCCGTTCATCATGGGTTACTGTATGTAAAAGAGTAGGGCTTTTCCTGGCGCCTGCTTGTTCTACAGCAGGTTTCTCACAAGTAAATGGTTCCTCAGATGGTAGGATATCCTGATCTCTAATTATCTGCAAATGTAGTACCTGTTCACCTTCTACCTGAGAAAATAATGAGGTAGCACTTTCTAAACTCTTCAGTTGTTCTGTGTGTTCAGCTTGTAACATCTGCTTTTCCTCAGCTGTCAGTGCAGATTTCATAATGTAATCTTTACGAAGGAGAGCCTTCTCTGCTTCTGGCCTCTGCATGGTAAATTTAGTCTCTTTTGATAATGTTTGTTTTGTCTCAGAAACTGAGGCTAGGATTGGTTTGAACGATTCTTTGGTCACTGAAGATTGTAGAGCAGAGTTAGCAGATGGCACATCTGTGGTATGGCCCTCAGGAATCATCTGTTTTTCAGTTGACATAGCAGAATACAATATCTTAATGCCTTCTTTGACTTTGTAACTTTTTTCCTCCTGTGGCTTGGGAATTTCTTGCAATCGTTCTTTTAAAATTGACTGTTGGGATTCAACTTGATGACTACTGACAAGATGTTTTGGCTCGGAGGTTGGCTTTACTTTATCTGTCTTCCTTTCACCTGACATCTCTGTGCTTACACTCGCCAAGGTGGTTATCTCCTCGGAAGTGGCAGACATTAATTTTGAACGCTTCTCTTTTGAAGACTGAATCTCTATGACTACTGGGCTTTGGATACGGTCACAGTGCTGCTCTGTGAGCTGTGGGCTCTCCTGAACAGCAGATGTATGAAATGGAGCCGTACGGTGCTGTTTCGTAGGAACTGCTGAAACTTGAGGTGGAAGGGTGACACCCACAGACACTCTCTCTTGTACCTCATGTGACTGCAGAACTGCAGCCTGGTGGGTGACCCTCTCTCTTTGGGCAGTAGCCGCAGACATATCCAACTCTTTAAGGGTTTGTACTTGCTCACTGGAAACAACCTGGCTGTCCTCGGTGCCAATGGTGTACACCATCTGATGTCCTGCCTGATCTCTGGCCCTGGCCTCTCCAGGAAGGTTGACTTCGTACAAGCGGGATTCTGTAGCTTGTTCAGCAGTCATGGATACTTTATAACCTTTTTGAACAACCATGTGTTCCTTACGCTGAGATACAGAGATAGGCACTTTGAACACAATTAGGTCAGCACTACAAGAGGCCTCCCCAGATGGGTTGGAAGCCTTACATGTATAGAGACCACTGTCCTGCTGTTGAATGCCCTTCATGTTGATGAAGCCAGAGCCATCTGTGTTGTTCACTATAATGCAGTACTTACCAGGCTGAATTTGACGATCACTTTTATACCACTGCACGTCTGGTATTGGATCACCAGTTACTTTATACTTAAAGTATGCCTCACCTCCCTCTTGGCATTTTATAGGTTTGATTTGGCTAGTGAAATTAGGAGGTTGGCCAGTGGCTTTAAACATTTTTTCAACCCATTGCTCAGCTGTAGTTGAAGCTCTCTTTCTTACCTCCAGGTAAGTAGTACAGGTTGTCTGGCCAAATCTATTGCTAGCTGTACAAGAGTACTCGCCTTCATACTCTGTTTTTACCTCAGATATTATTAAGGTATACTCATCTTTTTCTTGAACTAATTTGTAAATTGATGAAGAAGTAATTACTTTCCCATTATGAAACCATTGAACAGTAGGCTTTGGAAGGCCAGATACTGTGACAGTAAATCTAGCTGACTCCCCAACATTGACAGCTGCTGGTGAGAGTTGGGTCATAAATATTGGTTTTTCTTTTTTCTTCTCTAAAGTACTAGAATAGCATTTAGACTCTGGCTGGAGTTCAAGTGTTTTTGATTTTTGAGGTAACTGAAGGCCAGTGGTGTAGGATTCTTGTTCTTCTTCCACTGTCGTCACAGTCGAGCTAGAATATTCTGTGTAAAAAATAATTTGTAAGATTGAGATAAAATGTCCATTACAGAAAGGGTTATGCTGGTCAACTGTGTGTCCGCTGCAAAAGCTTACAAGGGTGACATCAACATTACTTTACATTTAAAAAAAACACCATACAATAAATACATCCGTATATAACTATTTTATTTCCATAAATAAACACTGTTAGAGACAAACTGAAGTGATTTCTGTACAAACAAATCATGAATTTAAATTATTCCCATTTCCAAATGAATACTCTGTCGTACTTTATTGAGATTAGTCAAATTGGTAAATCTTTTATAAGCCCAAATATACAGTATTCATTAAGAATACAATTGCCTCAAACATACAGTGAAACACATATTTACAGCACATATCATGTATATAATGAACATATCCTTTTAAAAAAAATGTAATTTTACAGCCAACCCCATGGCTTTATTTTGAATGGATGTACTTTGCCATTGTAGTCCTAATGAAAATATAAACTCTACAATAGTACATTCAATATTAGATTCAAATTGTGTTAGATAATTGTTTTGGGTGTGTACAAGATTGTTTTTAAAATCATTAACCAAAAGAAACAAAATATTATCACAAACTCATTCACAAATAAAAATAAAAATTCTGCACATCACTGATTCTACAGCATCATGCTAACACAGAGTTATCATGGTTGCGTACATATTGATAATTTGACACGCACCTCTTAAAGCTGAAACTGCCACATCCGTTTGGGATATTAAAACAACAAAGTTACAGCAAACAACGACCAGTTTTTCCTGACATCATTGCACGCGCGATAGAACAGCAGAATACAGTGGGGAAAAAAAGTATTTAGTCAGCCACCAATTGTGCAAGTTCTCCCACTTAAAAAGATGAGAGAGGCCTGTAATTTTCATCATAGGTACACGTCAACTATGACAGACAAATTGAGAAAAACAAATCCAGAAAATCACATTGTAGGATTTTTAATGAATTTATTTGCAAAATTATGGTGGAAAATAAGTATTTGGTCACCTACAAACAAGCAAGATTTCTGGCTCTCACAGACCTGTAACTTCTTCTTTAAGAGGCTCCTCTGTCCTCCACTCGTTACCTGTATTAATGGCACCTGTTTGAACTTGTTATCAGTATAAAAGACACCTGTCCACAACCTCAAACAGTCACACTCCAAACTCCACTATGGCCAAGACCAAAGAGCTGTCAAAGGACACCAGAAACAAAATTGTAGACCTGCACCAGGCTGGGAAGACTGAATCTGCAATAGGTAAGCAGCTTGGTTTGAAGAAATCAACTGTGGGAGCAATTATTAGGAAATGGAAGACATACAAGACCACTGATAATCTCCCTCGATCTGGGGCTCCACGCAAGATCTCACCCCGTGGGGTCAAAATGATCACAAGAACGGTGAGCAAAAATCCCAGAACCACACACGGGGACCTAGTGAATGACCTGCAGAGAGCTGGGACCAAAGTAACAAAGCCTACCATCAGTAACACACTACGCCGCCAGGGACTCAAATCCTGCAGTGCGAGACGTGTCCCCCTGCTTAAGCCAGTACATGTCCAGGCCCGTCTGAAGTTTGCTAGAGTGCATTTGGATGATCCAGAAGATAATTGGGAGAATGTCATATGGTCAGATGAAACCAAAATAGAACTTTTTGGTAAAAACTCAACTCGTCGTGTTTGGAGGACAAAGAATGCTGAGTTGCATCCAAAGAACACCATACCTACTGTGAAGCATGGGGGTGGAAACATCATGCTTTGGGGCTGTTTTTCTGCAAAGGGACCAGGATGACTGATCCATGTAAAGGAAAGAATGAATGGGGCCATGTATAGTGAGATTTTGAGTGAAAACCTCCTTCCATCAGCAAGGGCATTGAAGATGAAACATGGCTGGGTCTTTCAGCATGACAATGATCCCAAACACACCGCCCGGGCAACGAAGGAGTGGCTTCATAAGAAGCATTTCAAGGTCCTGGAGTGGCCTAGCCAGTCTCCAGATCTCAACCCCATAGAAAATCTTTGGAGGGAGTTGAAAGTCTGTGTTGCCCAGCGACAGCCCCAAAACATCACTGCTCTAGAGGAGATCTGCATGGAGGAATGGGCCAAAATACCAGCAACAGTGTGTGAAAACCTTGTGAAGACTTACAGAAAACGTTTGACCTGTCTAATTGCCAACAAAGGGTATGTAACAAAGTATTGAGAAACGTTTGTTATTGACCAAATACTTATTTTCCACCATAATTTGCAAATAAATTCATTAAAAATCATACAATGTGATTTTCTGGATTTCTTTTTCTCATTTTGTCTGTCATAGTTGACGTGTACCTATGATGAAAATTACAGGCCTCTCTCATCTTTTTAAGTGGGAGAACTTGCACAATTGGTGGCTGACTAAATACTTTTTTTCCCCACTGTATGTACTGTAATCATTTGAATTCCAACTTCAACACTACACACTGGGAATTGAATCACCAGCTCTCCATTGAGCATGCTTTTTAGTTCAGCAGTAGGCTAAATCTGGGTCCGAGAAACCCCCAATGATCAACTAGATAAGCCCAAGAGTTTTATGTATTTGTTATATTATATATGACTATATATTAAATTCTATGATTAATTTGAAATATTAAAACACTGGACATTTTGATGCAAGATCTTCATTTGGGCCTAACACGAATGTCTTCATAACAATGTCTTGATTACACATGGGTGGTAAGTATTCATACACGTTGTCACGTTAAATAAAACAAGCAATAACTTTTGTTTGACTATTTTGAAAAGCAAACATTCCCCTTTACCAAACATGATTATATAAAATGTATAATGACTTATGTGTGAAGTGATTATACACTATACACAATAAATAAGATCTATACCTAATTTCAGAAAACGTTTAGCATGTATCTCGGAATAATTAATAAAAGCTACTTTTCGAACACACAATTCCTTAATTGAGTTCAACATCCACATGAACATAAATTACATGAAGAGATTAGAACACTTTCAACAAAGCAGTTGTTTCAGTATATCCAGATTTGTTTTGGATAAGGCACTTGTACTCCCCGGCATCATTTTGGGTGACATTTGTTATGATCAAATTAAAATGTCCAGATGCTTTCTCTTGGATCATGTACCTAGTGTCTTTCACTGGATCCCCATCTTTGTACCATTCAGCAGTGGGATGAGGTTTACCATTAACTAAACACTGGAGGACCACTGGAGTTCCTACTGCTGCAGTGACGTTTGTCAAAGGAATAATGCATTTTGGTGGAGTTTCAGTCATTTGAAACTGGAAACTACACGATTCTGATGACTTTCCTTTGAATTCTATTTTATCATCTTTGGCGGGCTCTGCGAAAACGTCAAAATTTATACTGACATATTTCTCTCCCTGCTCGCTCATCTCATTGTCTGTCATGGCTACAAGTCTAACAGCTTTTTGTGATTCATCAGCTTCCTGCTCGAATTCAAATTCCAGCTCTATTTCTGATGCCTGCTCACCGTCAAACTCATTCCCAACAACTAAGTCAAACTTTTGAGGCTGAACTTTAGCACTACCAAGAGACACAGCTGTCAATTCTCTTCCTCTTGTTTTCCCTATAAAGCTTTTAGGATTCAACACAAGAAGAGATGCCCTGCAAAGAGTTTCCCCAACCACATTGATGGCCCTGCAGGTGTATATTCCACTATCATGAGCGCTTACTTTCCTGATCTTTAGGAAATGATTGTCTCCATCAGACGAGTACAAGTATTTCTTGTTATCGTGAGGGATCTTCTTGTTACCTTTAAACCATGATACTATCGGAGAGGGAATTCCCATCAGAGAACACTCAAACATTACAGTTGTATTTTCGGGGGTTTCCATATCACAAATTGGGTTGATGAAGCGCGGTGGCATTTCTGTAACCTCAAAAGCTATTTTTAAATCATCCCTTTCCTGTGTTACAAAGTCAACTCCACTCTCCTCGTACATACTCGGGAGAACATCGAGTGATATTATCATACTTTTATTGTCAGCAGTGTATTCTGGGATGGTAATTATCTTCACCTGTCTCTCAAACTCTTTAACCTCGTTTTCATCCAGCTCCACCTCTAATAGAATCTCCTGAGGGGAGCAAGACCTCGATGAGTCATCGTCTTCCTCAACATCAAACTCCATCACATGCTGATGGGTGACTGCTGGTGGTGGGGGCATATATCTGGCCTCGTTGGATATAACTACAACTAGTGCAACGCTTTTTGCCTCCCCTACATAGTTAACAGCTTCGCAAATATATTCACCTTGATCAGCTTTTGTAATGTTCTGAATAACAAGTGTGATATTGTCGCCATCTCTATCCATTGTAATCCTTTCTTCTGCAACAAGCTGGGTTTTGTTTCTAAACCACTTCACTTCAGGTGAAGGCAACCCAAAAACCTCAGCGTAAAATGATAATGAATCTTGTTCAAAAACTCTCCTTTTGGTGAGAGGTTTGAGGAAAGCCGGAGGGATTCCCTGGACTTTTTCCTGTAGTCCTCCAAGGCCAAGGGCACGCTCTGAGAGGAAGATTTCTTCCTCTAAGCTAAATGCAGGGGGGGTTGTCTCAATGCCCTCATCATCGGGTGACCTCAAGAACTTAGCAGGAGAAAATAACCTCTCACTGGTGTCAGTAGATGGTCTTTTACGTTCAAGAGGAGAGAAGGCATACTCATTAGGGGTCATATAACCTGCTGGGGTTTCAGTTTCAGGAGTGTGGAAAGATTCGGGAGATTTCGGGAGCAGCGAAATTTCAGTTGAAGAAGCTGGCGTATAGAATCGCTCGATTTCTGTTAATTCCTCACTAAATGTGCTACCACACTCAATGGACATCTCCGACTCTGGTGATAGGGGTCTGCCCCACTCAGTTGGTGGGTTGTAGTAGTCATAAACAGTACTGAAGGTCACTGCCTCCTCCTCAAGTGAGGTCACACCTGTAGCACCTTGACTGACAGCCGTACTTAGATAATCACTATCTGCTTTAGCCTCTGCTTGCTGTTGTGAACCTTGTGCAGCAAGATAATCTGTAAAACCATCTTCTTTGAGCTTAATACTCACTGATTTTGAAACCACTGAAGGCTCACCACTCTCAGCATCAGCATGTTCCTCATTTTCCTCTGCAGTTTCTTCACTAACAATTTCACTACGTGCCCCACTAACACTGACAAATGCGCTACCCTTTGAGCGTTCAGATATAGACATGTTTTCATTAATGTCAGTCATGTCCTCGCCAACAGAAGACTCAGTGTCCAATCTCTGAACTTCTGGAGCTGCAAATGAGCCAGATAATCTTTTTGGCTTTACAACCTCATCACCAACTGACGGTGAAACATCATCTGGGGTCTCCGACATTGGGACTTTCTCACAAGGAATGAAGCTACTGCCAGTGCTGACAAATGCACTTCCACTGTCCTCTTCCATACTTTCATCGATTACACCAGGTCCTATACTTTCTGGTGAATGGCTAGTCTTTACTGCCTTAACTGCCTCAGGTCTGACAATTTTTGGTGACTCCTGCACCTCTGCTACACTTGAGAGGGGAACAAAGTGTTTTAAGTCACCATGGGTGTCAATTACGCCAGCTTCCTCAACAGTTTCTCCTGAAATCATACAGATTTCATTGTCTTCCTCCTGAGTAGTAGACATGGTCTGGCCACGCTCTGGGGTACTTTTTGGAGAGACTGTCTTCGCTTTGGTCGAAATTTGTGTACTTTCTACCTCTGGTCCACTTTTGGGGGAAATTGACTTTGCTCTCGAAATCTGTGTATAACTACCTTCTACTAATATAGTGTCTTGTTTGGCCTGAAGTGGAGTTCCTTCCACAACATTAGTTACCAATGACATATCATCCTGATCAGGATGGATTGAAACTTCTGGGATATCCTCAGGGAAATACGACTCTGTGGACTTTTTCACTTCATCAACAGTGATATCTGACAATTCAGGTGCCTCTGACAACACAGGTGCCTCAAAGGCCTGCTTAATTTGTGACACTTGGACTACTGCAGCAGATGATTGCAGACCACACCCAGTAATAGTAGGTGCTTCTTTTGAAACACTTTGCTTTGGTTTAGTTACGTTTGGAACATTATCTTTAAGGCTGTGGGAACCTAGAGATTTGTCCAGATTCTGCATTAATGCCTGATTAGTAATATAACTAGTATGGCTCAGAGGGGAATGCCTCAAATCTTCTGAAAATTCGGATAGTATATACTGTTTGCTCTCACCTGCCATGTCTGCTTCTACCTCAGAAGCAATAGCAATAGCAACAGCAGGTTGGAAGGACACATCAGAACTCCTTTCAACCTTACTGGTCTGGCCTTCTGAAGAGCTTATGTTCTCAGATTTAATGACTACCTTAGCGGCATCACTCGGATCATAGGAGAATGTGAATTTGTGTTTCATAGGATGAGAACTACCATCGTCCTCAGACGTCTCTGCGTCTTTTTCAATCATTTCGAATGGGACTGGTGTTGGAGCAGTGATCCTGATCTCGACATGAGAAGTAGAATATTGTGAGTCTGAAGCACGAGGTCTGTGCAAGACAGCCTGAGGCACCTGTAGAAAGGATTTCTCATCCGTTTTAACGTCCATGTACGATTCAAGTTCCTTGTCAATAATTTGGTCAAGATCTTCTTCACTCATTTCATACTCTGTTGTCACTTTCACTTTACGTGAGGCCACTGGCGATGGTGATTTTCTTAATTGCTCACTCTCAGTAACTTCTAGTGTGGCAGAGGAGGTTGACTTTCCAAATGTATTAGTGATAACACAAGTAAATGTCCCCTCATGGTATATAGTCGGATAGTAGATGGTTAACGTGGTTTCATTCAATTTGATGAGAACATCAAAGTCTGGGTTTTGACCGATTGGTTGGTCATCTTTGAGCCAAGTGACAGTTGGTTGAGGGTCTCCCCGGAAACGACATTTAAAATCTGTCATCTCTCCCCTCTTTACTTTCATGGATGAGATTTCTCTCACAAAGATAGGTAGGGATGTTTTTGGTGAAGTCGTATCAAATTCTTTTGTCCTCTGAGGCATGTCCATTTGGTGAAGGTCGTGTTTGGCATCTTTTGATAGCATTTCTCTGTGTTCTTCTTTCCTCTCTGTGGTCCTCATTGACACTTTTTTTCATCGGGTCTCAATCCTGATTCCCAATTGGAAGGCCCTTCTGCACCAACTTCGGTTTGAGAGCCATGCTGACCAACGTGATGTTCTTTCAAAGGTGAACGGCCTCTCCCAGTTGAGGCTTCTCTACCAGGTGAGCCTTCTTTCACAGGTGATCGACCTCTCCCAAGTGAGCGTTCTCTGCCAGGGGAGGGCTCTCTACCAGGTGAGGTTTCTCTCCCTGGTGAGGACCCTCTAATTGGTGAGGACCCTCTCACAGGTGAGTGAAATCCAAGTGACATTTGATGAAACTTCTCTATATGATGAGAAACAGGTTCATAAGAAGGACCTTCATTGGCATCATCTCCACTGGCGTAAGTTCTCTGATGATGGTGTTGTGAAAGTTCAGCCATAGCCCAATCCTCTTGAGAGACATGCTCACCAATTCGATGTTGTCTCATAGGTGAGGATTCTTTCACAGGAGAGCACTCTTTAACAGGAGAGCGTTCTTTCACAGGCGAGCGTTCATTCACAGATGATCGTTCTCTCACAGGTGAGGACCCAAGGGACATTGTTTGAGACTTCTCATTCTGATAAGAGACTGGTTCAAAATATGAACTCTCATGCTGACCAATGTGATGTTGTCTTATAGGGGAGGGTTCTCTCACAGGTGAGTGTTCTTTCACAGGTTCATTAGAGTAACCTTCATGAGGTCCACTGGCATCGGTTTTCTTTGGGTGTTGTGAATGTTCAGCCAAAGCCCAGTTGGACTCTAATTCAACAGCTTCTTCTTGTTCGGTGAGAACATCTTCTTGCCATTTTAAGATGCGCTGAGCCAAAGCTTCCTCTTCGCTCACAAAATACTCACTCTCGGTCTGCAACCTTGTTTCATCAATAACAGTTTGTGGAGGAGGGGGCCACTGGAAACGTTCATCTTTGAAATCATGGACATCCTTACTCTGGGACTTTTCCTTTGCTGTCCTTTCTGGCGAAGATCTGCTTTCATCTCTGTAGTCATGAGGGGCATGCTCACTCAAGAACCTTTCCTTCGTCATCTTTTCTGGAGAAGGCCTTCTTGGGCCTTCATGGGCTGTATCATCACGGAGAAGCATTTCCTTTGTTGTATTTTCTGCAGAATACTTTCTTCTTACATCTCTGTACTCATGAGGGGCATCCTCAGTCAGGAACGTTTCATCTGCCGTCTTTTCTGGTGAGGAGCTGTCATATCTGTATTCAGGAGCGATATCCTTCTCAGTAAGGACATGTTCCTTCACTGTCTTTTCTTGTGTGGACCTTCTCTCATCTCTGAAATCATGAGGGACATCCTCAGTCAGGAACTTTTCATAGTCTGTCTTTTCTGGGGAAGGCTTTCTTCTTCTCGCTGAATCTGCCTCAGAGTGAGCGGTTGATCCAAGAGTAGTGCCCTCAGCAGCCATTTTTGACTCAGACCGTTTTCTAGCAACATAGGATGAGTAATCTGCACCAACCCAATCAGAATCCAAGTCAACAGCTTTCTCCTGCTCAGTCAAAACGTCTTGCTGCCATTTCATGATTCGATGTGCCAGAGCCTCTTCCTCACTCCCAAACTTTTCACTTTCGCTCTTTAATTCATAAATATTTTCCTGGGATAAGTGGAGCTCTTCACGGGATAAGTGAAGTCCTCCCTGGGATACATGGTGCTCTTCTCGTGTTTTCTTTTCACTGGCACGCCTCTCTCTTGGGGAACGGGGCAAATTCTGTTCACTGTCACTCTTCAATCCAGAAATATTATCCTGGGATAAATGGTGCTCTTCTCCTGTTTTGTTCACACTGGCTCTCCTCTCTTTTGTTTGGGAAAGGGGCAAATTCTGGAAAGGGACAATATTTTCCTGGGATAAACAGACCTTTTCCAGGGATAAATGGTGCTCTTCCCAAGTTTTTTCCCCACTACTCTCTGCACGACTCTCTTTTGGAGAACAGGGCAAATGTTGGAAAGTGAATGACTCAGTTTCTGTTGCAGTTTTTCTCTCTTGCTCCTCACCATAAATATTGGCATGGCTCTCTTTTGGGGAACGGGACAAATTCTGTTCGGTTTCAACCTTCAATCCATTAATATTTTCTTGGGGTACGTGGAGCTCTTCCAGAGTTAAGTGAGCATCTTCCCGGGATACACGGTGCTCTTCTTGTGTTCTCTCACTGGCACTCTTCTCTTTGGTTTGGGAAAGGGACCAATTCTGTTCAGTTCCACTCTTCAATCCATAAACATTTTCCTGGGATAAGAGGACCTTTTCCTGGGATATATGATGCTCTTCCCAATGTTTCTCCTCTCTGACAGTTTCTATCGCTGTTTTTGTCTCTATCTCCTCACCATAAATATGCATTTCAGATCGCATGTATGGCGAATCCCTTGCCTTCGAATGCTCTGTTTCATTCTCAAACTGTTCCTCTTGGTCCATCTGCATTCCCTTTTGCCATTTTCTAATCCTCAAGGCTAAAAGTTTATCTTCACATTCACTTTCAATGTTCTCATAGCGGTTTTCAGCAGAGCTGGGTGGTTGTTCAAATTGTTCTGTGCTCTTCACAGTATCCTCTTGTGTAATACTTGTCTCACTGGAAAGTATTTCCTTCAGTGGTTTGATTGGGCTGGGTCTAGAAAATTCATCCATTGCAGCAATGTTTGGAGATCTCTGTGCAGCAATGTGTGGAGATCTCCTTGTTTCAGCACAAGTTAAGACAAATGTCCCCTCCATCTTTGTCTTTAGGTCTTCAGAAAACCGAGTTTGATTTCCTAAATATTCCTCACCTTCATTTCCTATGTAATGTGCACCTTGATTTTCTAAGTCCTCACCTATCCTTTGTTCGAATCCGACCTCATGTTGAGGTTCCCCTGGAGTAAGGGCCTTTTCATCCATATGTGTTTCAAAGTCTTTTTCTTTTCCTGCCGCTGGTTGTTCACTTTTCAACATTTGAATGGCCCTAGACCGAGACTGAGGTTCAAATGAATGCCTCACATGGGGCTGTGTCGATTCAGCACTATGTGTGGGAATTCTGTCATATCTACCATAGAATTCTGCAGAAACTTTATCGTTTCTATTGTATCTTTCAAAAGGTTGAGCATGCTGTAAATCTCCAGGTAAGGAGGCAGGCTTCTTGACCCTTAATCGATCAACATAATCTGCATAGCTAGATTCACTTGCGTTTGACTCCAAGTCAAACTCTGATGATGACATTGTGGACATAGAGAGCCTCTTTTTTCGTTTGACTGCATTTTGTAACAGGCCAAGCTTTGCTTTTACTTCTCCGTGCAGGCTTTCTGTGTCACTGAATCTATCGCTGTATCTATCACTGCACCTGTCACTGAATTTGTCGCTGAATCTGCCAGTGTGTCTGTCACAGTAGATATCACTGTGTCTGTCATTAAACCTTTCAGACCTACTAACCCTTTCTCCACCAAACATAGAAGGTGGAGAGCGGGCTCGTTCAGATGCGGTTTCATTCAGATTAGTTTCTTTATTTTTCCCTCTTGATGGTGATAAGCTTCTGAAATACAAGGTGCGAACCGGCGCATCCTTAGATCTGGATCTGCCCCTCGGTTTTGACTTTTTATCAAATGGAGAACCAACGCATCTCAGGTCAACCCTGAACTTTCTCTCTTTTTTTTGATCAACCAATGAATCTAAGCTTCCATGAGGTCTAGTTGACCGTCTAACATGGCTTAGATAATTGGCATCTTGTTCTTCCCTCATTGACACCAGAAGTGATGATATGGACTCTGCAGACCCCTCTGTGTTAATAGCCATTACTTTGTAACTGCCGGAGTCTTTATCTTTTATACTATCAATGACTAAACTCGTCACATGCATGTGCATAGTGCTCTCTGTACGTATTCTACGACGGCGTTCTTTCGGAATCGGTCTATTGTTATGAAACCATATTATGGTTGGGATCGGGAAAGCTACCAATCTGCATCTTAATGCAGCAGGTTCTCCCTCTAGAACATTCTGGAATGTCAGCTTTTTTGTAAAAAATGGCTTAATGTTATCAACCCCATTCCATTTGATGGATGAATTGTTGGCTTGATCCAAGTCCTCTTCCGTGTCTGAAAAGGGTCTGCGCATCTGTCCTCTGTTCTCCCGGGATTCAGTCCTTTTATTATAAAACAACTCTGGAAAAAAGAAAAAAACCTTTCAATAAAATTCCCTCTGGGTAAAAAAAAAAGATAATAAAATTCAAATTTTTGAAATGAATATTAATGAAAATATTAAGTACATGCAGCAAGTCACAAAGCCATAAAAAAAACAATTTCACTCACCATATTTGTTCGAATAAACGCAAGACTTGATTCTTTTTTAAAGATTCTGACACGAAAATTGCTGGATGTTTTGTTCCTTCTTCTGTGGACATTTCTTCAAAACATAAATTTCTTAAAAAGCATAATTATTTCCAAAATAACCTGCTCTGCTTTTTTCAATAAGCTTGCTTTTGCTTTACTTAGTGTATTCTTAAGCTAAATATTCCTTACCTGACTTGCAGAAAGATGAATAAACGCCCTTTCTAATCCTTTGAATGAGGGTAAATTATTCAAAAACATTTAATGAGAAACATGACTCTCCAATGATATAAATAAGTAAAACTTGTAAAAGCAGCTCTAGAATTGTATGAGAAGGCGTTTATTCGAACTAATATAGTTTACAGGTATAATCATGTTATTTTAAAAGCAAACAATTAATCACATACCACTATCTGCAAGCCAGTCTAAGAAATATTTGCAGGAGGATAGTTCCAGATGCAATACACTTTAAGAAGCAATTAAAAGATGTGGCTATTCCCATATCTTTTAAAGGATAATTTCCTGAGGTCTGGAAACTTTAAAAGATACACATCCTGCACCTTTTTGGGAATCCATTACAATCCAGTAAGAACCCTCATGCGTAAAGGATAAGATTGATAGATGCCAAAACTCATTTTTCTAAAACTTCTAAAAGCAAGCAGTTTTAATCAGTGCTTGCTGTACAAAAACCAATCACATAATACAAGGACATAACATTATGTCGATATTGAAGAATACATAAGAAGAACATTTTCCATCAAAAACATTTTCCGCTTACATGCAGTGTGAACATTCAGAAATCACTTATCCATATGCTCAGGTACATGTCATTCAACTAAGGCATTGATGAAGTACATTTCAGTAATGAAGAGTGTAAATTAGTCTTACCTTTGACTTCCTGCTCAATGGTTGCTTCAATCTCTTCCTTCATATGGGTTACTGTAAAGTAAATGAAGAGTTGGTGTCATTTAAGACGATAATCTATGATGATGATGGGTACCAATTCCTTTCCATTTTGGCTTCATTTCACCCTTTCTGTATGTGAGAGCCTAGTTCTACAAACTTACAGAAAAAGGGTTGCCCATCAAATTAGATACTGAATTGATCCATCTATCATTTTGAGATTGCTCATTTCAAGGAGCAATATTGGACTTAATGCTTAGCCCAGATGTAATTAATTGCTGGACAAAAATGCTTTTCAGAGGTTATGCTAACAATTTTAACTCAAACTCTTTAACTGATTACAATAATTTGAACGTTTCCACTTTGATGGTACAAACAGGGGTACAAAACAGGGGTACAAACATTGGTACAAACAATCAAAGCAAAGTTTGACAGTCAAGATTCAAGTCCAGATAGGGAGAGGGTATATATAGATAACAACATGCACAGTGCAGAGAGCTATCGCTGAGAGGGATTTCACAACCAAGGACAGCAAGGAGTGAGATAGATGAATGAGAAAAGGAGAATGTACTACCTACTCAAGCTGCAAGGAGAGCAAGGAGTGACAGAGAAGAATGACAAGAAGAGAATGTGTTCTACTCAAGCTGCATATACCCATCTAGGAATTAGAACTAAAGAAGTGACTAACATATTTCTAGTATTCGATTTTAAATTGTGAGGTTAGTAAACTATATAGAATATGGTAAATAAACATTTTTTTCCCAAGAAGAAGAAGAAAGTAATTTGGTTGGTTTAGTGAGAGGTGTCGGTTGGAGAAAGGACATTTGTGAAAATTAATAGATGATTCATTACACGGTAAAATCAAAGGCTAATTCGAGGTAAATAACGAGTTACCTTCTTTGGTTACTGCAAGAGTTGCTGTGCACATCGCCTCTCCGGCGTTATTGGTTGCTTTGCAAGTGTATTGTCCAGCATGCTCAGAGTAAGCGTCGACTATAATTAGCGTGGCAGTGTTTGTCATCTCATCGAAATGAAAGACAATATCTTTGATAGGCTTAATTGGCTGCTGGTTATGATACCAGCTAATATCTGGCTTTGGTATGCTGGACACACAAGCATGGAACCTGGCCACTTCACCATGCTGAACGACGCAGCTTTCTATTGGGTGAATAAAAATGGGCCTTTGGGCAATTTGCTCCTTCTTAACACTTGAGAAGCTTGATGAAAGACTGGATGAGACATGCCTTTGAGAATCAGATGTAATATCCATAGTTTGTTTTTGCCCTGAAAGGAAGCATGTTCAATGAATTGAGTATGATCATTTTTATGGAATGGACACAGATACACATATCCATGTTTGTACATTTCTAGTGAAAGTCATGTGCATAGAGAAAAAAGTATATATTTAAGAGGATACTGCATAATCATATTATAGATTGAAGTTATTTATCTGCTAAATTAGTTATCTATGGCTCCAAATGATAATATTTCTAGATATGGCTCAGAAAACGTACCTCAATCCAGAAATGTGTTCTACTCAGAATTGTCCCATTATCCCAACTGTTACACTGAGAAGATTGAACGACTGCCGTTTTTTAAAGTAAACTGCAGTTTTCGTCCTCATGCTAGCTAGCAGTAGCCACAGCAGCCATTATGATATGGCATGTCGCGTTAAACAACAAAGGAGCTGATTGGCTGACACTGCCATTCCAAAATGGCTGTTGTGGCTTCTGCTAACTAGCATAAGGGCAGTTTTCCGAAAAGAAACTAGCAGTCGTTCAACTTTCTCGGTTTAACAGTTGGGATAATGGGACAATTCGGAGTACAACTAATTTCTCATCCCTGGATCTAAGTAGGTTTTCCCCAGCCATATCTCGCGCCAGCTCCACGGTGTCTTAATGTAAACAGGAAGCCTGCCCGACCCCAGCGGAGCTGTAAGCAAGCGTAGAGTCGGAATCTATTCTGGCTATAGGTAACCATCTGGTTACAGAAAGGTATGCAAACTCACCATCAAGTTTCAAATGTGCAGAGCATGTGACCATTCCTGCCGTGTTTCTGGCAACACAGGTGTATTCCCCCTCATCCTCCGAGTACACTCTGGTGATCTCCAGCTGGCAGGTGTCATCAAACGTAGAAATCCTGAAGAAGTCTGACTGCTTAATTTCCTTCTCACCACGGTACCAGGACATCTTCAGAGCTACAAATGGACGATTGGATTTAAAACGACATCTTTTTTTTAGAATAAAATGTTTTTTATTCATTAATAATATTTGTCAGCAAACATGAATACATACATTCAAAATAAAGTTAAATTATATTATTCTTAAAAATTACTGTCTGACAAATTAGCTCTGTCTGATGAAGGTCTCTGACTGAAACATCATAGTATGTTTTTAACAAGGGATTTATAATACATTTTATTTTTTATAATGGAGCGGTTCACCTGCCTCACCTTCTAATGCAACAATAGGACAATAACTAATAACAAAAGGGATTCTTCCACAATTACACCCAATAGAAATTCACAAAAATACTTTTTATTCCAACTCATCCCAACAATGTAATGTGCAAAATACCTTCTCCAGTAACTTTGCACTGGAATCTGGCAGACTCTCCCTCAGTGGTTGAGGTGTTGCTGATTGGTGAGACGATGGTAGGTGGGGACAGAGGAGCTCCAGTGTCAGGAGAAACAACTTCTGAAACTGAAATGAAAGATAATTAGCGACTTTCTTATATTAATAAACCATTTCAGTTCTTTATTTGTGAGGTAATATCTTCGGAAACAAAAACAATGGTCATCTTAGCCCTCTATAAAAAGGTTGATATGATAAAATAATCATATACGGAATGCATAAAATGTGTAAGAATGGTGTACCTTTACAACTAGTTTTTGACAACAATTGGTCTTCTGTTATGTCATCATTTCTGTTGACTTAGCATTATTATCACACAAAAATGTAATTGTTACCTTCTACATTCAGTGCAGCTGAACTGGTGGCAACACCACCCTCATTCTTGGCCTCACAGTTGTAGACTGCTGCATCTTCTGGGAACACTTCAATGAGTAGCAGACAGTGCTCATTCCCATCACGCAGGAACTTGCACTTGAAGCCTGGGGAGAGAGCCTGGGAGTTCTTGTACCAGAACACCTGGGGCTGGGGGACGCCAGTCACTTCCACAGAGAAGCGAGCAGGTTTGCCAGCCTCTACAGACAGGGGCTGCATGTGGTTAATGATCTGAGGTGGCTCAGGGACTAAATGAAAAAGAAAATGAAATAAGAAATGTGATGAAGAAAGATGCAACACTGAGGAAGGCCCATTGTCATCATCACTTTGAATCCAGCTGTTAAAAAATGACATACTGTATCCTCTATCAGCATAGTCTATACCTACTATGCTGCTACTCTAGTAGGAGGGCACTGCTATGCCCTCTACAGGCAAGGACATGTAACTGCAGTTATTACTGTAATTATTACACAGATATAGGGCAATTAAATATATTCTCCCATAAAACCAATACCATGAAGTTTGACTTACTGTTGACATAAAGTGTCACAACGCTCCTGTTCCTGCCAGCGATGAAGGTGTATTCTCCTGCATCACTTCTGTAGGTCTCAGTTATGGTCAGACGATGGAGCTTTCTAATGCAAACATAGCTGAACCTCTGCTCAACGGAAAACTGGAGCTCAACACCGTTCCTCAGCCAGCGACCTTCAATGTCATCCTCATTGACTTCAAACTCAAATGTCGTTCTTTGTTTCTCAACAACCTAGAAATTAATAATGATATCAATCATGTTTAAAATTAAAAGAAAAAGGTTGTTTTTTCTGTACACAAAAATTACATTTTTACATTTTAGTCATTTAGCAGACGCTCTTATCCAGATCGACTTACAGTTAGTGAGTGCATACATTTTCATACTGGCCCCCCGTGGGAAACGAACCCACAACCCTGGCGTTGCAAGCGCCATGCTCTACCAACTGAGCTACAAGGGACTATGTGTCAAAAATGTGTCAAATACATATTCACCGTCATTTTCTTCTCAGCAGGCTCTGTAATGCGGACATCTTTGCCCTCCACGGTGAGATAAGCCTTTGACATGCTTGTACCAGCAACAACAGAATACTCTCCGGCATCAGACATGCGGACTGACTGGATCATTAGACGGTGCAGGAATTTCTCAGTGGATACGGTGTATCTGTCAAGGCATTCAGAAATAACAGTTAGATACAGATGAATAGTTAAGATTAGTTTATTATGATACCCATTAGTATCTTCACCAGGTCTAATATTGATGGTAATAAGACGTACCTTTCGGAACTGTCCAGCTCCTGTCCATCTTTCATCCACATCACCTGAACATTAGGCTCAGAGATCTCACATTCAAAAGTGGCCCTCTTCTTCTCTGTAATCTTGATATCTTTGATATGCTTGGTGAATTCAATAACGCGAGCTAAAACACAAAGTACAGAAATAAGACCTAAGATTGTGAAATATACAGGAAAATATTTTTTTTGAAAATGGAAGAAAAATAAGAACATACCATCAACATAAAGCTTTGCTGATGACGCAGCAGAACCAGCCACAAACTTGTACTCCGCACTATCACCAAAATGAACATTTCGGATGGTGAGCAAGTGAGTTAGCTGTTTGGTGCGGCTCTGGCATCTTTCTGTGGAGGGAATCTCAACACCATTCTTGAGCCACTTGTAGGTGATGCCCTCATAGTTGACATTCACTTCAAATGTGATTGTGTCTTTCTCCTGTGCATTGAGGTCTTTCAGCATGGAGGTGATCAAAATGGCTAAGGTAAAAAGGAAAATGTTACGATAAGTTCTGACAATAATATGATTAGGGATTACTTCATTGATAATGAAGAGTAAACTTACCATTGACGGTCAAAGTGGCTGAGACTCTGTCATTTCCACAGACAAAAGTGTATTCTGCCGAGTCTTCTCTGCTAGTGTTCATGATCTTGAGCTGGTGAAGTTTGCCCTGCATCACAATCCTGAACTTTTCACTCATTTCAATCTCCACTCCATTTTTCAGCCAGGTGGATGGGACATTGAAGTGTGAAACTTCACATTCAAAAGTGGCCACATGGGTCTCTGGGACTTCAATGTTCTTGATGGGTTTTGTGACACGCAGAGCTGGAAAAATCACATAAAATCTACATTTAAGTAAAAGGTATCAATTGAGTATTCAGCAATCATGTATCCAGTACTCTAGTCTATTCATCAAACTCAATACCGACCTTCAACATATAAAGATGCGCTGCATTGCAGGTTTCCAACTACAGCTGTGTACTCTCCATGGTTGTCAGTCTTCACATTCTGGATGGTCAGCTTGTGAGCTTTTCTCTCAGACAGTATTTTGACGTTTTCACTTGGTTTAAGCTCCTTGTTATTGAACATCCATTTGATAGGGATGTCATCATGGGACAGACTCAGCTCAAAAGAGGCAGTGGCATCCAATAGTGATGTCACATCTTTAGGCTTCTTCACAATCTTGATTGCTGAAAAAGAGATTGATGGGAGTCAAAAACCTCAAAGGGCAAGTAGAAACATTTCAAGTATACATACATTTGTATACTTGATTGTATAAATCAATTTGTGACAGTTAAAATATGCACTTACTCTCAACGTTCAATCTGGCATTAGCAGATAGTTTCCCAAGTTTGAATCCATAAACTGATTCATCGCGTGTGTCGCAGTTCTTGATCTTCAAGGTGTGGACCATGCCATCAGTTGTGATTTCATATTTCTCACTAGGTTTGATCTCTACACCATTCTTAATCCATTGTGAGCCCTTCACATTCTTGTGGGTGAGCTCAAGACTGAACTCTGCCTCCTGTGTCTCAGTGACAGTTTGGTTCTTCAGGGTCTTCTTGACTTTCACAGCTATGAAATCAAACATTAACATTACATTACAGCAGTCATATAGTAATCATATAATAGGCATATATTAATGCTAACACCCGTTTAAAATAAACAACAATTTCCGCTCAGGATTTAACACCTACCCTCAACTCTCAGGTTGGCTGTTGTCTTGGAGTTTGCGACCTGGTAAGTGTATTCACCGATGTCATTGTGTCTGGTTATGGTAATAACAAGACGTCTGACAGCTCCATTGTTCATATGTTTGACATTATCACTGAAGTCCACGGGTTGTCCATCCTTCAGCCACTTGCCCTCAGCAGTTGGGTTGGCCACCTCACACTCCAGCTCAGCTGTCTGAGAGTCAGCCACAGTCACGTCCTGGAGTGGTCTGTTTATGGCACCACCTGGGAACATAGAGACATGGTTTACTTTAGATAACTGGTAAATAGGGTAGTGAAAGGGTAGTGGATGGTGGAGATACAGCTTTAATATGGTATATTAAGAAAATAAGAAACCAATAAGGAACCAATCCGATCTTACTCAGCAGACACCTTTAAGTCAGGGTAGGGAAAATGTCTATCAATTCATGAAATGTACATATTTTCTGAAGGAGTTTACGTAAGAAATTATGAAGATGTTAAACATACCTGACACAGTAAGCTTTGCGCTGGATGTCTGTTCACCAGCAGCGAATGCGTATTGTCCCTCTTCATCCTTCATGGTATTAATGACAGTCAGGCTGTAATATTTGCCCTTGGCCTCAATCTTATGCTTTGAACTAGCTTTGAGTGGTTGTTTCTTGAAGGTCCACACAGCGGCAATGCCAGGGTGGGAAACCTCAACTTTAAATGTTATATTCTGGGTCTCTGTGCAAACTTGATCCTCCATATGCTTGGTGATGTGAATTTCTGTAAAATAACAAAATATGTTGAATAGGGTCTGTATCAATGTAGTTTGAATCAACATCTAACACAATCGGTAAAAACAACTTACTTTCAATAGTCAGTTTACAGCTAGAGTCAGCTTTGCCAACACATAGCTTGTAGGTTCCTTCATCAGAGGCAAAGGTCCTGTGGAATACCAGGCGCTGTTTGGATCCCTTTGCAAGCATCTGGATTCTCTCACTGGGCATCACAAGCTTGTCATTGTGGAACCATTTCACAGAGGTAACATCAGCAGCAGAGATTTTAGCCTCAATAACAGCATTGGTGCCCTCAACTGAGGTAATATCAGTGAGTGGGCTCAAAATATCAATCGCTGTAAAACACAGAGAATTATTTATTTTTTAAATATCTGATGATTCACAATAGAATTATACCAATATGAATATAGTCAGACTGATAAAATGTACTTACTTTGAATGTTCAACTTCCCAGAGGTGGATATATCCTGAGCTGGGACAACGAAGGAGTATGTTGCAGCATCGTCTCTGCTCACGTTTTCAACAAGCAGCTTGTGGACCAGTTTGTCGATAACGATGTGGATGCGATCTGTGGCGGAGATTGCTTGGCCATTCTTCATCCATGTTCCCTCAACGTTTTCCTGAGAGAATCGCACTTCTAACTGAGCGATGTCACCCTCGCAGATCGTCAGGTCAGTGAGGGGTTGCATCAGTGTCACAGGGCGCACTGAAGGAAAAGACATTGACATTACTACACTGTTCATCCCACTTTTTCAACAGTAATGGTTGTCTTGACATGGATTGGAAGAGAACAAGCTAATTACACTAATAACAATCACAACTCACGTTTCATCTTCAGGGAGGCACTGGTCTGCATATCAGCAATTTTGAATGTATATTTTCCCTGATCTTCTTTCTTGACGTCTTTGACACTCAAGGCATGGCGTCCACGACGGGAGGAGGTAACATATTTGCTGCTGGGAGTGATTTCCTTGTCATTGAAGTACCATGTACCTTCAGCATCCTCTCGAGATAATTCAACCTCAAACTCCCCAGAGTAGGTCTCAGGCACTTCAATGTTCTCCAGCCTCTTCAGAATTGACAGTGAAGCACCTGCACAATGAGACATTACTAAGTATAACTGTTTCAAAGTTACTGTTTGTATTCCAACTTCACTATTTTCACAGTTGAAAATAATTGTTGAAGTCAGTGATATAGTAATATAGTAAGAAAAACTGCCAACCTTCCACATTGAGTCTGGCAGTGGTCCTGATGTGGTCATCTTCAACAACAACACAACTGTAGTCTGCATCGTCCTTCATGTTGATGATCAGTACAGAAAGGAAATGAACCTTTCTGTCTGAGTGCATCCTGTATTTGTCTCCAGAGAAAATCTCAACATTGTTCTTCAGCCATTTGACTTTGACAAAAGGCTCATTTGTTTCACACTCAAAGGTCGCCATGGTGTCCTTCTCTTTAGATTCCACATCCTCTAGTTGTTGAGTGAAGCTAATTACTGTAATGGCTAAAGTGAAACAGAGGAAATACACATATTTAATATGCATTTTCAAGGTGGACATACAACAGTTCTCTATAGTTCTCTATGCAAAATTGCATACAACGTTTAAATGCCCAGTGCTGTCAAAAACTTGATTTTCGCCTGTTTCATATATACAGCGCATTCAGAAAGTATTCAGGCCCCTTGACTTTTTCCACTTTGTTACATTACAGCTTTATTCTAAAATGGATTTTTTTTTTTATCCTCATCTATCTACACACAATACCCCATAATGACAAAGCGAAAACACGTTTTTAGAAATGTTTGCAAATGTATAAAAATAAAAAAACTGAAATACCTTATTTACATAATTATTCAGACCTTTTGCTATGAGACTCGAAACTGACCTCAGGTGCATCCTGTTTCCATTGATCATCCTTGAGATGTTTGTACAACTTGATTTACCTGTGGTAAATTCAATTGATTGGACATGATTTGGAAAGGCACACACCTGTCTATATAAGGTCCCACAGTTGACAGTGCATGTCAGAGCAAAAGCCAAGCCATGAGGTCGAAGGAATTGTCCGTAGCGCTCTGAGACAGGATTGTGCCGAGGCACAGATCTGGGGAAGGGTACCAACATTTCTTTGCAGCATTGAAGGTCCCTAAGAACACAGTGGCCTCCATCATTCTTAAATAGAAGAAGTTTGGAACCACCAAGACTCTTCCTAGAGCTGGCTACCCGGCCAAACTGAGCAATCGGGGGAGAAGGGCCTTGGTCAGGGAGGTAACCAAGAACCTGATGGTCACTCTGACAAGCTCCAGAGTTCCTCTGTGGAGATGGGAGAACCTTCCAGAAGGACAACCATCTCTACAGCACTTCACCAATCAGGCCTTTATGGTAGAGTGGCCAGATAGAAGCCACTCCGTAGTAAAAGGCACATGACAACCCGCTTGGAGTTTGTCAAAAGGCACCTGAAGGACTCTCCGACCATGAGAAAGAAGATTCTCTGGTCTGATAAAACCAAGATTGAACTCTTTGGCCTGAATGCCAAGCGTCACGTCTGGAGGAAACCTGGCCCAATCCCTACGGTTAAGAATGGTGGTGGCAGCATCATGCTGTGGGGATATTTTTCAGTGGCAGGGACTGGGAGACTAGTCAGGATCAAGGGAAAGATGAAAGGAGCAAAATACAGAGATCCTTGATGAAAACCTGCTCCAGAGTGCTCAGGACCTCAGACTGGGGCGAAGGTTCACCTTCTAACAGGACAATGACCCTAAGCACACAGCCAAGACAACGCAGGAGTGGCTTCAGGACATGTCTTTGAATGTTCTTGAGTGGGCCAACAAGAGCCCGGACTTGAACCCAATCGAACATCTCTGGAAAGACCTGAAAATAGCTGTGCAGCGACGCTCCCCATCCAACCTGACAGAGCTTGAGAGAATCTGCAGAGAAGAATGGGAGAAACTCCCCAAATACAGGTGTGCCAAGCTTGTGGTGTCATACCCAAGAAGACTCGAGGCTGTAATCGCTTCCAAAGGTGCTTCAACAAAGTACTGAGTAAAGGGTCTGAATACTTATGTAAATGTAATATTTATGTTCTCTTTTTAATACATTTGCAAAAAATTATAAAAAACAGTTTTTACGGTGTATTGTGTGTAGATTGATGAGGAAAACAAACAATTTAATCAATTTTAGATTAAGGTTGTAATGTAACAAAATGTGAAAAGAGTCAAGGGGTCTGAATACTTTCCGAATGTACTGTATTTCCACAATATGAGGTTGGAATAATACTGTGAAATTGTGAAAATGATAGTGCCCTTTTAGGTTAAGAGCTGTTTGAAAAGACTGCCTGAAATTTCAGCCTTTTTCGGTGGGATGGCACCTGGTGACACCTGGCGGTAAATTAGATAATAGACCAATAAGAGTTCAAAACCTTTGCTAATAACAGCTAGTTTTCAGTTTTCCCCTCCCTAATCAGTCACTCCGAGACTGTCCTAGCAAAATTCTTGCTTGAGAAATTGCTCTTTGCTAAGAAGCACTTTTTTTGTTGTTGACCATTTTAATTGAAAACAAATCACAGTAAAGTACTTAATTGTTACCCAGAAATGATTTGATATTGAGATAGGCCCTCCTGTAGCTCAGTTGGTAGAGCATGGCGCTTGCAACGCCAGGGTTATGGGTTCGTTTCACACAGGGGGCCAGGATGAAAAATGTATGCACTCACTAACTGTAAGTCGCTCTGGATAAGAGCGTCTGCTAAATTACAAAAAAAAGATATACTTTTTTTTTTTTTTACAATAAGAAAAAAATATATACAAAAATAAAAAATATATATAGAAACGGCTGCATTGGACCTTTAACTATTTGTAGAATACAAGCTTCATATGCATTGAAATAGATAATTTACCTTGCACCAGCAGGAATGCATGGCTTGATGTCTCTCCAGCAATGTTCATTGCTTTGACCATGATGCTAGCAGAGTCTTCTGCTGTGACATCTCTGACCACTAATTCACACACGTGGTCTTCAGGCCAGTACCAGTAAATACGATCTGTCTTCTCCAGCAGAATTCCATTCTTGAACCACTGGCACTCAGGTTCTGGTTTGCCGACAACTCTGACTCTGAAGCGAACTTCCTCGGTCTGAGACACGGTCTGGCTAGCAATGCGTTCCAAGATCTTTGGAGCTTCCATGCTGGGAGAGAGCTGTACTCTCTCTGGTTTGATTGTGGGGATGGTGAGTTGCCCCTCCTCCATCTCTTTCTTCTTCTCAGCCTCAGTCAACTCTTTCATGTGATGAAGCAGTTCTTCCTTCCTCTTCCTAAGCATATCCTCATAGGACTCATCCTTCCTTTTGGACTTTAGCTCCACAGCAGTGATGGCTTCATAATAACCTTCCTCTGTCCTGCGCTTAAATTTGCTCTTCAACTCGTCGGTCTCCTCTGTGGACTTCTCATGGATGACTCTTTCAGTCTTCCTCAGTTTGACAACTTCCTTTGGCTGGGCATCAGCTGGTCTGTCAACCTTCACAACTTCAAAGCTAACTCTCCCATGTTCAGTAATTTCATGTTCCTTTGGTTCAGGGACGCGACGGAGAATGGATCTGAAATCCTCTCTCTGTGTGATCTCGAGCTTCACCAGATGCTCAGCTGTGCCCTCTGGGTTCTCTGCTACCACTTTGACATCTCCTGCATCGTATGACTTGATATCTATAATTTCAAGATAGTAAATACCATCATAGCGAAGTCTCATTCTCTTGCTCTTGCGAATGAGCTGTCCATTGAGGTACCAGTTAACCTTAGGCGTAGGATAACCGATTACTCTGCAACGGAATCTTGCAATGTCACCTTCCAGCACTCTTGCTGGCTCGGGAAGAAGGACAATTTCAGGCTTTGACTTCTCTGAATACTCATCCCCAGTGACTCCAGAAGGACCTCCCTCGTGAGCCATGCGCTCCATCTCATCAATTCTGTGTATTTCCCTCCTGCCCTCAGGTAACTGAGTCTCCTCAACAAGGCTCTTCTCATCCTTTACAATCAGTGTAGCTGAGGTCTGGTCAACTCCAAACTTGTTAGTGGCTCTGCAGGTGATGACACCACTATCTCTGGCATAGGCAACTTCAAAGTCAAGACTACAGTAGCCAAATTCATTAACCATGCGCAATCTGTTAGCAGCTGCCAGGGGTTTGCCATCATGCAACCACTCAACCACCATAGTGGGATCACCAATTGGGGTCAGTCTGCATTCAAAATGGACTGGGCCAAAACGCTTCAGCCTGACAGAAGTCAGCTTCTTCTTGAACTGTGGTTTCTGCTGCTTGTCCTTGTCATATAGGTCATCCTCCTCCCACTGCTCTTGACCATAACGGAGATGCAGGGGTTCCAACTCTGGAGCTGCAATGTCCTTGGCCTTGTAGGTTCCTTTGGTGATAATGATTCTCCTCTCTGGCGCAGGTTCAGCAGCATCCACCTCAATGTTGACCCTGCAGCGAGTGGTATCTCTTCCAGCTTTGTTAATGGCTGTGGCTGTATACCAGGCACTATCAGAGCTTACTGACTGTGGGATATGGAATTTGGCTTCTCCCTTGATGCCCTCAATCCTACAACAGACATCATCGTTAGTAAATCAGCATTACGTATAGCCATGTAAAATAAAGATCGTGACTGGAGAGGTATTTAGTGCACATGATGTATATCATAGGCATGTGCACATTGTGATAACAGTTGGGTCAAAACACATACTTGATATTTGGGTGCTTCTGTGGGGAGATGATGTCGCTGTTTTTCAGCCAAACAATGTCAGGCAGGGGGTTTCCGATGGCTTTGACAGCCAACTCAACGAGAGTTCCTTTCTTGACACTGACATTCTTCAGCTTCTCAATAAACTGGGGTCTAATCAAGTTTTCTTTGGCTGTAAATGGAGAAACATATACGAGGACAATGCTATCAGTCAACAATGGTATATGATGTATTAATATAAACTGACAATTCATTTTGAGCTTCAAATGAGGATTGAGTATACTACATGCAAGACAAAGATCTTACCATCAACTGTAAGTGTCATGGACACAGAGCTTTTTCCAGCTCTGTTTTGAGCAACTACCGTCCACTCTCCAGAGTCATGGGGCATGGCTGGAACCACAATCAGTGACTGAGTTCCATCTTCCTTCACCACTATCTTGTGTGTGTAATCATTGACAACTTGTTGCCCTGAAAAGAAGAACACAAAGAGAGGAATAAATGTATGATTTTGATCAAACTAGTTAGATGAGAGAAGAGAACATGTTTTCACATCACTTACCATTGTGGAACCAGAAGGTGTCAGGCATGGGTCTACCAACTACTTTCAGGTCAAATCTGGCAGTCTGCCCTTCAGCACACTTGAATGACTGTGGCTTCAAGACAAACACAGGCTTGTACAGTCTCTCCAGCTGACTCTCATCAGTGTCATCAAGCCTGCGAGCAGGAGAGCGTGCGGGAGAGCGACTAGTAGAGCGTCCGGGAGAGCGACTCAGAGATCTTGGGGACTGGGACCTGAGCAAATAAATACCAAAATCAGTGATACTTGGGAAGTTTTTATGATGGCTATGTTAAACAAATATAAATTAAAATCTGGTAATAACCCTGTTACATTTGGTAGTTAAAATCTCACCTAATTCTCTGCATTGCCTGAGGTTCAGGCGTGTAACGCTGAGCTCCTGCAACGGCAGTGGGCTCCACGTACAGTTTCCCTGAGCTCACAGAGTTGCCCTTCATGTTGCTAGCTAATGCTGTGTAAACACCCTCATCCTCTGGCAGCACCACAGGAAGACGCAGGCTGGCTCTACCATCCTGAAGACTCTCCATTTGGTAACGGCCACCATGATGGATACGCTTGCCATCTTTGTACCACACAATCTTTTGAAAGACAAGAAACGTTTGATGAATATATACAACATTTTATATTAAACTCAATGTAAAATACAAGTACATGGTTTCTTTACTACCTTGGGCAGTGGAGTTCCTGCCATTTTGCAGTGGAAAGTAACACCCATTCCTTCCATGATCCTGTAGTTTTTAACTGGAGTGGTAAAGGCTGACTGTAAAGCCTCACGATCTGCACAAGTCACCATCTCTTCCCGATCCTCAGTCACAATTTGTTGGTAGGTAATTTGCAGAATGCGGATCTCAATCTCATGGATAATCCTCTCCTCAAAGGAAGAAATCTGGAGTTCCTGTAAAAAACACATTGGACTAAAGCATGCTGTTGTCTCATTTCATAACAGGTGGTTGAGAACAAATCAAATGCCATAACATCACAATAATTACGTTTACATTTTAGTAATTTAGTAGATGCTCTTATCCAGAGTGAATTAAACAACCACATATCACAGTCAGTAAAACTTTCCTCCATAAAACAGGTATCAGCAAAATAAGTTCTGTATTGTATAAGTAATGTATTGTTTCTTTTCATGCGCATACCTGCGTTGAAACAAAGCTTTGTGTTTGTGCTTGCTGTGTCATTCTCCTCTGCCTATACATCTGGTTGTCGTCATATTCGCTCACAACAACAGGGGGTACATCCACCTGCACCGTTGTAATTACTTCACTCTTATATGTAATTTCATGTTTCTTCATGTATTCTTCATATTCCCCTGTAAACAAAATATACGATGTGTAAACAAAAGTTAAAACATTATGGTCTGGTTTCATGGAACCAGATAAAGCCAATGAGTGTCCCAAATGGCACCCTATTCCCTATATAGTGCACTACATTCGACCAAAGGCCATAGGGCTCTGGTCAAAAGTAGTGCACTACTGTATGTAGGGAATAGGGTGCCATTTGGGATGCACCCTATTACTGGATTTAAAAGCAACGTCAACTGAGCATGGTTTGTAGTCCATGAGATTAAACAACATTTTGATTAAAGCAACTGACCTTCCTCCAGCAGTCCAGCTGAGGCAGAGGCTTCTCCAAGTGGGTTCCTGGCAAAGATGGAGTACTCTCCAGCATCATCAGCAAACGTCATGGAGATCTCCAATTTACACACTCCGCTTTCCTTATTGTAGTGGACTTTATATCTAATGGGTGAATAAGTTATACATTTTAAACAGTACAATGAATGATCAACTCAGTCTTACAAATGCAAAATAGAGAGAAATTGAAAATGTGTCACAAGTAGGCTACCTGTATCCTGTAGTAAGGGGCACTCCACTTTTCTTCCAAAAAATGTGTGGCTTGGGGTTGCCTCCGATCTGGCACTCAAAGACAACACGTCCGCCCTCCACCAACTTCTGTACAGTAGGCTTCTTGACAAAGAAGGGAGCTACGGCATCTGCAGTATCCACTGGTGAACCTGCGGTGGCGGTGGCAGCGCTCACCTCCGACATGGTCTCCTCCTTCGCTTCAGCAGTAAAGCTGTTTGAAGGGCATTCGAAATATACAGTAATTAGGGCAAATGTAATATCAAACAAGTCAAATGACTTCCTCCCCATTCGCAAAACTCAATCAGGGAAGATTCACTATGATTTGCTGGTGAATGGTTTCATAATGTTTGATAAGTATCATAGAATGATTCCGTTTTCCCTTGTCAATAGATGGCACATGATTCATAATTGTCCATGTCAAGAGTTTCCAAATGTAGTGGTATAAAATAGTTAGCACTCACAGTTTGTCTTGAGTAGTAAGGTCAAACACAGTGACAGTTCCTTGTTGTGTCATCTCTTCCCTGGTCTCTATCTCCTCGGTTACTAAAAGGAAGAAATGTATACAAGTATTAGCACATTCATAAACCTATAAACCATTCGGCAGTACAGTATTACACCTCAACAGTACGTAGTTTTGTAGACAGAAATGTTCAAAACTAAACTGCCTGTTTACCTTTGACAAGCAGGTAACAGGATGTGCTGATAGTTCCAGCCTCGCTAGTAGCAGTGCAAGTGAAGCGACCGCTGTCTTCTGCGAAGGCCTCGCGGATGACCAGACGGGCACATTTACTCTCATAAGTGATCTGGAAGTCAATGGAGCTCTCAATTCTGTAGTCCTCCCTGAACCACATGATGCCAGGGGCAGGGTGACCAGAGATTTGGCATTCCAGAGTCACAGACTCACCCTCAGTCACAGTCAAGTTCTTCAATCCCTGAAAACAAAATAAAAAACAATAGTTTTACTGACCTGTTGATATTTAGAAAAAGACGAATGGAAAGGACGCCTGAATAGACAACAATAACTTATACGACCTGAAATACATCCACAAGAGAAATACTTACAGCTACAAGAGTAGGTGGCACAACTGGCTCTTGTGCAGGTGATGGGACTGCTGCAGTCTCAACGATCTATGGAAAATGCACATAGGTCACAAAGAGTCACATACAGTACAGTATCTGAACTTGACTTTGGGAGTGGTGAAAGATGGGTAAAATGGAAGCAAGTTAAGAGTGAATCCTGAAAAGACAAAGACGGGTTGTGACACAGGCTGGGAACAGATATATGAAGAAGAAAAGAGGAAGAGGATAGCAAGGTGGGCTTTCTTTGTGATGCAGATGGGTTCTGAAACAAAGAGAACGTGGCGAGGCTTCGGCGTTATGGTGAAGAGAAGGTGTACTAATACCACTCAGTGAGGTGAGACGCCACACAGTGTTATTTAGAGAGCACAACACTCCGGACTACAAACCTTTGTTTCCAAATCTTTATACATTTGCTCCGTTTCCCCTGTAAACGTAGCGCCTATCTGAGTCTGTAACTGAGTGTCGAAATGCGTCTTATATCTCTCGGAGATATCCTTAAACGGAGATGGGGTTGGCGCTGGCATCATGTCCACAACCTTACGGTGGAGACTAGGAGATGGAGGCTTGACTGGCTTGATGATCTTTTGAGCAGCATGTGCAGAGGTAGAGGATAACTCTTTCTGCAGTGTGGCAATAGCAGAACCTGCTATTGAAACCTGACCAACCCAAGGAGAATAGCATTATCATCACGAATCAGAACAACACATTATGATATTGTCTGCTTTGTTTAGAAATATTAAGGCTGATCACTCAAAAATATAATGGAATGGATGACGATCTATACGGATGAAGTGAGCATTAGTTTATAGGGAATATTTGCTAAGCTAAATATTGTTGATTTCTAAGAGTTAATTTTTATGGTGTGTCCTGAGAAGAGGTAGAATTAAGTTATTTAGAATGAATATTTATTCTGTGTACAATGCATAATACGGCAGTGCAGACTGTGTGTTAGGATTGGATGGTCTGTTAAGATTAAATGTGGTTGAACATAAACTGTATATCGAGAGATAGAGATCAAAACAGTTTTATGTCAGACAGGTTTAAGAGACCTATTGCATAGTTGACCAGAGAGGCCAGCAATGTATTACTTGATTATTACTTTATCACTTAAACTGAGGCATTAAATAGTGTGTACCACTGCTTGCCTGATATGTCCTAGGCTTACCTCATAGCTATGGTCAGGTTTAGGAACAGTAACTTTTGAAACTGTGAAATGTGGAATTGGGGATGGTGCGAGGGCAGTTTCCATGGGGGCGGTAGTAGTTTCTGTACTTCTTTGTATCTAAAGTAACCAACAAAGTGTTATAGAGTAAGGGCAAGTCAACTCAATGCAGAACTCCTGAGAAACCTATCAGAGAAAATGCAGCATCTTTTTATATTTAAAAAGATAGCAAACCTGCGTAACATGAATACTCTGCTCATCAGCTGTTGTTTGAATCGATGGTGGTGGTATTATTGGTATTTGCACCATTGGCAAAGTTGCAGCCTCAGTTTTCACTGTGACTTGTTGCTCAGTAGTAGCCATCATCGTCTGCTGTTTTAAATCAGAGTGTATGGTTTCCTCTTCAGCATGACCCCCCTCAGCATGCAAAGGCTTCCGAACACGTGCTAGGTCGACAGCAGCAACCACTGTAGCCTTTGCCTCCGCTTTTTTCCCACCCTCAACCTTTGAGACAACAAGCAATCAATGTCATACATACAGCACATAGATATCATACATAGCATCCATGGCAGCAGTCACTACGACAGCAAACAGATTCACATAATGATGACAAACAGGAAAAACATTATACCCGTGGATAAAAACAAACAAATGTTGTGTGCATTACCTGGTAATAACATGTCATCATTAATGCATGGAATCATGTTAGTTTAGTTTAATTGGTTGTGCAATAGTGAAAATGAACATGCAGTTGACTAATTGAAATACCAATAATTTTTGCTCAACTGACTTGGGACCGCATTTTCCTCTTAAACGTAGTGATGGGGGAAAAAATCTATGCAGTTACATATTACGATATTATTTTTTTATTTGTATAAAATACAATAAATATGTATATAATTTATTATATATATATTTTGCTAGGTAGCGTTAGCTAGTGCTAGTCAGCTGTACCTATGCCAAAACTCTGGTATTTTTCATCCTATAGCTTGTTCTCCATCTTCTTTTTAAATAGTGAGGCAACATGTTTTTCAGCACTTATTTCCATTACTGATCAAAAAACAAATTTTCTCATGGCTCGCTCGTCTCTCTGCTGCAGACATATAGAGAGCAATATGTTTGGAACATCAAATCGCAATGAAATCACAGTAACAAATAGCAATACATATAGAATAGTGAGAATCGCAATACATATCGTATCGGCACCTAAGTATCGTGATAATACCATATCGAAAATGGGACCTGTGTAGTGATTTCAACTTAAATAGTGCTTACATACAGTATAGGTGGGGTGAGTGATTCAGGAAAGTGCTCAGAGTAGTAAACAAAACATTAAGTGGCATCTTTAAGCTACCTGCTCCTCGGTTGTCATCATACATGTAACAGTAGAGATTTCAATCTCTCTGTTCTGTACCACAGTGTCATCAGTGTGTGTCGCTATAGTTGGTTCAACAGCTATAGAATCTGGCATGATCTATATGATAAACATAGCCATGGGCAGGAGAGTAATATATTAGGTGAATAAATAATCAGAATATGACTAACACATATCGACATTATGGGGGAGCTCAACAACACCAGTGGGAATGTGAAAAATAAACCATAGGGAATGTGACAAAATCACAGATGGTTGTGAGGTCAAATATGTGGGTACGGTGAAATTACCACAATTTAAAATGGAAAATGCTCTATGTTGATCAGGGATAATATTGTTAAGCGTGAGGGGAGTCTACCAATGTGGGGGTGTGGTGACAGAAAAAAGGGAAATAAATAAATAATGGATGTGAAGGGAGGGACAAAAGGGTTGTACTTCATTAATTAATTAACTACCTGTTCCCTTGTTGTGGACATTAACACCACAGTAGTAGAGGTGCTCTGTGTCTCTGTACTGGGTGTCACCACAGGCACAGGCTCTGGCACCGGCACTGTCTCTGGTGTAAAACCAGCAGACTTGCGGCTGCGAGCCTGGTCCACAGCTGCTACCACAGTAGCTACAGCAATGCATTTATCATCCATCTCATGCTGCGCCTCCTAGCATACATTAGTAACGTTAACTTAGGATCCAATCAGAAGTCATCAGTTTTTTGATAATAGCTTCAAACGTCATTATCATATTACTGATAATAGATGCAATCTTAAATAGCTGCAATCATCACATAGGGGGCTGGCATCACTTTCTAAATTCAGACAACCTAGCCTAATGAGCCATGTTAGATCCCAAAATACATCCAGGTAGTCAAACGTTCATTGGACAGGATATTGAAACTCATTTAGGCCTCAAAAAGAGAGCGAATCAGCAAATCAAATAAGTTCACAATCTTAAAACTCTTATGAACTCTCATGCACATTCAGCAATCAGCCACAAGATGGCTCTGCCACAGAGAGAGTTGAGAGAGGGGCCCCTAAGAAATAAGAATGTCCTTACCTCTCTCACAGCGACACCAGATACAGCGGACCCAGTCGTTTGCAATCCATAAGAGCCCTCCCAGTGCTGCTCCATGTGAACATGAGTGGCAGACATGGAAGTCTGGGCATGGGTGGCACTTGAAGTCATGCTGCTGGAATAGCTGCTGGACCCTTCAACAAAGTCTCCCTGCTTCCATGGTGGGAGGACATCAGGACCATGGGCTACCTGTTTGCGTGTGGTCAGTGGGGATTTGACTGGTCTGATTGGGGACACAGACAGTCTTGAAGTGGGGGATACGGGCCTGCATTAAACAAAGAGAAAATATAAATGTAAAACATTTACATTATTCGTATATTACCTGGTACCAAATGGTGTTTTGTAGTGTAAATAGACAAACAAGTAATTCATATGTTCATAATGTAATTATTGTTTTACCAGGTCACTTCTAGGGAGCCTAAATACCTGGTCATTTCTGTATTATAAAATAACATGGTCTTATTCCCTATGGAGATTGAGGTGAACTATCTGTCTGTATTATATGGGTGGAATATTGTTGCACTCGCTACACTTCATTGTTAATGTAGGATTGAAATAACGTTTTTTACCTAACAGGGGCCGGAGTGGGTGCCTTGACATGTCTCACAGGTGATGGTGACTGATGACGTCCCCCTGCAACCCTGGCTGCAAGAGATGATGGTGTTGGGGACTTGGAGGTTGAGGTTGGCTTAGGGGGCACACGTGGTGGGGTCTTGTGTGCTAGATGGCTCACTACACCACCTTCAACATGCATTTGCATGGATGAGGATTCAAAATGAGCCTCCATACTCTGAAAATAAAACAACAACATTAAAGGTTAGTGTTTTATTGAAATAAAAGTGTATTTATCTGACTGAGCTTCAACAGACAGACAGATACAACTGCCAATTGCCAAAATAAAGGAAACACCAACATAAAGTGTCTTAATAGGGCATTGGGCCACGACGAGCCAGAACAGCTTCAATGCACCTTGGCATAGATTCTACAAGTGTCTGGAACTCTATTGGAGGGATGCGACGCCATTCTTCCACGTGAAATTTCATCATTTGGTGTTTTGTTGATGATGGTAGAAAACGCTGTCTCAGGTGCAGCTCCAAAATCTCCCATAAGTGTTCAGTTGGGTTGAGATCTGGTCATTGAGATGGTCATGGCATAAGTTTTACATAGTTTTCATGCTCATCAAACCATTCAGTGACCACTCGTACCCTGTGGATGGGGGAATTGTCATCGATGGGGCCTCCAGTAGCTCAGTTGGTAGAGCATGCCGCTTGCAATGCCAGGGTTGTGGGTTTGATTCCCACAGGGGGACAGTATGAAAAATGTATGCACTCACTAAAACTGTAAGTCGCTCTGGATAAGAGCGTCTGCTAAATGACTAAAAATGTAAAAAATGTAAAATAGCCATGGTAGCCAAAATAATGGCCTGCCCAGCATTTTTATACATGACCCTAAGCATGATGGGATGTTAATTGCTTAATTAACAGGAACCACACTTGTGTGGATGCACCTGCTTTCAATATACGTTGTATCCCTCATTTAGTCAAGTGATTCCATTATTTTGGCAGAGAGAGAGAGAGAGAGAGAGAGAGAGAGAGAGAGAGAGAGAGAGAGATAGATAGAGAGAGGCATTCGACTTTGTTGAGAAGAGGTAAGACAGATGCTGGATGGTGTGGAGCTCTGCAGTCAAGGGTATGCCAGGGAATTGTCAGATCCAGGACCAGGCCTTAACTCGTCTCGTAACTGAAGTCCAATAGGAGAGACAGTGGAAAGGGAACCAGTCCAGGCGCATGTACAGCGCTTGCAAAACGCCTCAATCCTTCGTCTTTGATATTATATATAGAGAAACATTGTTAGATGTATGATTGATTGTATAGAGGTTTTTGCTGCTGTTGTGTGTGGAGCTCTGCAGTCAAGGTATGCCAGGATTTCAATGGACGGCCTGTTAACCTCTCGTATTGAGTCAATGGCAGTAAAGGGAAGTCCAGGCGATGTACAGCGCTTGCAAAACGCCTACAACATGTTTCTTAGATTTTTGTTTTATGTTTGATTGAGCTTTCTCTCTAATTAATGCGCTCCAGATCTGGATGCACAAAGTCAGTTAGATTTTGTTTTGGAGCGCTGCTCTCGCACTCAGTGTCTGTTTCTCCCCCTCTAGTCAGCCACCGCCCCACAGTTGGGAGGGAAAGCTGGGATAGATAGATCCCTGCTCCCCGTTCACTACTTCCATTTCGGTGTGTCGATTCTTCACTAGGTGTTTTTGTAGTGATATGATTTAGTGCACATTCTAATATTTTAAATACTCTTGGTTTGTAGTGGTTTTGGGGGGGTGGGGGGGGCGGGGGGGGGGCGGGGGGGGCGGGGCGGGGGGGGGGGGGGCGGGGTGTTGGGAGCAGGCTCCAGCTCCCCGGGGATGCAGTGCAGAGACTGTCAGCTGGTTGGCTAGACAGGATTGAGTATCTTGCATATTAAACAAAGTCATACATTTCCTAACCCTTGTGAAACTATATAAAATTGCCATTTTGCATTTTCTAAGACTGCCTTATCTGGTGATCTGTTGAGTTGTGTAGGGCACAACATACATAAAATGTATATAGTATGTATAAGCTGGAAGTAGAGGCCTAAGCGTTGTTGTTCACTAGTTTACTCCAATTAGGGAAGGGGTGGTGTGGTTGGAAAGTAATAAAGGGAAATATATTTTTTTAAAGGATATGTATATATAAATGATGTATGTATATGTATGTATATGTATGTGTTATTGTATGTGTATGTATGTATGTATGTATATGTATATATATGTATATATATTTGCGAGAAAAAAAAATGGGGGATTGGAAGTGATGCAGACAATTACATTGATGGAAGTTACAATCTATCTGCAATATTAAAGATGATCTACCCCCCCCAAAATAAAAATAAAAATAAACATTATAGGCCAGGCTTTAACGTTGTGGTCCTTCCCCTCATTAAACAGAAGGTTGCATAGTCGAGTCTACTTAGTGGCCCTATGGGGTTAGGTTATCACAAGTCATTTTAGATAATATTTCATGTCTATTTACCCTTGTCTCAACTCTGGTCTGGCGACTCTGAGAGGAGGTCCTCTGAGAGGAAGCTGAAATGACGGTTTTAGACTTCTTGGCAGGCACAGCTTCTTCACCTGGACAGAAACGAATATAAAGATGAATTTCCCATCAAATTATTTAACATGATGACAAGTTGTGAATTCAAAACTGTTGTTCAAATTCAGTTTAGGCTACATGGCAATATGGAATTAATTGGGCCTATCACAGTTTCCATTCAGTTTTAATGCACTGACAGACTGGCTCATTGAAGGCTAGGTCACCTCTAGGCTAGATAAATGCTATTTTCTGTCTAAAAAACATTAAGGAAATGCGCAATAAATAATTGAAACAGGAATTCTTGTAACTTCACTTTTATGAAAGCCTAACTGAGAAAAGGCTGTTACAATGTCGGATTTCCAAAAGCCCAAAACACTGACAAAAGTTGACGCACGCGATATGGTTGGCGCACGGCAATTTTAAGAACAGAACATGTCGCCCCTAATCACAAATCAACTTTCTCACCTTGAACCAGCAGTTCAGCAGTGGAGGTAGCGCGTCCGCTGCTGTTTGAGGCATTTACAGAGTAAGTTCCAGAATCCTCTGGGAAGGCTTCGGCAATCAACAAACTGTAAAGGTCTCCTTCTTGAACAATCTGAAAGTCAGCGGAGCTCTGTATCTCGGCTCCCTCTCTGTAGAACTTCACCACAGGTGTAGGGATTCCTGTCACACGAACATCCAGTCTCACTTGGCTTCCTTGTCTCACGGTCAAACTCTGAAGTCTCTGAATAAAGTTGGGCGGCGCAGTCTCCACTGTTGGGAAAAATACGTTTAATGGTTAAAAATAATGAAAGACAAATTGGTGGAAGTGAAACTCAATTTGAGCAGCACCGAGATCCATTGGCTAGGCGAGACCGGGGTCAAGTGTAAGTATTTTTTTCATTCGGCCTACCCAGACTATTAAATATGAAACGTACATCTATCTACTTATCATATACCATGTATAGGTCTCTACAGAATATCTTTGGATCGTAATATAGATTTGAATCCAAATGGTCCGATGGTTACATTTGCCCCTATGCCAGGGGTCAATTGTAGCAGTAGACGGGGTCAATTGTTTTTTTTTTACTTTAAATGTTTTTGCGCATACATTTGCTTTGTGTCAAATAGTATGTAGCTAATTGTACGTGCCTAGAACATGGTAGATCTTTTTTTTACCCAATCATTGTTTAGCATCCTAAGAATGCTAGTTCTGACAGCCTAGTCTCAAAGACTAGATGTAACATAGTAAATGTAAAAATCTGTGACACTCACATTAGTACGATTTGTTACATTTGGTGAAGTTTCAAAAGACAGAAGGTATTTAAGCCCAAAACTAAAGGATGGATGGGCGTATAACGCGGACGTCTAGCAACGCAAAGGTTGCGTGTTCTAATCACATCAAGGACAACTTTAGCATTTTAGCAACTTTGCAACTATACTTACTACTTTTTATCTACTTTGCAACACTTAGCATGTTAGCCAACTCTTCCCCTAACCCTTAACCTTAACCCTAACCTTAACCCCTAGTTTAACTAAAGTTAGCTACCTAGCTAACGTTAGCCACAACAAATTGGAATTCATAACATATCATACGTATTGCAAATTCATAACATACCATACAAATTGTAATTCGTAACATATACGAAATGGATGATGGACATCCACAAATTAATACATACCCTACGTAACATAACATACTAATTTGAGTGTCTTAGATTTACATTTACTATGTTACATCTACACCTGAGTCTAGGGTGGTTCTGGAGGGCAAGATGATAAGAAATCTATTTCAATTGGGCGCTACTTCGATTGGACAACTCAAGAAGTTGACTTGAGGATGTAGTTTAGTCACTATGAATAGTTACAGTACAGTGATCGTGATTGAGCTCACTAGCAGGTAAATCTGAAGAACAACTTTATCCAACTTTAAATGTAATCCTTAAACTGAAAAAAATCACACACAAACAAGCATAGCTCCATTTAGAAACATAGCTCCAAAACATGGCCATCTTAGGTATAAACAGCAGTTTCCTAATTCAATATTGGTTCTCATTATTGGATGAGTAAAATGTAAACAACACTGCAGCAACCACTCTCATCACTGAAATTAAGTGCTGTTAATCGAACAAGTCAGAAAAGACAGAAGTAGCTATTAATGAAGGGGCATTCGGCCTACAGTACTTGTGGTCAGTCACTTCAATTGGAGAGGCTGCTTCTAGAACTTTATTAATTATTACTATGATATCTTTGGCTGCCCTTTATGTTTGCAGCCATGATGACTCTTTAGTATGATGCAGGACACTGTCTAAAACGGCAAGCCAAAGTATTGGCTAGCTAGAACAACCTCAAACAAAGCAAACATCACTGTTTTATCAACTCTGGTTCTCTCACTTGTAACGAGAAGTTCAGCGGTGCTAGTGGCTTGTCCAGCACCATTGGTGGCTCTGACAGAAAATCTTCCACTGTGTGCGGCTGTCACAGCAGGGATCATCAGAACAGCGCGGCCATCGCTGAACGAGATCTGTGCGCCGGGCAGAGCGGCAGCGGAAAGAACCTGGCCATCACGGAACCAGCTCACCTCAGGAACTGGAGAACCTTTAGGTCAAGTCAACATTCTAGTCAGCACAGCAGAGCTGATTATGAATTTGGTTAAACTCATAGCAAGTAGTTACAATTCAGAGCAAAGTTGAGAAAAGGCCAGCAATATCACATTGGGCAGGCTCAGACACAGATTAAGCCTAGTTCCAGAACTAAAAAGCATTTTCAATGGAGATTCTCCATTACAAAAGCTTTTTACTCCAGGACTAGGCTTAATCTGTGTCTGGGGAACCAACCCATAATAGGGTACATATTACTTGTGTAATCACTTCATAAAATATTGCTGTGCAAAGGCTTTATATCTGTATGTGGTTTTACATCAATGATTCAACACATTCATATCTATGTTTGGACAGTCAGCTATATCTGTGAGGTACAGTTTAAAAAGAACATAAGAGATCTCCTTACCACTGACTTGAGCTTCAAACGTTGCAGCACTACCCTCTAGTGCCACAACGCTTTGCAGCGGCTGTGTAAATGTTGGCGCCTGAGTAGACATTGTGGACGGCACCCTAAGAGATACAACAAAGCAGAACATCACCAAACCACTCATACACCATGAATCTATCTTTCTGATCTTTTTTACATTTTAGTCATTTAGCAGACACTCTTATCCAGAGCGATTTACAGTTAGTGAGTGCATATATTTTTTCTTTCTTTTTCATACTGGTCCCCTATGGGAATCGAACCCACAACCCTGGCGTTGCAAGCGCCATGCTCTACCAACTGAGCTACACGGGACTACAGTAGTATTTTACAGTAGTTGTATGGTAAAATCCCTAAACAAAACTCACCCACACATTTAAGCTCAGAGCTTATTTTTAGCCACTGAGGGCAGGTTTCCCAGACTCAGACTAAGCCTAATCCAGAACTAAAAAGCATTGCCAATGGAGATTCTCCATTGAATGGGCTTTTTATTCCAGGACTAGGCTTAATCGCTGTCTGGGAAACTCACCCTGCTTATGTCACATCACCAAACCAATGAAGAATAATATACCTTTCTTTTACATCTTTTACAGTAGTTTTATGGCACAATCCCCGCAAAGCATATACTACATTTGAACTATATTTTTTGCCTCTGAGAGCCTTATGTCACTTGTGTCACATCACCTAACCAATGAAGAGGAGTTTTTAATTTTACATATTTTACATCTGCAAAAAAATGCATACATCAAATGAACCCAGAGCGTATTTTTAGCCAGTGAGAGTCTAATGACTTGTGTCATATCCAGCACCTGGCTTACTGCGTCCTGTCACTTGAGCTATCAGAGGCTCCATGGGGTCTGGGTGTTAGGTCAAACACCAGGGCCACAGCTCCCTGTGACAGCTCACAGACAAGACAGTAACAACTGGAAGCTAGCTAGCTACAACTCAGGAGATCTGTGCTTTACACACACACAATTCATTAACAGCTGGCCAACTTTCAAGGACTTACAGTCAAATTATCAATGTTGTTATATTTCAAGGTAAGGTAACATATTAAATTGCCCTCATTACTGTATAAGTATTTCTGTATGAAGAGTGTAACAAGTACTGTAATTACTCAATGTTACACTGTACGTACACTGTACTTAGGGTAAGGAAAGTGTTACCTAAGGTAACTAATACGTGTTATAGATGCTTTATAACTTCAACTGAACAGGACATATCCATTGACGTCCCTTGATGTTTAAGTCTAAAAATGTCAGCTGTTAGGCCTACAGTTACACTAGGGCTATACAAAACATATCCCTTGACTGGGCCTATGTTAAAGTCCTAAGATGTCTGTATTTTTTTTACAGTTACAGATACAACACAATACATTAAATCATCTTTAAATAATAGCTGGATAAGGTATCAACATGAGGTTTTGGAATCAAGTATTAATAAACCAGTCATGAATTTATAAAGATGATGTGTCTTATCCAACAATTTCCATTGTTCAAAACACTGCAAGGTTAAAGCTTTACATTTGTAGAACTTGTTTAGGCCTAGAACAGCTTAAACTCAGTAGGCCTGTACTTTCAATCCAGTACAGGCCTAGAATCCAGAATTATACTGGCATACATTATTCAACCAAACATATGAGTCATTAAGCCCTATTGTATCACATTACCTTTAATCCTTAGATACATACGCACATTGAATATACACTGACTGTACAGAACATTAGGAACACCTTCCTAATATTGAGTTGCAGCCCTTTTGCCCTCAGAGCAGCCTCAATTCATCGGGGCATGGACTCTACAAGGTGTCGAAAGCGTTCCACAGGTATGCTGGCCAATGTGGACTCCAATGCTTCCCACAGTTGTGTCAAGTTTACTGGATGTCCTTTGGGTGGTGGACCATTCTTGATAAACACGGGAAACTGTTGAACGTGAAAAACTCAGCAGCATTGCAGTTCTTGAAACACTCAAACCAGTGTGACTGGCACCTACCACCATACCTTGTTCAAAGGCACTTACATATTTTGTCTTGCCCTTTCAACTTCTGAATGGCACACATACACAATCCTTTTCTCAATTAAATCCTTCTTTAACCCCTTAATCTACACTGATTAGTCTTTGTCATGGAAAGGCCAGGTCAGGTGTTCCTAATGTTTTGTACACTCCGTGTAGATTCCTTAGGCCTTAATGAAACACAAGATCACAACTTCCATTGAAGGGAAAATAAATGAAGCTAGCTGAGAACAATTATTCTTCATCATCTGGATATATATCACTTCAGAAAGTACAACTTTGAAAAACTTGACCTCGAGAAACCTCCATAGTCCTTTTAGTGATCTCAATGGCAGGACAAATCATTAAACAATGGCCACAGTATATACTGTTCAGAAAGTATACATTGGCTCAACAATTAACTAAGACATTGCCTTATCAATCAATTATAGCCTTCATCACATCGATAGTTTTCATATTGTATGAAAACTATCCAAAACTGTAAACTTCAGATGAGACATGTAACACAAATGGCAGACTCTAAAAATACTCTGTACAGGGCTTGACTGACAGTCACCATGTGGCACATAACTGGAGGTGCAACTGATAGCCCTGCTGCTGATTTCCTTAAAAAGACATTGCGACCCAGCTGGGACACCACTCTAATGCTATCAGGGGCTATTCTGGGAGCTTCTCTAATCATTGCACCATATAGAAATAACCTTGAAAATGATAAGCATTAGTTGTTAATAATTTATATATTTATATACTTAATGTTAAATTATTCCCATAATATATTTTGAGACACTTGTCCCTAATTAGGCAAGAAATCACCAGTTGTCACCTGTTATTATTTGGGAATTAGTATATACAGATAATAACACAATAATAATTGACAAACACTGCATTGGAACAGGCCAAAGTTTAATGAACTAAAGTTACTTACTTGTATCCACAAGAGTGCCTAGATTTGATGGGGCGAAGCCCAGAAATTGTATTTCTTCAGAAACAATCTCCTTATCCAGAAATGTCAGAAAATCCAATGTGAGAACAGTTTAGCCTCAAAGAAACCCCAAAAAAACAAAACCACACAGTGTAGCTGTGTAGTTTTGCTCTTTTTCCTATGCAATCCCTACACCTGAGGCAAGGCTGGGAATGCTCCAACTGCTCAGAAGTGACAATATGGTTGTGTTACTTTTTATACCCCTGGGCAAATCAGCATCATCAGTGCATCTGCTCTCCTCATTGGTCTGCCACCCAGAGGGGATGATTGGAGATTGGAAGCCATTTTATGCAAGCCCACACCTGTCACTCACTTTACTTAACATTGTCCAGGCACTGTTCATCAGCCTTACTTTTAACACAAAATGTAGCTTTGAATGACTGTCCTTTGAATAAAAACAACCTTTCATATCCCCAAATGCTACCACTATGTCAATTTCTGTTGTAAAATGTAAAAGTACCTACTGCCATTAATTTATTGACCAAATGGAAAGTGAGGCTGTGCCTGTCACTCAAGTCCTGGGCTACCCCCATCACATCAGAAGCTAGACTGGAACAAATGATGCCATCAGAGGGACAGGGGCATTGTTTACATATGGCTGCTAAATACTTGTGGCAGCTATGTTAGTACGTGTAAGTTTTCCTGTCTTTATATACAAAGTCTGCATCATAGTCTGTACCTATAAAATATTTCTCAGTCTGTATCTAATGATTTCTCAGTGTCATATATTCCCACAATTAACATGCTCACTCACGGATTATTCTTCAAAACATAAAGATTGAAATAGACAGCTCTCCAAAAAAGTATCTCCAATAACACATACCGATATGTATTGGACAATACATCACAACAGTATTAATAAAAATGTATTTAATGGCAGTCTTTCAAACTCCAATCAATACATTATTTATTTATTTAAGTCCCCTGACTCCTCTTGACTTTTTATCTTGTTAACTTGTTGAGGATGAATGTAGTGTTTTCCCATCTGGATTTTCAGTGTGTTGATCATAGCGACTGCCTGGGCTTTGAGACACTTTGGCTCGGCCCTGCCAGGGGAACACAGATTTCAGAAGTTGAGAAGTCACATTTCTTAATAGCATTAAGACAAACTGCCCTTACTATAGTTGGTTTAGGGATCACATGTCCCAAATTCATATTTGTGGACAGTTATACTCAGGTTATAGAAAATAGTAACTTTTATTTCTTATTTCAAACACATAGAGGATTTTAAATAATGTAAGGGTTTATCTGTGACTACCACTGACTATCACTTTGGCAGAACACCAGACTTCACCTTTCATTCTTAGCAACACACACATACTTCCCAGACTCTGGCACAACAACACTCCTCTTTAGCAGAACATGAGTGTTTGGCTTTAAATCAGACTTTGTGGGGTAATAAAGTTCATCTGTTCATGGAAGATCCTCTTTGGATTAGCTGTAGGTAGGCTAAATGCACCCCCCAAACATGTAGGGACAGTTTCCCAGACAGCGTAGTCCTGGATTTATGTGTTTATGTGTTTTACAACTAAAATATTATCAGGTCCAACAGTAATATGAGCAAATGACTTTAATGTGTAATGTTGACTTCTGTTTTGAAATTTGCCTGTATGTCCTGACCTTTTTTGTGTGGAAAATGGTGTTAATTGGTTTTCACATAACATTCAATAAAACTGTCATGTAAAGTTCAATAATGTAATTTTACAAGCCTGACTTCTGTTTTTAAATTGTCTGATGTATGTACTGTATGTTATACTTTTGTGTATAATGTTTTCAAGTTTAAATGTTCACCTGCCCGGGAACTGCAGACGTATTTAGCTGTTAGCTAAATCTGGTGCAAGGCATCACTTCTCATTTCTGAGACTTATGTTTTTGTTATATAGTGCCTTGCAAAAGTATTCATCCCCCTTTGCGTTTTTCCTATTTTGTTGCATTACAACCTGTAATTTAAATAGATTTTTATTTGGATTTCATGTAATGGACATACATAAAATATTTCAAATTGTTGAAGTGAAATGAAAAAAATAACTTGTTTCAAAAAATTCTAAAAAATGAATAACGGAAAAGTGGTGCGTGCGTATGTATTCACCCCCTTTGCTATGAAGCCCCTAAATAAGATCTGGCGCATCCAATTACCTTCAGAAGTCACATAATTAGTTAAATAAAGTCCACCTGTGTGCAATCTATGTGTCACGTGATCTGTTACATGATCTCAGTATATATACACTTGTTCTGAAAGGCCCCAGAGTCTGCAACACCACTAAGCAAGGGGCACCATCAAGCAAGCGACACCATGAAGACCAAGGAGCTCTCCAAACAGGTCAGGGACAAAGTTGTGGAGAAGTACAGATCAGGTTTGGGTTATAAAAAAATATCAGAAACTTTGAACATCCCACGGAGCACCACCAAATCCATTATTAAAAAATGGAAATAATATGGCACCACAACAAACCTGCCAAGAGAGGGCCGCCCACAAAAACTCACAGACCAGGCAAGGAGGGCATTAATCAGAGAGGCAACAAAGAGACCAAAGATAACCCTGAAGGAGCTGCAAATCTCCACAGCGGAAATTGGAGTATCTGTCCATAGGACCACATTAAGCCGTACACTCCACAGAGCTGGGCTTTACGGAAGAGTGGCCAGAAAAAAGCCATTGCTTAAAGAAAAAAATAAGAAAAAACATTTTGTGTTCGCCAAAACGCATGTGGGAGACTCCCCAAACATATGGAAGAAGGTGCTCTGGTCAGATGAGACTAAAATTTAGCTTTTTGGCCATCAAGGAAAATGCTATGTCTGGCGCAAACCTAACACCTCTCATCAACCCGAGAACACCATCCTCACAGTGAAGCATGGTGGTGGCAGCATCATGCTGTGAGGATGTTTTAAATTGGCAGGGACTGGAAAACTGGTCTGAATTGAAGGAATGATGGATGGTGCTAAATAAAGGGAAATTCTTGAGGGAAACCTGTTTCAGTCTTCCAGAGATTTGAGACTGGGACGGAGGTTCACCTTCCAGCAGGACAATGACCCTAAGCATACTGCTAAAGCAACACTCGAGTGGTTTAAGGGGAAACATTTAAATGTCTTGGAATGGCCTAGTCAAAGCCCAGACCTCAATCCAATTGAGAATCTGTGGTATGACTTAAAGATTGCTGTACACCAGCGGAACCCATCCAACTTGAAGGAGCTGGAGCAGTTTTGCCTTAAGAATGGGCAAAAATCCCATAGGGGTGAATACTTTCGTAAGCCACTGTACATTGTCCCTGTCCAAATAAACGCAACAAAAAATAAAAAATAAAATGCATACTGAATGAAGAATCTCCATTGAAAGCTTTTTAGTCCAAGACTAGACTTAAACTGTGTCCGGGAAACCAGCCTGTGATGTTTAAAGTCTATTTAATGTAGTATTAGACAACTCACCCCGCCTTCGCCACAAGCTACAATGACACTATCTTTTAACCACATGACACGCGGAGCAGGCTTTCCGAGATGACACACTCCAGGAAAAGATATTCTCCCACCAGGAGATCCTGATGTTCTGGCTTTGTCAGGAACTGAGGAGTAGATCCACAGGCTGGGGAGACCAGGTTACACTATTTACTGTATGTATGGCATTGTTTGATTAGGTCAAGTAGGTTCAGCAGGATATATTCTTCAAATTAGATGAGTTCAAGGTGAAGGTAAGTCAATTAGTAGACACAAATGTTTACCAAAATAAAGCTATGTCTCAGAATAAATTATTGTCTAATTACCATCAGTGTCTGCTGAGCAGAGAAAGACATAAGATCACCTCACTTGTAACAAACTGCACGAATTAACTGGCAAATACTAGTGATTTTATCAAGAATAGCCATATTGACTCCTCTATCTGTTGCAAATAAATGTTCAGGCAGGCCAATCTCAAGCTATTATCTCAGCCCTCTACCACAAGAGTGGAGCCAGCCTTATCTTCATTGGAGTGAAGTAGTTAGTGGAGTGGAGAGATGGAAGTGAAGAGGTGTAACCGGAGAATAGGGAAGCACAGCTTGACCTGAGAGATTGTGTTACCCCACAACATACAGTACAACAGCAGAACAGACAACCTTAAAGGCACAGTCTGAGATTTCCAGTTATCAGTAAAAAAAATCAACTGTCTTACCTAATAACCAAAAAAATTTAATTTAAGGGACATATCATGTTTTTTTTTGTTTTGTAAAACAAATCGTGAGCTAATGAGGCAAAGCTACAAATCAAGTAATGTTGTGCATGTTATTCCTTGAACACTACAGATATACTGTGTCTTTGAAACCAAGTGCTATTTGTATGTCAAAATGCAATGGGATAATTTTTGTTGGTTATTTAAGTGTGTTATAGTTGAGTGTAGTTTCATGTGGTTATATGATTTTAGTGTGGGGAGATGAAGGGATATCATGTGTTAGGTCGACAGTTTCCCAATCATAATTCAGCCTAGTAAAATGAAAGAACTGAACATCTCAGTTTTCTTCCTACAGAGCTTTCAATCTGAAATGTTTGATAAATGTGCATTAAACTGTAGCTAGAACCATAAAACGGCTATGACAATGTAGTGGTAGAGAAAGCACAAACAATACATACAACTTTTAGATATCAGCAGCATTACTTTATTTGAAAGACATTGATATTTAAAGGGACATGGCTGACACAACTTACCATCATATTTCAAAGATTTTGAGACTTTTATAGGAAGGGCATACATTGCTTTCGGAAAGTATTCAGACCCCTTCCCTTTTTCCACATTTTGTTACGTTACAACCTTATTCTGAAATTGATTAAATAAACATTTTCCCTCATCAATCTACACACAATACCCCATAATGACAAAGTAAAAACAGGTTTTTAGAAATGTTTGCAAATTTATGAAAACTTCAAAACAGAAACACCTTATTTACATAAGTATCCAGACCCCTTTGCTATGAGACTTGAAATTGAGCTTAGGTGCATCCTGTTTCCATTTATCATCCTTGAGATGTTTCTACAACTTGATTGGGGTCCACCTGTGGTCAATTAAATTGATTGGACATGATCTGGAAAGGCACACACCTATCTATATAAGGTCCCACAGTTGACAGTGAATGTCAAAGCAAAAACCAAGCCATGGGGTCGAAGGAATTGTCCGTAGAGCTCCGAGACAGGATTGGTTCGAGGCACAGATCTGGGGAAGGGTACCAAAAAATGTCTGCAGCATTGAACACAGTGGCCTCCATCATTCTTAAATGGAAGAAGTTTGGAACCACCAAGACTCTTCCTAGAGCTGGCCGCCCAGCCAAACTGAGCAATCGGGGGAGAAGGGCCTTGGTCAGGGCGGTGTCCAAGAACCCGATGGTCACTCTGACAGAGCTCCAGAGTTCCTCTGTTGAGATGGGAGAACCTTCCAGAAGGACAACCATCTCTGCAGCACTCCACCAATCAGGCCTTTATGGTAGAGTGGCCAGACGGAAGCCACTCCTCAGGAAAAGGCTTGGAGTTTGCCAAAAGGCACCTAAATGACTCTCAGACCATGAGAAACAAGATTCTCTGGTCTGATGAAACCAAGATTGAACTCTTTGGCCTGAATGCCAAGTGTCACGTCTGGAGGAAACCTGGCACCATCCCTACGGTGAAGCATGGATGTGGCAGCATAATTCTGTGGGGATGTTTTTCAGCGGCAGGGACTGGTAGACTAGTCAGGATCAAGGGAAAGATGAACGGAGCAAAGTACAGAGAGATCCTTGATGAAAACCTGCTCCAGAGTGCTTAGGACCTCAGACTGGGGCGAAGGTTCACCTTCCAACAGGACAACGACCCTAAGCACACAGCCAAGACAACGCAAGAGTGGCTTCAGGAGAAGTCTCTGAATGTCCTTGAATGGCCCAGCCAGAGCCCCGACTTGAACCCAATCGAACATCTCTGGAGAGACCTGAAAATAGCTGTGCAGCAACGCTCCCCATCCAACCTGACAGAGGTTGAGAGGATCTGCAGAGAAGAATGGGAGAAATTCCCCAAATACAGGTGTGCCAATCTGGTAGCGTCATACCCAAGAAGACTCGAAGCTATAATCGCTGCCAAAGGTGCTTCAACAAAGTACTGAGTAAAGGGTGTGAATACTTATGTAAATGTGATATTTTATATAGATTTGCAAAAATGTCTAAAAACCTGTTTTTGCTTTGTCATTATGGGGTATTGTGTGTAGATTTAGAATAAGGCTGTAACTTAACATAACGTGAAAAATGTCAAGGGTTCTGAATACTTTCCAAGTGCACTGTAATACAGTATTGAAATTGAAAAAATTGCTAAATTACTGTTTTTAGCATTTATTAATACATCTACCTTATTCTCTCATGAATTGTAGGTCATTTGGTCATAGAGGCACAGACTCAAATGCACTAACTTAGATAAAAAGCAGATAGAATGTAAGTATAATATTAAGGATATTTTGACTTAAATTGAGATATAATTTGGTTTTATGCACAACTGAAACAATTGTCTAATCTACAAATAAATTAACCTCACATTCATACACACAGTTGGTGTTTTGGGTGTAGTAGGGATGTGGTGATTGTGATCAGGTTCAGAAGTGACACCCCGTGCAGCCTTACATATTTCACAGTTAAAATGTGGGTTATACAGTGTACAGTGAGAATGGAAATGGGTCTGGCAGTGAAAAGCTTGATATAATATTTTGTATTTCTTCATAACAGCAGTAAGTACAGGAGGTACAGGAGAAAACACAGAGTACCGAAACAAGTGTACCAGTCCAGCTTGAGAAGAGGGCAGTTGGGATCGGGACAGCTGTTGTTAGCTGCTTTCACCTGAAGAGCGGCGCTAGAGGATAGGGTGCCGCTTGAGTTGACGGCCCGGCACACATAGAGGCCTGCGTCGGTCTCAGTGACCCTCTGTATGAACAATGCATGTTTGCCTTCTTTTTGGGACAGTTCTATGTGCTCATCATTGGTCAGTTTCTCTCCATTCTTGAACCTGAAGCAAGAAGTGAATTATACATCACACAATCACAACACAAGAAAGACACAAATCACATTCCTATTTATCAGAGGGTGAGCTGAAACACAATCAATCCAAGCAATTAGATTATTCAATAGTCTACTAAAGTGACTAATGATCAAACATGTGTTATATAAAAGTTGTGTTATTAAAAAGTAATTTAAAAAAAAACACAAGATTAGTAAAAAACTCACAAATTATTTGAGTAAAATGAAATGGAATAAATGTTATCCACCAAAAATGTCAGATGTAACACTATTCATGCAGTATATAAATCCATCTTATCATTTTTCAATGTGTCCACTCCTCTCCACCTGAATTATCCTTTTGGAATTGATTTATAGAATATCCCAACGCATTGGTTGACAGTTTGCTTGTAGAATAAGCAGTGACCGTTTATGCTAATAACTTGTCATGCTAATAAAGAATAAAAAGAATACAAATATTTGATTAAAATTATGAAATTCTACTCTTTATCACTTGCACCAAATACTATGTCTGTCTCCAAAATGGCACCCTATTCCATATATAGTGCACTACTTTTGACCAGGGCCCAAGTAGTGCACTATTTAGTGAATAGGACACCATTTCAAACGCAGCTACTATTAGATAAATATTGGTCAATTACTACAACTAATGCCTATGAGCTACCCACCATGTTAAAGTAGGCTCTGGAAATCCAGTGACCTCCACTTCCAGGGTCACAGGCGACACCTCCATAACTGTGGTACTAGACAGTAGTTTGGAGAAGTGAGGAGGGCCCTGGCCTGCTAGGGTGCTCCCCACGGACCGGTTGGTACCAGGCAGCCTGATTTCTTCTCTGATGGCTGTGGACTTGAAGAGGTCTGGGTCTTGGCCATGGTCTGTGAGTGTGACTGCTGTGGTGGTTAATGGGGAGGGGGAAGCATGCGTGTTAAGAGAGCGAGTGGTGGCAGCAGCGGGGAACGCAGCGGGGGCGGCAGCTCCTCGGACCATCACGCTGCTTGGGTCATGCACACACTCCTGCGTCTCTGTGACAGAGCTCTCATGCACAGAATATATGGTCTGGTGGCACTCGTTTAGGCCTAGGGGGCCTACTGGTAGAATATTTGGGAGGTTGGGTTTTGGAAGGTTGGGGATTCCCTTGCTTTTCAGAATACTGGAGAGTGTGTTTGAGACCAGGCTCGGTGCTGGGGCAGTCAGGGGGCTGTGGACAAAAGAAGAGGACTCCTCTCTGAACTTGATGTTGAGACCGCCTGTAGGAGAGGGACAGCTTTCAGTTTGCTCTCTGATCCTCTGTTGGCTCTGGCTGTTGTTTTCATTATTATGTGTGGAGTGGAACTGGTGGCTGTACTGGTTGATGTGAATGGTGTGGGACTGGGAGCTGAGACAGAAACCATCCAGGTCCATGTCATTCTCTGATAGGACGATGTTGGACTCTGGGGTCTCGGAGAGCGGGGGCAGAGAGATGTCGTCGGGGGATGTGCACTCATATTCGTCATTGGACAGGGACTCTTCTGTCATGAGGTTATGCCGTTGAAGGTTCCCCTCCGTCAGACCACCTGCGGGCGGCAGCAGGTGTGATGCATCTTGGGAGAAAGGCTCGCCCTGTAAGGATTAGAAAAATTAAAACATTTAAAATAATAGCATGTATAGTCACATGCACATCCCTTATTCATGGGATTTTGGGCCAGAAATAAACTAGTAGTTGTGAAGTATGATAATAAGTTATGATAATTGGAAAGCCAATAGTCTGAGGACTTACTGTAAGAAGACCAACCTGATCAGTATTAGAAGTATGAAACCCAGGGAAGTTCCTCCTCTCCTTCTTCTGGAACTCTCTCTGTATATCAGAGAAGCAGGGAGCCGAATCGACGGCAGGGGGAGGAGGAATAGTAGGAGGAGGAGGGGTGACCAGAGACCTGATCCCTGCCTGGTGGAGCGCATGGACTTTCCTGTCCCTCTCCAGCGGTGAACAAGACAGGTTGAAGGTGTGTGTGCAGCAGAAAGAGGTGCTCAGCTGCTCTTTTCTCTCCTGCATCGACCTGCTGGAGATAGTCTCCACTCTGCTGGTCTCTGAGTATGCCTCCTGGGTGTGATACCTATAATAATAATAATAATTATTATAATAATAATACATTGGTTTTATATAGCCCTTTTCATGAACCCAAAGTCTCTTTACAATAGTAAAAAAAACACTAGAAACAAAAACCAATATCAACAAAACAGAAAAAGGGGAGTAATGGGAGAGGAATGTTTGTGTTGTGTGTATGTGTGTGTGTGTGTGTGTGTGTGTGTGTTGTGTGTGTGTGTGTGTATGCGCAAGCATGTGTTGAGTGGAGGATGTATGGCTTCACAGAAATCTCACTCTACCTACATGGCTGTTAATTACTTAATTGTCACAAAGATCATACATTAGGTATTTTTTGGGATCTCTCAAAAGCAGTTGATACTGTTGATCATAATATTTTATGACAAAAACCTGAAACTATGGGCGTGACTGAACAATCTGCTTTGGTTCTCCAGTTATCTAAAAGATAGAAAGCCATATGTGACTTTCAAAGGAATAAATTGTCCCCCTCTGGAGATTAAGTGTGGTGTGTCGCAGGGATCTATTCTGGGACCACTATTACAGTGGCTTGCAAAAGTATTCATCCCCCTTGGCGTTTTTCCTATTTTGTTGCATTACAACCTGTAATTTAAATGGATTTTATTTGGATTTCATGTAATGGACATACACAAAATAGTCCAAATTGTTGAAGTGAAATGAAAAAAATTACTTGTTTCAAAATATTCTAAAAAATCAATAACGGAAAAGTGGTGCGTGCATATGTATTCACCCCCTTTGCTATGAAGCCCCTAAATAAGATCTGGTGCAACCAATTACCTTCAGAAGTCACATAATTAGTTAAATAAAGTCCACCTGTGTGCAATCTAAGTGTCACATGATCTGTCACATGATCTCAGTATATATGCACCTCTTCTGAAAGGCCCCAGAGTAAGCAAGGGGCACCACCAAGCAAGCGGCACCATGAAGACCAAGGAGCTCTCCAAACAAGTCAGGGACAAAGTTGTGGAGAAGTACAGATCAGGGTTGGGTTATAAAAAATATCAGAAACTTTGAACATCCCATGGAGCACCATTAAATACATTATAAAAAAATGGAAAGAATATGGCACCACAACAAACCTGCCAAGAGAGGGCCACCCACCAAAACTCAAAGACCAAGCAAAGAGGGCATTAATCAGAGAGGCAATAAAGAGACCAAAGATAACCCTGAAGGAGCTGCAAAGCTCCACAGCGGAGATTGGAGTCTCTGTCCATAGGACCACTTTAAGCCATACACTCCACAGAGCTGGGCTTTATGGAAGAGTGGCCAGAAAAAAGCCATTGCTTAAAGAAAAAAGTATTTTTGGTGTTCGCCAAAAGGCACGAGGGAGACTCATCAAATATATGGAAGAAGGTACTCTGGTCAGATGAGACTAAAATTGAGCTTTTTGGCCATCAAGGAAAATGTCTGGCGCAAACCCAACACCTTTCATCACCCAAGAACACCATCCCCACAGTGAAGCATGGTGGTGGCAGCATCATGCTGTGGGGATGTTTTTCATTGGCAGGGACTGGGAAACTGGTCAGAATTGAAGGAATGATGGATGGTGCTAAATACAGGGAAATTCTTAAATATGAGGGAAACCTGTTTCAGTCTTCCAGAGATTTGAGACTGGGACGGAGGTTCACCTTCCAGCAGGACAATGACCCTAAGCATACTGCTAAAGCAACACTCAAGTGGTTTAAGGAGAAACATTTAAATGTATTGGAATGGCCTAGTCAATGCCCAGACCTCAATTCAATTGATTATCTGTGGTATGACTTAAAGATTGCTGTACACCAGCGGAACCCATCTAACTTGAAGGAGCTGGAGCAGTTTTGCCTTGAAGAATGGGCAAAGATCCCAGTGGATAGATGTGCCAAGCTTATAGAGACATACCCCAAGAGACTTGCAGCTGTAATTGCTGCAAAAGGTGGCTCTACAAAGTATTGACTTTGGAGGGGTGAATAGTTATGCATGCTCAAGTTCTGTTTTTTTGTCTTATTTCTTGTTTGTTTCACAAGAAAAAATATTTTGCATCTTCAAAGTGGTAGGCATGTTGTGTAAATCAAATGATACAAACCCCCAAAAAATCAATTTAAATTCCAGGTTGTAAAGCAACAAAAATAGGAAAAATGCCAAGGGGGATGAATACTTTCGCAAGCCACTGTATTTCGGATTTATATACATTATTTGTCTAATGCATCCAAAGTTCTCTCCCAGATATTATTTGCTGATGATACAAGTGTGTTTTACTCACAAATATTTAAATTACCTTATTAATGTTGTTAATTATTAACTATGTAATATCTCAAAGTGGTTTAATATTAACAAATTGTCACTGAATCAAAAAAAATTATATAGGGGTCCATATTGATAATATTTCTGTTGATCATGCCTATACAACTCGCTTTCTTGGTGTTTTCACTTTCTTGTTATGGAAACCACACATAAAGACAATAACCTATAAGTTCGCCAAAAATACGGGGATACTTGGCAAAATTTGATATCTCCTAAACAGAAGCACTGCTCTCAGTCTCTATTACACAATGATCTTCCCATTCATCAGTTACTGTAACATTATATGGGCCAGCACACACCACACCAAACTACTATCAATCTATCGCCTGCAGAAATGCTCTGTAAGAATAATATAATCTGCAGGTTTTAGAGACCATTCAGCACCACTTTTCAAAAAAATTAGAACTCCTGAATATATTTCAAATTCATTATTTTCAAGATGCTCAATTTGTTTATGGCACTTCAAATCACTTATTACCCTCTTTCTTCAAAAACTATTTTACATCCACATATGAATTCCATAACTACTCAACAAGAAACAGACAACAGCTACATCACCCAGTGATGGAAAAAGTACCCAATTGTCATACTTAAAAGTAAAAGTATAGATACCTTAATAGAAAGTTACTCAAGTAAAATTGAAAGTCACCCAGTAAAATATACTTGAGTAAAAGTCTAAAACTATTTGGTTCTAAATATACTTAAGTATCAAAAGTAAAAGTAAAAGTATAAATCATTCAACACTCAGACATCATTTACAAACAATGCATTTATATTTAGTGAGTCCGCCAGATCAGAGGCAGTAGGGATGACCAGGGATGTTCTCTTGATAAGTGTGTGAATTGGACCATTTTCCTGTCCTGCTAAGCATTCATCATGTAACAAGTACTTTTGGGTGTCAGGGAAAATGTATGGAGTAAAAAGTACATTATTTTCTTTAGGAATGTAGTGAAGTAAAAGTAAAAGTTGTCAAAAATATACAGTTGAAGTCGGAAGTTTACATACACTTAGGTTGGAGTCATTAAAACTTGTTTTTCAACCACACCACACATTTCTTGTTAACAAACTATAGTTTTGGCAAGTCGGTTAGGACATCTACTTTGTGCATGATACAAGTAATTTTTACAACAATTGTTTACAGACATATTATTTCACTTATAATTCACAGTATCACAATTCAGTGGGTCAGAAGTTTACATACACTAAGTTGACTGTGCCTTTAAACAACTTGGACAATTCAAGAAAATTATGTAATGGCTTTAGAAGCTTCTGATAGGTTAACTGACATCATTTGAGTCTCCTCAATAGGGCCTCCTGTAGCTCAGTTGGTAGAGCATGGCGCTTGCAACACCAGGGTTGTGGGTTCGTTTCCCACGGGGGGGCCAGTATGAAAAATGTATGCACTCACTAACTGTAAGTCGCTCTGGAAAAGAGCGTCTGCTAAATGACTAAAATGTAATTGGAGGTGTACCTGTGGATGTATTTCAAGGCCTACCTTCAAACTCAGTGGCTCTTTACTTGACATCATGGGAAAATCCAAAGAAATCAGCCAAGACCTCAGAAAAACATTTGTAGACCTCGACAAGTCTGGTTCATCCTTGGGAGCAATTTCCAAATTCCTGAATGTACCACGTTCATCTGTACAAACAATAGTACGCAAGTATAAACACAATGGGACCAGGCAGCCATCATACCGCTCAGGAAGGAGACGCGTTCTGTCTCCTAGAGATTAATGTACTTTGGTGCGAAAAGTGCAAATCAATCCCAGAACAACAGCAAAGGACCTTGTGAAGATGCTGGAGGAAACAGGTACAAAAGTATCTATATCTACAGTAAAACAAGTCCTATATCGACATAACCTGAAAGGCCGCTCAGCAAGGAAGAAGCCACTGCTCCAAAACCACCATAAAAAAGCCAGACTACGGTTTGCAACTGCACATGGGGACAAAGATCGTACTTTTTGGAGAAAATAGATGGCATCATGAGGAAGGAAAAGTTTGTGGATATATTGAAGCAACATCTCAAGACATCAGTCAGGAAGTTAAAGCTTGGTCGCAAATGGGTCTTCCAAATGGACAATGACTCCAAGCATACTTCCAAAGTTGTGGCAAAATGGCTTAAGGACAACAAAGTCAAGGTATTGGAGTGGCCATTACAAAGCCCTGACCTCATCCTAAAAAAATGTGTGGGCAGAACTGAAAAAGCGTGTGCGAGCAAGGGGAGGCCTACAAACCTGACTCAGTTACACCAGCTCTGTCAGGAGGAATGGGCCAAAATTCACCCAACATATTGTGGGAAGCTTGTGGAAGGCTACCCGAAACGTTTGACCCAAGTTAAACAATTTAAAGGCAATGCTACCAAATACTAATTGAGTGTATGTAAACTTCTGACCCACTGGGAATGTGATGAAATAAATAAATCATTCTCTCTACTATTATTCTGACATTTCACATTCTTAAAATAAAGTGGTGATCCTAACTGACCTAATACAGGTGATTTTTACTAGGATTAAATGTTAGGAATTGTGAAAAACTGAGTCTAAATGTATTTGGCTAAGGTGTATGTAAACTTCCGACTTCAACTGTAAATAGTAAGGTAAAGTACAGATACCCCAAAAAAAGTATACTTTAAAGTATTTTTACTTTTACTGTACTTTACATCACTGACGTCACCCATATTCAAGAACAACTCATTCTCAACTCCGAATTACATATAGAGGCCTTATGATCTGGAACTCATTCCCACCTGATTTTGCCAAGCTATCCCCGTCGTTGTTTAAAAAAAATGCAAGAGGCACCTAATGTCCATCACAGTTCTACACCCTCAGTATTCCTTTATCTTTTTTTGTGTGTAGTTTTTTATTTAATCGTTTGTTTGTTTGTCCACACTGCTGAATCTGTGTGATTTCTGTCCATGGGGGGGTGGGGTGGGGGGGTGGGGGGTGGGGTACACTCAACATGCCTTTTTGGTCTTTTTTTCCCCTTCTTGCACATACTCATTTTTTTACTGTTACAAACTGTCTTTCTATTTGTGCAAATAAACTAAACTAAACTAAACTATGTGTGGATAGTGGTGGTGGTGCACGGTTGAAGGTACCTGCTCTCTGATAACACTTTGTTGTGATGTTCTGGGTGGAGTTTGTCTGGTAGGTCCTTGCTCCTTGTTTTGGGGATTTGAGGTTTCTTGCTTCTTGTATCTTCTAATGTTTTGATGGGTACCTCTTTTCCATTCCCTCCCATGGTTAGTTCAGGAGTGTGTCCAGTTTCTTTCAGCTCAGACTGCTGAAATCATACAGTTGAAGTCGGAAGTTTACATACACCTTAGCCACATACATTTAAACTCAGTTTTTCACAATTCCTGACATTTAATCCTTGTAAAAATTCCCTGTCTTAGGTCAGTTAGGATCACCACTTTATTTTAAGAATGTGAAATGTCAGAATAATAGTAGAGAGAATGATTTATTTCAGCTTTTCTTTCTTTCATCACATTCCCAGTGGGTCAGAAGTTTACATACACTCAATTAGTATTTGGTAGCATTGCCTTTAAATTGTTTAACTTGGGTCAAACGTTTCGGGTAGCCTATCACAAGCTTCCCACAATAAGTTGGGTGAATGTTGGCCCATTCCTCCTGACAGAGCTGGTGTAACTGAGTCAGGTTTGTAGGCCTCCTTGCTCGCACACGCTTTTTCAGTTCTGCCCACAAATGTTCTATAGGCTTGAGGTCAGGGCTTTGTAATGGCCACTCCATTACCTTGACTTTGTTGTCCTTAAGCCATTTTGCCACAACTTTGGAAGTATGCTTGGGGTCATTGTCCATTTGGAAGACCCATTTGTGACCAAGCTTTAACTTCCTGACTGACGTCTTGAGATGTTGCTTCAATATATCCACATAATTTTCCTTCCTCATGATGCTATCTATTTTGTGAAGTGCACCAGTCCCTCCTGCAGCAAAGCACCCCCACAGCATGATGCTGCCACCCCCGTGCTTCACGGTTGTGATGGTGTTCTTCGGCTTGCAAGCAACCCCCTTTTTCCTCCAAACATAACAATGGTCATTATGGCCAAACAATTCTATTTTTGTTTCATCAGACCAGAGGACATTTCTCCAAAAAGTACGATCTTTGTCCCCATGTGCAGTTGCAAACCGTAGTCTGGCTTTTTTATGGCGGTTTTGGAGCAGTGGCTTCTTCCTTGCTGAGCGGCGTTTCAGGTTATGTCGATATAGGACTTGTTTTACTGTGTATCTAGATAAGTTTGTACCTGTTTCCTCCAGCATCTTCATAAGGTCATTTGCTGTTGTTCTGGGATTGATTTGCACTTTTTGCACCAAAGTACGTTCATCTCTAGGAGACAGAACCCGTCTCCTTCCTGAGCGGTATGACGGCTGCGTGGTCCCATTGTGTTTATACTTGCGTACTATTGTTTGTACAGATGAACGTGGTACCTTCAGGCATTTGGAAATTACTCCCAAGGATGAACCAGACTTGTCGAGGTCTACAATTCTTTTTCTGAGGTCTTGGCTGATTTCTTTTGATTTTCCCATGATGTCAAGCAAAGAGGCACTGAGTTTGAAGGTAGGCCTTGAAATCCACAGGTACACCTCCAATTGACTCAAATGATGTCAATTAGTCTATCAGAAGCTTCTAAAGCCATGACATCATTTTCTGGAATGTTCCAAGCTGTTTATAAGCACAGTCAACTTGGTGTATGTAAACTTCTGACCCACTGGAATTGTGATACAGTGAATTATAAGTGAAATAATCTGTCTGTAAACAATTGTTGGAAAAATTACTTGTGTCATTCACAAGGTAGATGTCCTAACCTACTTGCCAAAACTATAGTTTGTTACAAGACATTTGTGGAGTGGTTGAAAATGAGTTTTAATGACTCCAACCTAAGTGTATGTAAACTTCCGACTTTGACTGTACATTATAACATTCAACAAATGCAGAGAACCCACATTTAATTTCACATACTATGACTAAACAATTGTGATACTGAAAATAATGCTTGTTTGTTTTTTACAGTTTACAGATGGTGTCAGAAGTGGGATTCAAACCCACTGAAGCTGACAAAATAGTGTCCTGTTTCCATCTCAATAACCTTACCACATCAAGAGCCTCCTGGGGGTACATCTCAGCTTTCTCTGTTTCTTGGTTTGATTTTTGCTCTTGTTTGTTTTCCTCTTGTATGACATTATCCAACTTTTTTATTTCAGGCTCCTCCTTCAAAGCCTCAGTCTGAAATCAGAGGAAAATCACATATTTTGAAGTCATTTTCCATTAAAATGACTGAAGAAAATTACTAGGCCCCCGCAAAAATTAATTGTACCTGTAGTTTAGCCTCCAAATCCATTAATCCATTACAAAGTTCCTTTATCGATTCCACTATCTCATTGTGTTTGGTGAGAGTTTTCTCCATATACTTCTTTCCCTCCTCAACACCTGTACATTAAAGACAGTTCATACAGTCCTCAATGCCAGTGTCATGGGCATGACTTCTACTAAGGACAGGGGGACATATCCCCCTACATTTTGAAATAGCATTTTTGGTCAGCTTTATGTACAGTAAGCTATGTAAGCATCCATTTCCTTACCCCCCAAAAAGCTGACCCAAACCCTAAGAATTATTTCTAAAATCAAGATAGTGGTTTGTTGTGTGTGATCTGGCCCCTTACCATGCAGACGGACAGCCAGTTCTGTGATTTGGCTGATCCTCTCCTCTTGCTGGGGCACAGTGGGCCAAACAAACTTCTCAAACTGCTTGTATAGAATAGACACTGCTTCCCTGGTCTTACACTGGGAAGAGTACTTCCCTACCCTCACAATCGTAGCACTTGCTTCATCACACCAGAACTGATACTGAAATTCAAAAGCAGAAAATTGTGAGACAATTTTACCAGATATAAGGGGAGGAAATGCATGTTGATCCACTTCATGCAGCAAAATCATAACAATCATAACACAACATATGCTATATCCAATTCCCTTAAATTTGTGATGATTTTTGACAAGATGTTAATTTCCATAATTGAGAAGTATAGGGTCAATGATTTATCTTCTTAAGTGTTGTCCAACCATGCACCTCCTCCATAGCTTGCTGCAGCTTCACGCTCATGTCCAGGTTCTGCCTGTACTCCTCCACAGTCTTGTCAAAGTCCCCCAGCTGTCTCTGTAGCTCATTAACAGCATCCTCTATCTCTCTGGGGCTACTGCCTATCAGATGCTTCTCTGTGCTGGACGTTACTTTCACTGTGAAAGCCTGCATTCTCTTCTTCAATACCTGGTTGAAGAGAGAAAGAAAGAAAGAATGAACATAGAAAGAGGCAAAAAAATAATGCATTTAAACCATTGAATAGCAGGCAAATGTGTTATTTTTTTGACTGGATTGTCATAGCAAACAGGATGTGTCTCACCTGTAACTTTTCATTATAAATCTCTATCTGCTGGATTTGGTTTTTTACTGCTTTCAGGTTCCTTGACTTGTCGTTTCTCTTCATATAATTGAACTTCAAGTTGTTGAATTTCTTCTTGAGGTCCTTGAATGATTCTCTCAGCTGAAATGAAAAAAATCATGATCTATTAATAACAAAGGCTTTCAATCAGAATACAAAACATATAAAACAGTTAAGACATAAAATCCTCACATATCATCATCATCCTGTGTTTCTTATCTGTGTTGACAGCTAAATCCATTGACAGCTAAATCCCTTCGATACAGTTACAGAACATTGAACATATAACATCTAACAGCACCACCAGAGATAGTTTGAGAGGAGGGGGGCTGGGTATCCTATCTAAAACAGCTTGGCAGGAAAACAGAACAGTGCAGCAGAGCAGGGTTGGATTCAGATTCAGTCACTGGGGGGATTATTTTGGTGAGCTTAATGGCTAAGTCCGGAGACGTGATTTATACTGCAGGGCCATTTCTGTCCCAGCCGACGGGCTTCTGCAATGGTAGAATGGCCAGCTCATGTGTCAGACCAGGACAGCTGCAGCTTCACCAACCTCCCCCTGCCCTCCACATCCCATTTTGGGAGCCTCATATAACTCTAATTATCTTACTGGCTTTTTCCCGAGCTGGAATGGGTTGGGTACATGGGGAGATTTCCTGCCCAGTGAGAGGGGAGGGGAGGAAGGGAGAGACAGAGAGACAGAGAGACAGAGAGACAGAGAGAGATCTAGAGAGAGAAAGGGTTGGGGGATTCAAATCACAGCAGGGGGAAGCGAAAGGCCAAAAACACAGCATGAGTTTCAAGGAAACCTTAAGGAAAGGCTATTTGTTGTCCAACAGGACTGTACTATCTCATCAAGTAGCTGGAGTTGGGCTTCCCAAAGCAATTACTGTATAGCTACAGAGCCAGCTGCTGCTGAAAACTACGTAACTGAGACCTTCTGACCCACTGATAGAACTTAAGTAAATAACCTTTAGAGAACTATAAAAAATATCCATCAAGAAAGACTGTAGCTACAGAAGAATAATTGGGTTGGTTTGCTAAAAATAAATTAAGACCACGCAATTGAGTTATTTAGAGATTACAAAAATGATCTGAGTCCAAAACATAAGAGAAAACTGTCTCATTTCTGTTGGGTTTTCTCCCCATTCAAAATAGTCAATCATTCGGATTACTTTCAAAGTATTGTTTAAAATATTTTAAAATAGAAAAGATTGCTGTAGTTCAGAGAAGCAGAATGGTCTGAGTCTTGAGGGCAGTAGGACTGGGCTAGCTACTGTAGAATATGGATCTGACAGCACGGTCTGATTTAAATGGTCTCATCCCAGCTGATGAGCAGCAGCAACTGCCCCTGCTGCTAAAATGCCATCATGTTTACTCATACATACTTATGAAAGGGTGTTGGCTAGATAACCATGGCTGCCGGTCACTGACACCAACAACCACATGGTCTGTCTTTTTTCATGGTAACCCTATGACACAGCAAAGAGAGAAAAAAGTCCTTCTCTCAATTTCTAATCACAAATATTAAGTATTACTACTTAATACTTAACACATAATGGCTTAATATTTACTTAAGTCATTATTAATATTAAATGTTTAGCTAGTCATTACTATTAAGATTATATTGATTAAACAATCTACTTAAAATGTAATTCAATTGAAAGTAATCTTTTTTCAGAATTTATCTTCACGTTGTTTATTCATGCAGAAATAAATTATTATATATTGGTCTGTAAGATTACATAAAACAGGATTGGGGTTAATTCCATTTAAATTCAGTCTATCCATTAAGTAAACTGAAAATTCCAATGCTATTTAATAAGGACAGTTGAAATTGGAATTTCAGTTTACTGTACTTCCTGAATTGCCAAAATGACATGGAATTGACACCACCGCTGAAATAAGAGTGCACACGTGCACCACTGTCTGGTGAATGTTGAGGTATCTCTACTGTAGGCATGCTCAGCCAACTGTATGGTGTCTTTTGCTAAAAAGAAGTATGTCAACCTGTATCAGCTAGTTGGCAGTGTATGAAATACTGTCACATGCAATTCATGTAATGGTCCAAGCCTGGTGATACAGTATATTCATGACATATTTTGGGGAGCTCTCATCTCGCAGAAGGCAACAGTGCTCTGCTGGCCAGATGAAATCACAACTTACTGGAACCTAATCATAAAGGGACAAATCTCAACTTCATAATTGACATCAGGGGTCTATTCATTAGTCGGATTCTGTTGCAAAATGTTTTATCTGTTGCACAACGTTTTGCAACGGAAACCGTTTACTCCAAACGGAAAGCGTTTTGCAATGAAAACAAGTTTCATTCCATTTGCTTGGTTTGCTTCCATTTGGTAGCTAGAGTAAACGGTTCCTGTTTCAAAATGAAACGATTTGCAACGGAATCCGACTAATGAATACACCCCAGTTGACATCAGGTAGGATTCCCCCCAAAGACCTCACTTCTCAAGTATTGGTATCTCAAGTATGTGTATTAAGAGTAGAGTGATTTATGGTATGTATAACCCAGCAGTGCAAGATAGAAACCCTACAGAAAACACAAATAGAAACAACATTTTCATTTCCGAACCATTTTAAATACAGTTATATATTGATAAAATCATGTTTTATGAACGTTTCAAATTGCCATCGTCCAGTAGAGGGAGGTAGAGGCCAAACAAATCTCAGGCATAAAGGGTGTGTTGGAGTAAAAATAGAGTAGCATGAATAGATTTGGAACAGAACACAGATAAATATAGATTTGTGTGTGAACTTTAGACTAGTACCAACCATACCTCTAGGCCTTCATATGACATGCAGAAAAATCATTCTTAGGTCCAGGTAATCTCTAATAAATAAGGGAGACCTCCTGGTCCCTTGTCTGTCTGAGGGCCTTGGTATTGAGGACTCTTTTATTTGGGTTACCCTTCCACAGCTGATACAAGAGGAATCTGCCCTTCTGACTGGAGTGACATGAGACAAATGGCAGGGAGGGAGGGAGGGAGGGGGAAAATGTAACTTGGAATAGAGGCCCTCCAGAGACAAAGATCACAGTCCCAGAGCTAAATTTAGACCGGGACAGCTGTGCTATGCTATGCTGCTAGGCCAGACAATAAAAAGCCCCAGCAACTACAAAAGCCTAAAGCCCCAGCACAAAAATGAATGCTTGAGCTCTAGATCTGAGGCCTGGGTTATATAAATTGGGATGAATAACCAAGACTAACAGTCTTATTGAGATAAAGCCAAAGTGTTGTTACACCGTCCGACCTCAGTGATCTCCTCCTTGAAGACACAGTAGTGCAGGTTGCTGGTGAGGCTCTCTTCACACCTGTTGGCCTCAGCGCTCCAGTTCACACAGCCTCTCTCCAGTCTCTCCAGACGCTCCTGCAGACGCCGCACTGCAAACCCTGAGGCATGCTGGCACGGCAGGAGAGAGAAGTTCTGTATCATAAGATAATGACCATGTAGTGTAACTAGATCTTCAAAAGTATACTAATATTTGTTAGTGTGCATGTAAAGTTTTAAAAAATAAGTAATACAGCACTTGGAGCAAGGGGAGTGCAAACACAACCTCTCAGGGTCAAGACAAACAAACAAACAGCGGTGAATGATGAGGTGTTGTCTTCCAGTCTCACCGACTGCTGGACAGTGTTACTGATGTCTCCTCCCAGAGAGATAGCCAGCTTGTACAGGTGTCTAACGTGGCTCTGTCTGTCCTGGTGTTGGATCAGCTGGATCTTAGCCTGGCTCGTCTCGCTGAACCCTGTCACAGGCTCCGATGTTAACAGCTTATCCAGCTGGGGACACAACAATTAACCAATTAGGAGGCTGTTTATTGAACCATTATCCAATTAGGTGGCTGTTTATTTGCTGCTATGATCAGTATCATGTGAGTGTTTGATGATGTTTGCATATCACCAGCTGTTCAAGATTCGATTTCGAATAACTAAGTAATGCAGCTCTATTAGTGTCTTCTGGGGTATCTTGTCTAGGAAACCCCCCTGAGCTCACAGAAGACTGATTCATTCTCTTGGGTTCTATCTGGACTCATCTTGTGTAATGATGCCGGTATTCATTAAATTGGTTTTTATTTTTGTGATGAATACAACGGGTGTAGACTTAACTGTGAAGTTAATGCTTGCTTACAAGCCCTTCCCAATGATACATAGCAAAAAAATTATAATACAAAAAAAGAATAGTAACACTAGAGGAATAAAATACACAAGAATGGAGCTACATACAGGGAGTACCAGTACCAGATCAATGTGCAGGGGTACAAGGTATTTGAGGTAGATATGTACATGAAAGGTAAAGTGACTAGGCATCAGGATTGATAATAATATGAGTAAAATAAAGAACAGAGTAGCAGCAGCATATGATGTGTGTAGAAGTGTGTGTGTGTGTGTATTTGTGTGTGTGTGTGTATGTGTTGTGTCTGTATGAGTGTGTGTGTATGTGTGTTTATGTTGTCGGTATGCATGTGTGTGTTATTTGTGTGCAAATGTGCTTATGTAGTGTATGTGAATGCGTATGGGTTTTGTTTGAGAGTGTCAGTGTAGTGTGTGTGAGCGTGTATACAGTATATAGTCTTGTGAGTGTGCATAGAGTCAGTGCAAGATAGGGTTAGTCAGATAGTCCGGGTAACCATTAATTACAGTGAGGGAAAAAAGTATTTGATCCCCTGCTGATTCTGTACGTTTGCCCACTGACAAAGACATGATCAGTATAATTTTAATGGTAGGTTTATTTGAACAGTGAGAGACAGAAAAACGCATCTCAAAAATGTTATAAATTGATTTGCATTTTAATGTGGTCCTCTGTAGCTCAGCTGGTAGAGCACGGCGCTTGTAACGCCAACGGGTTCGATCCCCGGGACCACCCATACACACAAAAAAAATTTAAAAAATGTATGCACGCATGACTGTAAGTCGCTTTGGATAAAAGCGTCTGCTAAATGGCATATTATATTATATTATTATTATTATATTATTATTATTATTATTATATTATTATTATTATTATTATTATATTATTATAAATAAGTATTTGACCCCTCTGAAAAACATGACTTAGTACTTGGTGGCAAAACCCTTGTTGGCCACCAGGTTTGCACACATCTCAGGAGGGATTTTGTCCCACTCCTCTTTGCAGATCTTCTCCAAGTCATTAAGGTTTTGAGCCTGACGTTTGGCAACTCGAACCTTCAGCTCCCTCCACAGATTTTCTATGGGATTAAGGTCTGGAGACTGGCTAGGCCACTCCAGGACCTTAATGTGCTTCTTCTTGAGCCACTCCTTTGTTGCCTTGGCCGTGTGTTTTGGGTCATTGTCATTGCCCTGGCTGAGGGAAGGAGGTTCTCACCCAAGATTTGACGGTACATGGCCCCGTCCATCGTCCCTTTGATGCGGTGAAGTTGTCCTGTCCCCTTAGCAGAAAAACACCCCCAAAACATAATGTTTCCACCGCCGTGTTTGACGGTGGGGATGGTGTTCTTGGGGTCGTAGGCAGCATTCCTCCTCCTCCAAACACGGCGAGTTGAGTTGATGCCAAAGAGCTCGATTTTGGTCTCATCTGACCACAACACTTTCACCCAGTTCTCCTCTGAATCATTCAGATGTTCATCGGCAAACTTCAGACGGCCCTGTATATGTGCTTTCTTGAGCAGGGGGACCTTGCGGGAGCTGCAGGATTTCAGTCCTTCACGGCGTAATGTGTTACCAATTGTTTTCTTGGTGACTATGGTCCCAGCTGCCTTGAGATCCTTGACAAGATCCTCCCATGTAGTTCTGGGCTGATTCCTCACCGTTCTCATGATCATTGCAACTCCATGAGGTGAGATCTTGCATGGAGCCCCAGGCTCCATGCAAGACCTTCTCACCAAGCTGCTTGGCGATGGTCTTGTAGCCCATTCCAGCCTTGTGTAGGTCTACAATCTTGTCCCTGACATCCTTGGAGAGCTCTTTGGTCTTGGCCATGGTGGAGAGTTTGGAATCTGATTGATTGATTGCTTCTGTGGACAGGTGTCTTTTATACAGGTAACAAGCTGAGATTAGGGGCACTCCCTTTAAGAGTGTGCTCCTAATCTCAGCTCGTTACCTGTATAATGACACCAGGAGCCAGAAATCTTTCTGATTGAGAGGGGGTCAAATACTTATTTCCCTCATTAAAATGCAAATCAATTTATAACATTTTTGACATGCGTTTTTCTGGATTATTTTGTTGTTATTCTGTCTCTCACTGTTGAAATAAACCTACCATTAAAATTATAGACTGATCATTTCTTTGTCAGTGGGCAAACGTACAAAATCAGCAGGGGATCAAATACGTTTTTCCCTCACTGTAACTATTTAGCAGTCTTATGGCTTGGGGGTAGAAGCTGTCTCGGAAGCCTGTTGGTCTGAGAGCCGATGTCCCGGAACTGTTTTCCGGAAGGTAGCAGAGTGAATAGTTTTGGGTGGCTGGAGTCTTTGGCAATTTTTCGGGCCTTCCTCTGAACACCTGATATAGAGGTCCTGGATGGCAGGGAGCTCGGCCCAAGTGATGTACTGGGCTGTTCACACCACCCTCTGTAGCACTTTGCGGTCGAGGGTGGTGCATTTGCCATACCAAGCAGTGATACAGTCAGTCAAGACGCTCTCGATGGTGCAGCTGTAGAACCTTTTGAGGATCCGAGGGCCCATGCCAAATCTTTTCAGCCTCCTGAGGGGGAAGAGGAGCTGTTGTGCCCTCTTCACGACTGTGCGGCTGTGTGTGGACCATGTCGTCCTTAGTGATGTGGACGCCAAGGAATTTGAAGCTCTCGACCCACTCCACTACAGACTTGGCGATGTGATGGGGGTGTGCTCTCCCCTTTTTCTCCTGTAGTCCACGATCAGCTCCTTTGTCTTACTGATGTTAGGGGAGAGGTTGTTGTCATGGCACCACACTGCCAAGTCTCTGACCTCCTCCCTGTAGGCTGTGTCATCGCCGTTGGTGATCAGGCCTACCAGTGTTGTGTCGTTAGCAAACTTGATGATGGTGTTGGAGTCGAGGTTGGACACAGTTGTGGGTGAACAGGGCGTACAGGAAGGGACTAAGCACACACCCTTGAGCATCCCCAATGTTGAGGGTCAGTGTCGCGGAGGTGTTGTTGCCTACCCTCACCACCTGGGGCTGTTCTGTCAGGAAGTCCAGGATCCAGTTACAGAGGTGTTCAGTCCCAGGGTCCCCAGCTTGATGATGAGCTTGGAAGGGACTATGGTGTTAAACGCTGAGCTGTGGTCTATGAACAGCATTCTCACATAGTTATTTCCCTCTTGTCCAGGTGGGAGAGGCCAGTGTGAAGTGCAATTGAGATTGCGTCATCTGTGGATCTGTTGGGGCGGTGTGCGAATTGGAGTGGATCCAGGGTGTCTGGGATGATGCTGTTGATGTGTGTCATGACCAGCCTTTGAAAGCACCTCATAATTACAGATGTGAATGCCACAGGGCGATAGTCATTTAGGCAGGTTACCTTGGAGTTCTTGGGAACAGGGACATTGTTGGGATTACAGACTGGGACAAGAAGAGATTGAAAATATCCGTGAGGATACTTGCCAGCTGGTCTGCACATGCTTTGAGAACGCGCACTCACATTCATATGAGTCAATGTATCAACCATAAAGCCATCGTTAGTATCTGACTGTCAGGCATAGTGTAGTGTGTAGCATGCAAAGTATCAATCTCTTATGGTACATTTTAGGCTGAAAAGGTCTACGAGTTACTGTATCTCCAGGGCATCTCTAAATTGATATCCTGTGTTCTTCGGTTTCTACAGCCAAGCTAGATAGGTAACTAACTCTCTGATAGTTACAGTATTTATGTGACATTTAAAGCTGAAAGGCCTATGAAGGGCAGAGAACTTTGATCTAAACTGATCACATATGTTCTCTCAAACACACAGCAACGATAGTTTTCAATGCCAGACATAGACACAATGACTCTGAAGAGACTACAGCAAAGATAACACCCTCCCTGATATTTACAGAATGTAGACTATGGTTGCGTCCAACATGTCACCCTATTCCCTAAATAGTGCACTACTTTATATAGTGCACTCTATGGGCCCTAGTCAAAAGTATTGCACAATTCCGTAGGGAATAGGGTGCCATTTGGGACGCAACCCGCACCCTTAGACTATGTGTTGTTACCTCTTCATAAAGCTGGTGGAACTTCACGGCCATCTTGAGGACAGACTCGTACTCTTTGATTTTATCTTTTACTCTCTGATGAAGGTGAAGCATCTCTGTAACCTTCTCACTCTTCTCTTTGATAGGAATTCCTTTCAATGCCAACAGTTCTGATGTCTTCACCATGTATTCTACCTCCGCATTCAGTTGCTACAGGGGACATACAGTACATACAGAATAATTATGCATATTTACTTATAGGATATCACATAATGGACCAGATCAAAGAACGAAGGGAGATGACACAAATGTAAAAAGATTTAGGAACGGTGTCAAGCTACTTAGAGCCACCGTATAGATACTGTACTATCAAGCAAAGTGTATACTGACTTACACTAACACAGACTATATAATTATATTGGTACTCATAAAACCATTGTGTTCTGTCAAATAAATTATACATAATACTGTTGTGATTTATTCTACCCATATGACGGATCACTGGGCTATAGTTCTTACCAGGAACTGGGGCTTAGCTAGGCTAAAGTTCTCCAGTAGCTTGGACACAGTCTGAAGGTCACTTCCCAGATCTATTTTAGAGGTCGGGACAAGAATCTCCTCCACACTCTTCAGGTCATGAACAGTCTGTAACACATTTAAAACATCTGTTCTGACATTGTATTCACAGTGGGGGTCTTAACACTTCATGAGATTGCACTTGATGATACATTAAGAATAAATTGGTTGGGATTCAGGAATTTGTAATGGATATGATATGATCTACTTCCAGTACCTTTTTAAGTTGTTCTTTGTATTTCTTCCACTGTTTCTTGATGGACTTCACCTGATTGACGTGGAGCTGCCAGGAGGTCCAGAGGTCGGACAGGTCCACCTTCTTCTTGTTCAGCTCCTCCATGGTCTTCTCCACCACACCGATGGCTGCCCTCACATTCAGGTTCAGGTTCTCACTCACCTGACGATGCCAACATAAAGAATCCATTGCAATCAGGTACTGGGTCTTGTCTGTATTCTACAGCCCTCACATATGAAGCACCACTGGATGTTGGTCTAACCATGCGCCCTCTTGGTTAACTTGTTTGAATTACAATAATAAATGGTTGTCAGGTTTGTCTATATGTGTGCAGGTAGTGGCCTGTTAAGTACAATTTATTCCAAAGATAATTACACAGTAATAATAAATGGGTTTTCCAACTTCTGCTAGATAAGTATAATCAATACATGTAAAACTGGCAAATGTCAGACCCTCAAAACTGTTGCATGGATAATAGCATTTGAAGAAGATGAATCCTAACAATTTCTCTAACCATGTAATAACGTCTAACCATGTTAGATGAGTTGATGTAGTTATTTCCCAGGTCCTGCATGGCGATGAAGCTTTCCAACATGGACTGCCACTTAGCATCAGCGATCTCCTTAGACGTGACTCCACTCTCCTCGTTCTCCTCCTCTGGCGTCCTGTTATAGCTCTCATGTAGACTCTGCATCTGCTCCTCCACCTGAAACAGCATAGGAGTTACACATTTCAACTCTATTCAGTACACTGTAACTGTTATTCTGTTATTCACATTTCAGTTGAAATACATACAGAACAAGGATTTTCAGTCAGTCAAGATACCACTGTGTCACCTACCACTGTAAAACACTAACATACACATAACAAAAAACATAATTACATTTCAACAAAAGATAATGTAAGACAAAATAACCTCCTCAGCAATTCGCAAGAAGGCCACGTATGGTCTGATGTTCTCAATGCGGGATGTGATGTTTCTGGTGACTGTCTTCACCTCCTCTTCTAGCAGTGATCCTTTGTTGGAGAACTCAGTGGCTTCAGGACACTCCAGTGTTTTCAGTTCCTTTATCTGTTCTGCCATGGCCTCTGCCTCACTGGCTGTTTCCTGAGAACCAAATGACCAGGATTGAGAAGCTCTATGGTATCACACATATACTTCAATACAGTACAAGACAGGGTTAGGTCCATTTGAATTCATTCAGTTCAGGAAGTAAACTGAAATTCCTGAATTTAAATGGAATTGACCCCAACCTTGGTACAAGATGAACAAAGGGGACATACATTTGAATTAGGTTGAGTAAATGTACATGTGCTATCCCTGACTACCTGTGTTTGTGAGGAGAGTTCCAGGTGTTTGTTGAGCATGTCTTCAGACTGGGAGAGCAGGGAGCCTGGCTCAGTGTTGCTGGAGAGGACACCATTGCTGCTCTTTAGCCACACCGAGATCTGGGACAGAAAAACATGACTTTTACTTAACTTTATTAGTTCCACAATTCAGTAAAATGCAGTCAACTGAAATACATGGAAATGTACACACACATAAAAGCATTGGCAGTTGACCGTAGGCTGTCAACTAGCCTCACAAAAACAGCAGAAAATGGGCCAATCTGACTTTAGATCTTCTTAACTCAAAACTGTGTACCTCTCCTATTGACAGTGAATGATATGCAAACGTCTAACTTCCACATGCTTATTTCAACTCTGAATCAGGCCCAATGAGACTAGCAGTAGGCTGACACATCAATAGGAGTTCGATATCGGCAGCTCAAAAGGCATAATACAATGTAATTCAATAAAAAGATAGATACGGTGAAGTCCCAAATGGCACTCTATTACCTATATTGTGCACTACCTTTGACCAGAGCCCTTTGGCCCTGGTCAAAAGTAGTGCACTATAAAGAGAATAGAGTGCCATTTGGGACGTAGCCTAAGGCTTGTGTGTACCTTGTCTATGAGGTCTTCACATGAGGACACCAGCTGCTGTCTCTTGGTTGCCAGTGCTCGGTGGGCGTGGCATTCCCGGCTCAGAGCATCAACCCGGTCTCTCACATATCCCAGCATCCTTTTCACCCCTTCCACTTGGGTACTACAAATACAGTAAGAGTCATGTATGCTGTCCAATGCTCCATGTAGTAATAATAATATCTGCATTCTTGATCCATCCGTCCGTCTATCAATATAAAGGCATCACATACAGTATAACAAGCATATTAGATTTCAGATTACAGTGATATCTTTGCTAGCGAAATCATGTTACTCAAAATCTCAGTTTTGCTACACAGATGCTTGACCACTGCAGGTTTAAACTTGACTAGGGTGGGGGTGAGGTTTTGAGTCTGAGGACTGAGGATGTCCTAATATGGATGCTGTGCACCTTACCTCTGTGGGTCAACCTTCTGTAGTATGAGCTGTCCTCTCTGAAGAGGGTCGGTGGCTGACTCTTTGATGCTTCGCAGCAGCTCCTCGTGCTTTTTGGCCAACTCAGGCAACCGTAGTGTCTGGCTCTTCAACCCCTTTAGTTTACTCTCAACAGTTCCCAGGACCCCAAAAGCCTGACATAAACAGCAATGAAAGGATAGGACAATATATATATATAAAAGTAATCATGTAAACATGATAGATAGTTTAACAGAAGTCCTGAATAAATGTGATATTGCTCATTATAATAAAACTAACAATTTATGACGCAGTAGATGGCACAAATATGCCCTTAATGTCCACTAGAGGGCAGCGTATTCAAATCAAATTCAAGTCACTAGTTCACTATGGTGTGTAGAGGACCTCAAAGACTTAGTGCTGCAATAATAATTACACTCTTCACATATTTGTCGGGCACATGATCGGTACAGTAGCTACCTTGTTGACACTGCTAAAGAACGCGTTGCTCTCCTGAATGTGATATCTATTGTTACATAGATACCTCGTTGGTACTGCTATAGAAGGCGGCACATGATACAGTGGGGAAAAAAAGTATTTAGTCAGCCACCAATTGTGCAAGTTCTCCCACCTAAAAAGATGAGAGAGGCCTGTAATTTCCATCATAGGTACACGTCAACTATGACAGACAAATTGAGAGAAAAAAAATCCAGAAAATCACATTGTAGGATTTTGAATGAATTTATTTGCAAATTATGGTGGAAAATAAGTATTTGGTCACCTACAAACAAGCAAGATTTCTGGCTCTCACAGACCTGTAACTTCTTCTTTAAGAGGCTCCTCTGTCCTCCACTCGTTACCTGTATTAATGGCACCTGTTTGAACTTGTTATCAGTATATAAGACACCTGTCCACAACCTCAAACAGTCACACTCCAAACTCCACTATGGCCAAGACCAAAGAGCTGTCAAAGGACACCAGAAACAAAATTGTAGACCTGCACCAGGCTGGGAAGACTGAATCTGCAATAGGTAAGCAGCTTGGTTTGAAGAAATCAACTGTGGGAGCAATTATTAGGAAATGGAAGACATACAAGACCACTGATAATCTCCCTCGATCTGGGGCTCCACGCAAGATCTCACCCCGTGGGGTCAAAATGATCACAAGAACGGTGAGCAAAAATCCCAGAACCACACAGGGTGACCTAGTGAATGACCTACAGAGAGCTGGGACCAAAGTAACAAAGCCTACCATCAGTAACACACTACGCCGCCAGGGACTCAAATCCTGCAGTGCCAGACGTGTCCCCCTGCTTAAGCCAGTACATGTCCAGGCCCGTCTGAAGTTTGCTAGAGTGCATTTGGATGATCCAGAAGAGGATTGGGAGAATGTCATATGGTCAGATGAAACCAAAATAGAACTTTTTGGTAAAAACTCAACTCGTCGTGTTTGGAGGACAAAGAATGCTGAGTTGCATCCAAAGAACACCATACCTACTGTGAAGCATGGGGGTGGAAACATCATGCTTTGGGGCTGTTTTTCTGCAAAGGGACCAGGACGACTGATCCGTGGAAAGGAAAGAATGAATGGGGCCATGTATCGTGAGATTTTGAGTGAAAACCTCCTTCCATCAGCAAGGGCATTGAAGATGAAACGTGGCTGGGTCTTTCAGCATGACAATGATCCCAAACACACCGCCCGGGCAACGAAGGAGTGGCTTCGTAAGAAGCATTTCAAGGTCCTGGAGTGGCCTAGCCAGTCTCCAGATCTCAACCCCATAGAAAATCTTTGGAGGGAGTTGAAAGTCCGTGTTGCCTAGCGACAGCCCCAAAACATCACTGCTCTAGAGGAGATCTGCATGGAGGAATGGGCCAAAATACCAGCAACAGTGTGTGAAAACCTTGTGAAGACTTACGGAAAACGTTTGACCTGTGTCATTGCCAACAAAGGGTATATAACAAAGTATTGATAAACTTTTGTTATTGACCAAATACTTATTTTCCACCATAATTTGCAAATAAATTCATTGAAAATCCTACAATGTGATTTTCTGGATATTTTTTTCTCATTTTGTCTGTCATAGTTGACGTGTACCTATGATGAAAATTACAGGCCTCTCTCATCTTTTAAGTGGGAGAACTTGCACAATTGGTGGCTGACTAAATACTTTTCTTCCCCACTGTATGTACAGCAGGTTGTGTGAAACCGTAACGCATTGGCAGTAGCTGATTTGTTTGCCTTGTTTTAACCTTTTCCTGCTAAATCAGGGTCACACAGAGTGTTTCTTGGTAGTCTTAAACAAATCTACGTTGAAACAGAAGTATACACCTCACAAACATGGTTATGGGCTTAAAAAAAGAAGACACCTGTACAATGTCAGATATAGAGTTTAAATGTATTACATTTTGAGTTTGTATCCCAATATTACACTTTATATACATCACAGAAGACTGAAATATAACAAAACCATTTGACATAGAAAACACCGGATTTCCGGAGGTAAAAAAAAAAGTTGATAAATTATGAAATTATGAAAAATATTAATAACATTCCACCCATGAGGCCACTAGAGGGCGATTTGGTCATTTGACTGCAGGAAATATATTAATCTTACTACATGGATATTCCATGTGTTGATACATTTGGATGGTCTATATATCCTACAAGTTTAGACTTGTTAAAGATACAGTACCTTGTCGGCACTGCTTAAGTGGCACATTATATGTACAGTTACAGTTACTATCTTGTTGGCACTAATAAAAAACACATTGCTCTCCTGAAGGTCGTATGTACAGTTTCAGTAGCAACCTTGTTGGCACTGAAGGCATTTTTCTCCTGAAGGTTATGTACAATAGCATAGATATAGAACAGTTCTATCTCTACAGTATGTACACTAATTAGTAACTACTATCTTGGCCCTGCTTATTTGTGGCCACAAGACAGAAGTTACTGTACCTTGTTGGCACTGAAAAAGAAGGCGTTGCTCTCCTGTAGGTGATATGTATAGTTACACTAGCTACCTTCTACAGTGGCTTGCGAAAGTATTCACCCCCTTTGGCATTTTTCCTATTTTGTTGCCTTACAACCTGGAATTAAAATTGATTTTTGTTTTTTTTTTATCATTTGATTTACACAACATGCCTACCACTTTGAAGATGCAAAATATTTTTTATTGTGAAACAAAGAAGAAATAAGACAAAAAAACAGAAAACTTGAATGTGCATAACTATCACTATTGGTGGGCGATCCTTTCTTGGCAGGTTTGTTGTGGTGCCATATTCTTTCAATTTTTTTATAATGGATTTAATGGTGCTCCGTGGCATGTTCAAAGTTTCTGATATTTTTCTATAACCCAACCCTGATCTGTACTTCTCCACAACTTTGTCCCTGACCTGTTTGGAGAACTCCTTGGTCTTCATGGTGCCGCTTGCTTGGTGGTGCCCCTTGCTTAGTGGTGTTGGAGACTCTGGGGCCTTTCAGAACAGGTGTATATACATACTGAGATCATGTGACACTTAGATTGCACACAGGTGGACTTTATTTAACTAATTATGTGACTTCTGAAGGTAATTGGTTGCACCAGATCTTATTTAGGGGCTTCATAGCAAAGGGGGTGAATACATTTGCACGCACCACTTTTCCGTTATTTATTTTCTTGAATTTTTTTAACAAGTTATTTTTTTCATTTCATTTCACCAATTTGGACTATTTTGTGTATGTCCATTACATGAAATCCAAATAAAAATCCATTTAAATGACAGGTTGTAATGCAACAGAATAGGAAAAACGCCAAGGCACTGTACTGCTACTACTACTGGACCACCTACTCTCTCCTACGGGGGGTTATTTTTTATTATTTTTTATTTAACCTTTATTTAACTAGGCAAGTCAGTTAAGAACAAATTCTTATTTACAATAACGGCCTACACCGGCCAAACCCGGACGACGCTGGGCCAATTGTGCGCCGCCCTATGGGACTCCCAATCACGGCCAGTTGTGATACAGCCTGGAATCGAACCAGGGGGTCTGTAGTGACACCTCAAGCACTGAGATGCAGTGCCTAAGACCGCTGCGCCACTGTATTTTAATAATGTCTGAGCCCATACATTAAAAGGGCAATCAGTAGTTGAAACAATAAAAAAGGGTTTTCCCCGCCACAGTTTCGGTAAAAAGCTGAGGGATGACCCTGGAGAAATGTAACCACTCTCAAATTCATAGACAGAGCTATGGATGCAAGGACTGACCATCCATGATAGCCAATTTATGGTTTTAACCATGTTTCGGGGCTAAACAGTGTTTGTTTATAAACATTGGCATATAACAAGCTTATATGTTGGGTTCTGATGGGGTACGACAGTTGAATTCAACTGATGAGGCATTTATAAGTTATATTCTTTAAGAATCAATGTGTACATATAATTAATTTATAAGTCAAATACAAATAATTGCCCTTTTAAAGTCTTTTAACTTTCAAACCCACACGAGTGCCTGGACTTTTTATGCCACTTAGCAACTATTTGAGGTTCTAATTTTTCCTTTTGCTTCTCAGTTACTGTACCTTGTTGGCGCTGCTAAAGAAAGCATTGCTCTCCTGTAGGTGTGCAAGGCGGCCCATCATCAGGTTCCAGAAGTGCTCGTGCAGGGCTTTGAGAGCCAGACTCCTCTCAGAGACATGTCCCTTCTCAGCCTCAGCCCGGCCCTCTGCTTCCCCCGCTAGCAGCTCTGAGGCCTGGGCTAGCAGCTTCCTCACCAATTCGCTCCAGTCCTGCAGGATAGGATGCAGGCACACGCACACGCACGCGCACACACACACACACACACACACACACACACACACACAACATGCATGATTATAAGGGCACAGCCTGACTGAGCAGCTATTTGCTGCTCTGGCACCCCAATGGTGGAACAAGCTCCCCCACGACGCCAGGACAGCGGAGTCACTGACCACCTTCCGGAGACACTTGAAACCCTACCTCTTTAAGGAATACCTGGAATAGTATAAAGTAATCCTTCTACCCACCCTCTCCCCCAAACCCCCATAAAAAAAAAAAGTGGTTGTCTCACTGGCCCCAGTCCCCAGTTGAATGCACCAATTTGTAATTTGCTCTGGATAAGAGCGTCTGCTAAATGATGTAAATGTACTAACATACTTTTTGAGAAGGTCCAGTCACACAAATTCCCTAGGTGGCAAAGGTCCGGATGGATATCGTCATTTACAAACCCCCACCTCTCAACCCATGCAACCCCAAACTGTTCAAACGTTTCACACCCCTCTTGTTGGCAGAGAGAAATATTTGCCATTTTAAAGCTAATTTCCTGCAATTCTACACATTTTCCATGTCTATTTCTTCAAAATAACAGTCAAACCGTTAGCAAATATGTCCCATAATATACTCATATTTAAAGTATCATACCTTGGCTTTTTCTTCAAACTTCTTGTATTCCTGAAGGAGCTCCTCATTTTCAGTGAGGGTTGATCCCAAATGATCTCTTTCAAAGTGCAAGTCAGCATTGCTCTTGAACCAGTGGGTTACCTGAAAAGAATACAATATATTATCACTACAATCAGTTATTCATGAATTTCCACTTGGGCAAAGGTGCAATAGATCAGGTAACATGTTACATTTGTAGATGTAATATAAATATGTAAATTATTTCAAAGGAAGAGTTAAATGCTTCATGACTGCTCTCCCTGACACTAAGCAGTGGATACATGTTTACAGACGCTGTTAGCCAGAGCTACTGACAGTAGTGAGTGCATACAGGAATTGAAACAACAACCCTGGCGTTGCAAGTGCCATGCTCTACCAACTGAGCCACACACAACCAACTGAGCCACACACAACCAACTGAGCCACACGTGATAGAGTATCAAACCATTCTGAAGCACAGCGAGAGACATCTGTACTTTCATAATCTTAACACAACCCCTTATGGCTCTGAAAATATTATATTTTCCTAGGTAGGCATTCTCTCAGTTCAATATCAGATGCACTTTCTAATACCACACTTATTATCCAACGGACATTCCACAGAACATTTATTTATACTTGCATACAGTGAGGGAAATAAGGATTTGATCCCCTACTGATTTTGTACGTTTTCCCACTGACAAAGACATGATCAGTCTATAATTTTAATGGTAGGTTTATTTGAACAGTGAGAGACAGAATAACAACAACAAAATCCAGAAAAACACATGTCAAAATTGTTATAAATTGATTTGCATTTTAATGAGGGAAATAAGTATTTGACCCCTCTGCAAAACATTACTTAGTACTTGGTGGCAACACCCTTGTTGGCAATCACAGAGGTCAGACGTTTCATGTAGTTGGCCACCAGGTTTGCACACATCTCAGGAGGGCTTTTGTTCCACTCCTCTTTGCAGATCTTCTCCAAGTCATTAAGGTTTCGAGGCTGACGTTTGGCAACTCGAACCTTCAGCTCCCTCCACAGATTTTCTATGGGATTAAGGTCTGGAGACTGGTTAGGCCACTCCAGGACCTTAATGTGCTTCTTCTTGAGCCACTCCTTTATTGCCTTGGCCGTGTGTTTTGGGTCATTGTCATGCTGGAATACCCATCCACGACCCATTTTCAATGCCCTGGCTGAGGGAAGGAGGTTCTCACCCAAGATTTGACGGTACATGGCCCTGTCCATCGTCCCTTTGATGCGGTGAAGTTGTCCTGTCCCCTTAGCAGAAAAACACCCCCAAAGCATAATGTTTCCACCTCCATGTTTGACGGTGGGGATGGTGTTCTTGGGGTCATAGGCAGCATTCCTCCTCCTCCAAACACGGCGAGTTGAGTTGATGCCAAAGAGCTTGATTTTGGTCTCATCTGACCACAACACTTTCATCCAGTTCTCCTCTGAATCATTCAGATGTTCATTGGCAAACGTCAGACGGCCCTGTATATGTGCTTTGTTGAGCAGGGGGACCTTGTGGGCGCTGCAGGATTTCAGTCCTTCACGGCGTAGTGTGTTACCAATTGTTTTCTTGGTGACTATGGTCCCAGCTGCCTTGAGATCATTGACAAGATCCTCCCGTGTAGTTCTGAGCTGATTCCTCACCGTTCTCATGATCATTGCAACTCCACGAGGTGAGATCTTGCATGGAGCCCCAGGCCGAGGGAGATTGACAGTTCTTTTATGTTTCTTCCATTTGCAAATAATCGCACCAACTGTTGTCAACCTTCTCACCAAGCTGCTTGGCGATGGTCTTGTAGCCCATTCCAGCCTTGTGTAGGTCTACAATCTTGTCCCTGACATCCTTGGAGAGCTCTTTGGTCTTGGCCATGGTGGAGAGTTTGGAATCTGATTGATTGATTGCTTCTGTGGACAGGTGTCTTTTATACAGGTAACACGCTGGAGCAGCGCCGGAGAAGATGGCTGCCGTTTTACAGCCCTCTAACCAATTGTACTATTATGTGTGTTTTTCCGCGTTATTTGTAATTTATTTTGTACATAATGTTTCTGCCATCGTCTCTTCCCCTCAGGGGTGCGTGCTCAGTCCCCTCCTGTACTCTCTGTTCACCCATGACTGCATGGCCAGACACGACTCCAACACCATCATTAAGTTTGCCGACGACACAACAGTGGTAGGCCTGATCACCGACAACGATGAGACAGCCTATAGGGAGGAGGTCAGAGATCTGGCCGTGTGGTGCCAGGACAACAACCTCTCCCTCAACGTGACCAAGACAAAGGAGATGATTGTGGACTACAGGAAAAAAAAGAGGACTGAGCACGCCCCCATTCTCATCGACGGGGCTGTAGTGGAACAGGTTGAGAGCTTCAAGTTCCTTGGTGTCCACATCACCAACGAACTATCATGGTCCAAACACACCAAGACAGTCGTGAAGAGGGCACGACAAAGCCTATTCCCCCTCAGGAGACTAAAAAGATTTGGCATGGGTCCTCAGATCCTCAAAAAATTCTACAGCTGCACCATCGAGAGCATCCTGACTGGTTGCATCACCGCCTGGTATGGCAACTGCTTGGCCTCTGACCGCAAGGCACTACAGAGGGTAGTGCGTACGGCCCAGTACATCACTGGGGCAAAGCTCCCTGCCATCCAGGACCTCTATACCAGGCGGTGTCAGAGGAAGGCCCTCAAAATTGTCAAAGACTCCAGCCACCCTAGTCATAGACTGTTCTCTCTGCTACCGCACGGCAAGCGGTACCGGAGTGCCAAGTCTAGGTCCAAAAGACTTCTCAACAGCTTCTACCCCCAAGCCATAAGACTCCTGAACAGCTAATCATGGCTACCCGGACTATTTGCACTGCCCCCCCCCACCCCATCCTTTTTACGCTGCTGCTACTCTGTTAAGTATTTATGCATAGTCACTTTAACTCTACCCACATGTACATATTACCTCAACTACCTCAACTAGCCGGTGCCCCCGCACATTGACTCTGCAACGGTACCCCCCTGTATATATAGCCTCCCTACTGTCACTTTATTTTACTGTATATATAGCCTCCCTACTGTCACTTTATTTTACTTCTGCTCTTTTTTTTCTCAACAATTTTTTTGTTGTTGTTTTATTCTTACTTTTTTTGTTTAAAATAAATGCACTGTTGGTTAAGGGCTGTAAGTAAGCATTTCACTGTAATGTCTGCACCTGTTGTATTCGGCGCATGTGACCAATAAAATTTGATTTGATTTGATTAGGAGCACTCCCTTTAAGAGTGAGCTCCTAATCTCAGCTCGTTACCTGTATAAAAGACACCTGGGAGCCAGAAATCTTTCTGATTGAGAGGGGGTCAAATACTTATTTCCCTCATTAAAATGCAAATCAATTTATAACATTTCTGACATGCGTTTTTCTGGATTTCTTTGATGTTATTCTGTCTCTCACTGTTCAAATAAACCTACCATTAAAATTATAGACTGATCATTTCTTCGTCAGTGGGCAAACGTACAAAATCAGCAGGGGATCAAATACTTGTTTCCCTCACTGTATAAGGTAGGTAAAGGTTTTAAGTAAAAAGTAGATTTCCAACACGGATTGATCTTTGATATTGACATTTCGTGACTCACTTCCTGTTCCTGCCGATCCCATTGGTAGATGCTGAGGATGACTTCCAGGTCAAGGAGCTGCTGCTTCATGTGCTGGTCCACCTGTCTCCTCCTGTCCTGCAGTATCTCCATAAGACTCTCCACCCGGCCACAGCTGCTGCGAGCCCCCCGTAACGCCTCACTCCTCTGTAGAGCCTCCTCTATCTGGAACTCTCTCAGGAAGTCTAGAAGATCACGGCTCTTATTCAGAACCAGCATGGACTTCTCCAGGAGACCTGAGAGGGAGGGATGGAGTGACGGAGGGAAAGAAAGAAAGAGAGAGGAGAGAGAGAGGGAATGGTTTATTTACTATTACTTGAAGGCATTTCATAGTGCCATTAGCTGCAAAGAGCTGAATTACTCCATACCATTTACAATTTTCTCATTAGAAAGACACTCTTGTTTAGAACCAGCACTGACTTCTCCAGTAGACCCGAAGGACAGATATGGGTCAGAATAGGAACATATGATTTCATACACACTTACAACGTCTTTGAGCAGATGCTGGACATATTTTATTCTTATTTACATTGAAAGTGACTCCAAAATGACACAATACATTATTTACAATTCATTTCTATTGGGCACAACATAATCCGAAACACAACCAAAACAAACTGCTAATGCATCCAACAAGTTTGGGGAGTCACAAGCTTGATGTAGTCATTGCGTGCTAGAAATATGGGACCAAATAGTAAAGTTTTTATTAAATTTAACACACTATAAGTGAATTTGTCCAAATACTTATGACACCTTCAAATGGTGGGATTAGATACATAAAGTGCTTTAATTTCTCAACGGTAAAACAGATATGTACAGTGAGGGAAAAAAGTATTTGAACCCCTGCTGATTTTGTACGTTTGCCCACTGACAAAGAAATGATCAGTCTATAATTTGAATGGTAGGTTTATTTGAACAGTGAGAGACAGAATAACAACAACAAAATCCAGAAAAACACGTCAAAAATGTTATAAATTGATTTGCATTTTAATGAGGGAAATAAGTATTTGACCCCTCTGCAAAACATGACTTAGTACTTGGTGGCAAAACCCTTGTTGGCAATCACAGAGGTCAGACGTTTCTTGTAGTTGGCCACCAGGTTTGCACACATCTCAGGAGGGATTTTGTCCCGCTCCTCTTTGCAGATCTTCTCCAAGTCATTAAGATTTTGAGGCTGACGTTTGGCAACTCGAACCTTCAGCTCCCTCCACAGATTTTCTATGGGATTAAGGTCTGGAGACTGGCTAGGCCACTCCAGGACCTTAATGTGCTCTTCTTGAGCCACTCCTTTGTTGCCTTGGCCGTGTGTTTTGGGTCATTGTCATGCTGGAATACCCATCCACGACCCATTTTCAATGCCCTGGCTGAGGGAAGGAGGTTCTCACCCAAGATTTGACGGTACATGGCCCCGTCCATTGTCCCTTTGATGCGGTGAAGTTGTCCTGTCCCCTTAGCAGAAAAACACCCCCAAAGCATAATGTTTCCACCTCCATGTTTGACGGTGGGGATGGTGTTCTTGGGGTCATAGGCAGCATTCCTCCTCCTCCAAACACGGCGTGTTGAGTTGATGCCAAAGAGCTCGATTTTGGTCTCATCTGACCACAACACTTTCACCCAGTTCTCCTCTGAATCATTCAGATGTTCATTGGCAAACTTCAGACGGGCATGTATATGTGCTTTCTTGAGCAGGGGGACCTTGCGGGCGCTGCAGGATTTCAGTCCTTCACGGCGTAGTGTGTTACCAATTGTTTTCTTGGTGACTATGGTCCCAGCTGCCTTGAGATCATTGACAAGATCCTCCTGTGTAGTTCTGGGCTGATTCCTCACCGTTCTCATGTTCATTGCAACTCCACAAGGTGAGATCTTGCATGGAGCCCCAGGCCGAGGGAGATTGACAGTTATTTTGTGTTTCTTCCATTTGCGAATACTCGCACCAACTGTTGTCACCTTCTCACCAAGCTGCTTGGCGATGGTCTTGTAGCCCATTCCAGCCTTGTGTAGGTCTACAATCTTGTCCCTGACATCCTTGGAGAGCTCTTTGGTCTTGGCCATGGTGGAGAGTTTGGAATCTGATTGATTGACTGCTTCTGTGGACAGGTGTCTTTTATACAGGTAACAAGCTGAGATTAGGAGCACTCCCTTTAAGAGTGTGCTCCTAATCTCAGCTCGTTACCTGTGTAAAAGACACCTGGGAGCCAGAAATCTTTCTGATTGTGAGGGGGTCAAATACTTATTTCCCTCATTAAAATGCAAATCAATTTATAACATTTTTGACATGTGTTTTTCTGGATTTTTTTGTTGTTATTCTGTCTCTCACTGTTCAAATAAACCTACCATTCAAATTATAGACTGATCATTTCTTTGTCAGTGGGCAAACGTACAAAATCAGCAGGGGATCAAATACTTTTTTCCCTCACTGTATGAAAATACCCTCAAATAAAAGGTGACATCCTGTACTGTTGCCTCATATAAAACATTTTATCTCAAATCCAAAATGCTGGAGTATAGAGCCAAATTAAAGGTTTTAGCTTCATTGTCCAAATAAGTACGTAAGGAAGTGTACCTGAGTGGCCACATTTGTTTGTCACCAACAAACCACATAGGAGCTTAGATTGGAGTGTGCAGAGTCACATTTTTCATTTGGGTAAAGATAAGGGCCAAAATGCAAACAATGAATGAATGAATACAGCTTTGGGTCATGTAAATACAGCTGTTGTAGATCATTTGTAAAGTAAATAACGTACCTCACACTAAAGTGTAATCTCTCATCAAATACTATTATGAGAAAGAGTGCCTGTTGTTTATATTACCGTTACGACGTCATGACATAATGATCCCTGTGTCCCTCAGCAGCCTCAACCAGCTCATGTGAATGACAACTAGCTTTTACTTAACTGACGTGTCTCAGTCCCATCCCTGTGCTGTTGATATGACATGAATGCCACTAATTCTCACATCTGGCATATATCTATCTCTCCATTAGCTCTTAGTGCCTTGGAGACTGAAAGGCAGGGTAAAATCCATAAAATTTCAGGAACTTTAAGAGGAGAATGATTCTTTCAAGGGAGGGCAGAGGTGACTGAATGACTGTCAGGACCAGATTGAGGTTGTGATTCACGTATCAGACATCTGGAGCAGTGACCCGGACGTCCGTACTCTAAGGGGATTTGCCAAAGGGAATAAACACATCATTTCTCTAAGGGAGACATTACTGTAAGTGAATCAGCATATACTCACCTCTCTTCATAACACTGTGTTTCAGGAGCAGTTCTTTCAGACACTCAGCATCCGCCAGCTCCTGCTCTCTGCTCTGGAACTCTTCTGCCTCATCTATTCTGATAGCAAACTGCAAGAGGTGGAGGAAGACATAGTACATCTATCTGTATAGTTAGACAACAGTGTAATTTGTCCTAGTATGGGCTCTGGCTTTGCACATTTATTCATAAGATCTCCAAAAGCTTAATTAACTCACAGTAGATTTGATAGAGAAGTAAACAAAGGAAAAAAAAAGGAGCCCTGTTTGGTCAGGGATGAAACATGTAAAGGACAGACAGTACAAACCTCTCAGTCAGATCTACAGAGCATCTACAGAACCACCTGCTTCCTGTATCTATCACACAACCTATCATCATGTTTCATAATCATCACACTAATGTGTCTGCGTTGTGTGGCCGCATTTAGGGTGGCCATCAGTTAGTGCCTGGGTAAGTTACAGTGGCTATACAGTATCACACAACTCAATGCTCTTGGTTGGAGCCACGGTCTGTAGACTAATAACATTGAAACTGCCCCATTGTGCCACATTAACAGTACATTTGTGAACAGGGGCCCCTGATACAGTATCTATGTGTACTTATATTGCAGTAAAAACAGGCTTACATTACATCCCCCTCGTCAGTTACACTGTTATTTTGGAAAATATTTTATTTATATTTATATTAACGTAATGCTAACAAAACTGATAAAGCAATGTGCTGTTTTCTTTGATGTTTTTTTAAGCAAACTGGAGAGGAGGAAACAGATGCACTAGCTCTAGAACGGCAGTAATAACAAGAACACAACACTGGATGCTGTGTTGATATTGTCACGGTTCAGACAGACGACCAGAGGACCACAATTGCGTCACACCAGAAAGTTTATTAAAACTTAAGGGAAAAGGGAAGTAGGGAGTGAATGAAGGCTCCAGGGGTAACAGGGATCCCGTCCAATGTGCTGGGTCTGTGCCCCCCCCAGTGGCAGCGATGCGTCCTATGAAGCCGGTGGTGGGTGGTCCAGAAGTCCTGGGGGGGGGGAGACACAGACACAACAGGGCGGAATGAAACAAGGCAGCAGTACAGTTCAAGGGAAATCCAAAATACGTAGTAGCAAGGCAGAAGGCTGGTCAGAGTTACCGGGATTGAAGAGTAGTCAGGAGTCGTTATGGCAGAAGCAGGTCTGGATCTCCTGGGGCAGAAGAGTATCCAAAAATCAGGCAGGTCCGGGGTCACAAAACCAGGGTGAGCCAGAAGCGCGAGCAAACAGGTTCCGGGTGTGAGCTTTGCAGACGATCTGACACCGGAGAGCTGAAAGACAGGGCCTTAAATACTGGGAGAGGTAGTGGGTAATGCAGCGCAGCTGGCAGAGTAATTAGAGCAGAGCAGAGCAGGGACAGGTGGAGCTAGTTAGGCTGAGTAGAGAGAGTGGTGAGCAGAGTGGAAGAAAATTAAGGTGGTAACCCGGTGGAGTGAGAGGCTCATGACAGAACCCCCCCCCCAAGGGACGGCCCCAGAAGTCCCAAGAGCAACACCACGCCGGGCGGGAGGAGGGGAGCCGGAGGAGGGCTAGAAATT